CTTGTCAAAGGTTCCTAGGAAGGTCCTGCATCTGCACAACGGTTTGTTGCACACAGTATTTGTGACAGTCGGCGTTAAAGGGCTATACAAAGATAAGGAGGAAGGTTAAGATTTGTATTTCAGGTGCTCAGATTCTTCATTCCCAAGGAGATTATTTAGTGAAAAACACAATGAATAGACCTTATTGATGACCTCAGGGAAATGTATCTTTTGCATTTGACCCATCCCAGTGGGAGCTGCACGAGGACCATCTCCACATCTTGGGCTTGTCTTGGTCAGGATTAACTTAACTGGAGGATATGACGTGTTGTGCAAGTTTAGATATTTAAAAGAAATTGACAGTCTATAAAATGGTTTAAGTCGGTCTCCTATTTGGATAAATGTATTTTGAATTCAAGTCTTTCTAAAAACTGAGGAATCCCAGGCCTCCATTCTCCATTATCCTGTTGTGTTGAGGGCACAGACATCATGTGAGGACATCAGCACTGAATGAAGTGATGGAGGAGGGTAAGGAAAGGGTGAGGAGTGTGAGGAGGGGTGAGTGGAGGAATGTAACAAAGTACAAGTAAAAAAGTACACATTTTAAGTATCTGTATTTTATTTAAGTAGATGCTTTTTACTTTTACTTCAGTGCATTTGAGAGCACTTACCTCCACTACATTTTTTAAAAGGACTGAAAAGTAAAAGTATTTTTTATTATTGTGAGAGACTTGCATGTTATTTTTAACATGTTCGTAATCTGAGCAAACAAACAAACAAACAAATATACAAATAAAAACAACTGGGAAAAAATGTTGGTTTAAATGTTTCTGCAAAAATCTTAAAACCCGCGCAAAATATGTTTACTTTTTACTCTTTAAGTCCATTCTTAATGCTTTTACTTATACAGATTTGTTCATTTGACACTTTTACTTGAGTATCTGTACTTTTACTTAAGTAACAAAGTCAAGTATTTCTTCCACCGCTGATGAGGGAGAGAGTGAGGAGGAGGAAGAAGAGGAGGAGGAGGTAAAATCTATAAGAGCCACAGAGTCTCCCACGTCCAGCTGATCGAACAGAAGGACACCTGAGGACTCACACACAGGTCAGACTTTTGAAAACGTATATATATTTTTTTCTAGATTGTTAAATGTATTATTATATGTACTTTACGCCTCTATATGTATGTACGTTAAAAAAAAATGTATTTAAACTTGTCTTGTGACTTAAATATTGACCTAAATCTGACTTCTCGATTTAATAAATAAACATAAATCCTACTTCATAAACATTTTTAGTGTTTAAATGATTGGTTTTCTAGACACGTTTGCGGTTTATGTTATTTTATTTTTTGTTCATGCCCTCATTTGACATTTAAATTTTGACTTTTTTTTTTTTTTTAAGGTGCATTGTGTAACTTTTCTGGTAGGATATGCCACTTTTTTTTTCTTTAGGATGTTAGGATGTTATTGGTTTGTATTACAAATCTATTCAGCCGTGATTTTATTTATTCAGCGTTTTTCGGGCTCCCCTCTCCACCGAACTGATCTGTACCTTGGCCTGCCTGCTTGCCTCCATGGAGACAGATCAAAGTTGCTGTGACTCCAATTTATGTCAGGCCTGAATATATAAAAATAATGTAATGATGAAATATGCAAATTATTGTGAAACTGTTTTACAAGCATCAAAATGACATCTGACCAGATTTTCAAAATCAAAAACTGGGACACTGTCGGTTTGTGGTGGCTGGTAATAATAAAATTGTGAAACGAGTGCGTAATTAAAAAAAATTGTTCTGCACTCGGCCACATGACCAGCCTGTGAGTCAGTATAATCACATTTTCTTCTGTGTTTTGGTGATTTTTTTATTTTATTTTTTTTAACCAAAACAAATGACACTTTAATGCTTTTCTTTACTGTTGGCAAATTGGTCAAAAATACACAGCAAAAATTGGAGGGTTAAAATTTCAGGATTGTTTTTAACACAAAAAGTGTTATTTTAACTATATGAAAGTTAAATGGGGGTTGGAGTTGGGGTTATTTGCCAGAGTTGATAAGGTTGAAGTGAATTCAACTTCCCCTAGTGTTAATTCAGCTTCCTTTAGTGTTAATTCAACTTCCTTTAGTGTTAATTCAACTTCCCTTAGTGTTCATTCAACTTCCTTTAGTGTTAATTCAACTTCCTTTAGTGTTAATTCAACTTCTCTAGTGTTAATTCAACTTCCTTTAGTGTTAATTCAACTTCCCTTAGTGTTAATTCAACTTCCTTTAGTGTTAATTCAACTTCTCTAGTGTTAATTTCACTTCTCCCACCCACCACTTCAAACTCCTGCGAGAGAAGACCATTTGAACCAGTCTTGTACATAATTTCATCTTAAATTAACTAAAACAAAGTGTAAAAATAAAACACCTCTGTGTGTTGTTTAGTTAAATCAGGATAACCCTACACAGTGTTATCAGTTTACTCTCAAAACATTAATATTGCAAACTCTTGATCTCAGGTTAAACAGGAACTTTGGTCCAGTGTTACTTAATTAACATTTCCAAAAATGTTAAATTAATAAACTAACAGATTAACTAAAAGAACAGACTAGACTCATATAAACCCTGCGAAAATGTTAAAATTGATTCTGTAAGAGTCAATTTTAACACTCTTTTAACACTTTTTGCTGTGATAGGGACACCTGGGACATTTCTTATATTAAATGGAGACAAATGACTGGTTTTGGATAAATCTGCAGGGACAGGGGACACAGGGCTCAAAACTGGGACTGTCTGGTCATTCTAAGATGTAGATAAGACACTGCTAACAAAGTAGAATCAGAATGTGTGTTAAGATCCTTGTTAATAAGGCATATAGGTTCATGGGGCCTATATAACCTACCTGTCAAAAGTACTTATTGTTGCTTTAGTCATTCCCACAGTGGTCATGTCATCGTCATGTGAATAAAAGTAAACCTCTGTCTGGACACATTCCCATTCATTCAAAATGACTTAATGACTCGTGGTACATGCACCAGGTCGTCAGCTCATTCCGTTGAAATTATGATGGTATTCACGTAACATCATGCACTCAGCTCCACTTACCTCCTCAATGAGCCTCTGTGGTTCTATGTGACGCGTTGGTAAGAGGAGCGTTACACGGTGGGCTCTGGTGTCCTCTGCTGGTCGATTGAGGGAACTGTCCTGAGCTCGTGTTGTAGAAATTCTGGAATAAAGTGATTTTTATAGTGATGTATGATGATTCTTAGGCCTAAATTTCAACCAATATTTCTGATTAGTTTCAAACAAATCTTTCTCTCTCTTTTTTGGTGGTGTTATAATTTATTTATCTAAACTCTAGTGAAAACTTGACAGATCAAGATATGACATTATCTTAGATCCATTTTGGAGTTGTGTCCTTGGGAAAAACCCTTAAAACGCCTTTTCTCATTGTTCTTTGAGCACTGGTTTACAAATGTGCGGTAATAGAGATAGAGAAATCCATATAGTTCATGAGTTTCTACAGTTTAACTTAATATTTTTTGCAAGCTGACTTAAAGGTCCTATATTTTACAAAATGTACTGTTACAGTACCTCGTAAAACAGACCTGGAGTTGTGTTTTGTTCCATTCACACACGTTTGAGTAATTGCATTATTAGTCATGGAAAAAGGAGAAATTTGTCAACTGGACAAAAGTTTATTTTGGTTGACACATTTGGCAGCTCATCCAAGCTGCTTCTTCAGTTCAGAATTTCTCCTTTTGCCCTGGATTCTACCTGGACGACTGAGGGATTTTTACACATGCATTATTAATCTGTCTACATCTCCAGAGCTCCCAATGCTCTGTTCCACCTTGTGATGTCATGAAGCTGCATTCAAGTTAAGAGCTCCTTTTACCTTTAGTTCAGTAGAGATTGGCAGTTCCAGAGATGAAGTGATCCTAACGATTCTAGTGAAGACATGTGGAGTTTAAAAACATAGTGGAGCACTTCCTGCAGAGGTGGGGACTTACAAGTCGTGACTTGGACTCGAGTCAGACTTGAGTCACTAGTTTTAGGATGTGACACTTGACTTGATAAAATGGACTAAGACTTGGGACTCGACTTGGACTTGAAGGTCAATGACTTGGGATTTGACTCGGACTTGAGTCTCGGACTTGAAATCTGACTTTGTTCTGTTCTGAAAGTAATGATTCACTTTAAGATCTTGTCAAGACATTAAAAAGGAAAAATGAACATTTCTACAACAAAATATACTATGATTTTTTAAATACAGTTTATCTTAAAATTCAAATAAACTGCAAAAATCTAAGCTCTATTTGGTACTTTTGTATAAAGAAATGAAATGACTTGAAGCTCAAAGCAGACGACTTGGACTTGACTTGGATTTATGGGCCAGTGACTAGAGACTTGACTTGGTCTTGCCTGTATTTGACTTGGGACTTGACTTGGACTTGAGGTCAAAGACTTGAGACTTACTTGAGATTTGCTAAACAAAGACTTAGTCCCACCTCTGACTTCTTCTATTATAAAGTGACATCACAAAGAAAAGGAAAGGTGTTTTCTGAATGAAAAAAAAAAAAAAACACTAGACATACAGGGTTTGTGTGTTAAACATGTGTGAATGAAACAAAACACAACTCCAGGTGTGTTTTTGGTGAGAAAACAACATCACAAAGATGAGAAAATAGTGTAATATGGGCTCCTTAAACATATTTGACATTGAGAATATATTATTATTCATATTGTATTTCTAAAACATTTGATTAATATATTTGTGTTGTTTTCTTAGGCAGGATGGATGTAAGTAATACCTCCCCAAACATGGTCGCCCAAATGGTAAGAGAATTCTCTGTAGTTTTGATTTGACATTTCCTGTTTTTACCCCCTCAAGCTGGTTTCCTCTGTTCTCTCCACTCTCTCTCTCCCCCATTACTCCATCATAAACTCCTCCTCCTCCTCTTCCTCCCCTCCTCCTCTCTCTCCCCCTCCCTCCCCTCTCCTCCTCCTCCCCTCCGCCCCCCCAGACCCCTGACCCTATGGACCCTCTGTGTGGCGGCTGCGTGTCCTCTGGCTCCGTCCCTCAGCCCAGCATGATGTGGCCGGTGCAGGCGTCAGGTTCCTCTTTCCCCGCCTGGCCTGGGACCGCCACGCAGTTCACCCAGGCAGCTCCGCCACAGCCCCAGAACCCCTGCTGGAACGGACAGCCAGGTAAAAAGAGAAAGAGAGAGAGAGGGGGAGTTATGAATGAAATAATGATCTGATCTATGTTATAATGTTCTTTCCTCATCACAAACAGACCTGAAGTTGTGTTTTGTTTAACTCACAAATCCTCCATATTTAGGCGTTCTATTTAGGAGTTCTTCTCTCAAACTGAAAACTACACACATACAGGAAGTGCTCTACTGTGTTTTTAAACTTAATACACCCTCATTTTGGATGATTTCAGCCCTGGAATTGCCAGTCTCTACTGAACTCAAGGTAAAATGTAGTTCTTAACCCGAAAAATACCACTACATGGCATCACAAGTTGGAACAGAGCATTTAGAGCTTTGGAGACATAGACAGACTAAAAAACCTGTAGTGTTGTAGTCAAGACCGCACTAATTGAGACCAAGACCAGTCTGAGACCACAGGGTCCCGAGACAAGGACAAGACCAAGACAAGACCAAGGCCACAGCCCTTCGAGACCAAAATTAAAACCATCTTTGCCATTTTTAACATTTATTAGTATTTTACTGTTATTTTGGCACATTTATATCAACATTTTGATAAACCTATCTCCATTTTATCTGATAAATATTAATTTAAGCTTAAAATAAGCCAAGGAAACTGTACTGCACACAACACTCCGCACCCCTTTTTTGGACCCTCACCCACAGTTTGAGAACCCCTACGTCAAGAGAACTTCCACTGGCACTTTACAGAAAACTGAAGAAACTAGTTAAGATTTTTAACCATGTCTTTTCAAGTTCCTAACTGGAGTTACATTAGTGTCAGACCTCAAGTCCGAGACAAAACTGAGTCCAAACTCCTTCAAGACCAAGACAAGACAGAGTCCAGGTTCCTTCAAGACTAAGACAAGACTGAGACAAGACTGAGAGAAGACCGAGACAAGACTGAGTCCAGGTTCCTTCAAGACTAAGACAAGACCGAGACAAGACTGAGACAAGACTTAGTCCAAACACGCTCAAGTCTGAGATAAGATCAAGACCGGTCTCGAGTACCACAACACTATAAACCAGGATTACACAAACATGTGAATGAAACAAAACTCATCTTCGGATACTGAGAAAAATAAAAATATCAGGCACTCAGTTACAAAATATTCAAAAGCCTTCGTTGTGAGCGGGAAGGTAGCAATGAAAACACACAAACACATGTCAGCTTGCTCTTTCTTCAGGAAGAAAGAGCAAGCTTTCAAGGATGAGAGATGAGGACCAATTGAAGTTCACACACTGCAGGGCTGCAGGGCGGTGGTTTCACTCAGTCAGTTCTATTGATTGGGCACAAGGGGGAGTAACTTCTTAACTTCAGGACAATTTCATTAAGTCATTTTATTGTAGCAGGAGCCATTTTTACTTTGAGCACTAGAGGGCAGTCAGATTGTTTTCACAGAGACTGTTTTTATTTAGGGCAGATCGTTTTGTTTAACATTTCCATACATATTAAGGCTCTAGCAGGAGAGATTGCCTAGGTACTATTTTTGACAACTTCAGGTATGTTTTTGATGAGGTAAAAACATTCAAACCAGACTTAAAGCTCACAAGAGTCAGTTTTGTGTAATATAGAATTTTTAAACTTCCAAAATCCAAGTTACATTTCGAGTTAGTCACATGACAAGTGTGGACGTGAATCAAATATTTTGCATGTTTTTTGACATGATAACATCTCACCTCTTACCTCCCATCCTCAGGTACGACTCCATGCTGGAGCGTCCCCTCACAGCAGATGCCCTCCCCTGTCCTGGCCCCTGCCCCTGTGCCGATGTCTGTGCCCGCCCCTGCCCCTCCTCCTGCCCCCATGATGGTACAAGCTCCACAGATGGTGCCCGCCCAGGTCCAAACCCCCATGGTAACTAGGTCTTTCAATGAAGTAAATAAAACAATAATACAATTGTACTATTGATGAGAGTTTTAAAAAAGAAATTAAATCCATTATAAACAAATTAGAATAAATAGGTGTATCTTTAAAATAGGGCAGAAACGGCTCAAACCAAAACGAATTTTCATAAACACACAAAAAAATAACACCATTTTCACAGATGGCAAGCTTACATAACACTGATTTCCATATTAATAGTTCAACAAAACAACTAAATACTAAATCGAAATGTGTTAAATTAGACACACCTACACATTTTTAGTAGTATTTTTATTTATTTTTTGTAGAATTTTTGCCAAAGGATCTGTCCATATGAAATCTGTTGTTTTCAAGAAATCTCCCCTGTGAGCCATCTCAGGTTCGGCTGATTTTTTTATTTTTTTTATTCTAAAATGACCAAATGAAAGAATCTAAAATTTTTGTTCAATCCCTTCTGTTGTGAAATTTTGGGGCCATGCTCACTTTTTCTGAAGTCTTAATTTATAAGCATTTTTGAGAGACCATAACTTCATTAAAAATAGAGCTAGGAAGATGAAAATGTGTATTATTGTAGACTCTGGGTCTGTGTGAGATTGCTGTCAGAAATGGTCATTCTCTCAAATATTCAGGTTCAGCAGTTAGTTTGTAAATATCTGCTTGGAGTAAAGTGATTTTGGACCTCAAAAATTGAAAAAGAAATTGAAGCAACCAAATTTGAGATTTTGGGGGCCCACAGTGCACCCCTTAATAAAGATACTCAATATTTTACAACAGATTCAGAATCTATGACCTAAGACCAATGACACAGCTTCTTAGCTCTATGTTTTATGAAGTTATGGTCTCTCAAAAATGCTTATAGATTAAGGTTTCCGAAAAAGTGGGCATGGTCCCAAAATTTCAAAGAGCCATAACTCAGGATCGACTGAAGGGATTGAGCTAAAATTTTAGATTCTTTCATTTGGTCATTTTACGATTTTTTTAAAAATTTGTTTCAGCCAAATCTGAGATGGCTCAAAGGGGAGGGAGGCTGCTTTCATATGGACTGACTCCAGTAGCTGACATAAACCTGTTCTGCCTCTGAAAATATATTGTTGATTCTCTAATTTTGACTTAATCTGACATAATAAGGTGACATAATGCCTGTTTTAAATACTTATTAAGAAGCAACATTTCAGGAAGTTAAATTTGAAACCTAAAAAGTGACTTTTCTTAATGGAGATGTTATTGCTTTGTCTGGAATGTTTCACAGTATGGTATTAAACCTTTCTATCATCATGGAGACCAAACCAGACCAAGTTACAGGTCACATCTGTGGAGAGGCGACCCCACTCACAGTCAGAATGTCTGTTTTTGTAGGTGTTTTTGAGATATAAAACCACCTGTAATTAAATAAATGTAAGGTAGAGCTGTTTAATGTCATACTGTGGAACATTCCTGGCAGAGCAAATGGCATCTCCATAGAAACAAGTAGGTAACAGACGCTCAACCAAAAAGCTACATAATGCACATAACAGATCTCAACTGTGTTTTAGTAAAATGAAGTAATTCAAACTGTCTTTAATATTATTTGATTGACTTTTGTTTTGTATTCTTGTGTTTTTAGGTTTCAGTCCCTGCAGTGGCCCCTCCTCCAGCCATGGTCCAGACCCCAGCCCCGGTCCAGCCCTGCCCCACTCAGACCTGCTGGACCCCCGCCGCTCCGGCCGTGCCCACCCAAGTGTCCACCCCCATGTCCACCCCGGTGCCCTCTACCATCCCCGCCCCTGTCCTCACCCCTGCCCCCATCACCGCCCCTGCCGCAGCGCCCTCTTCTGGCCAGCGCCCGTACATCTGGCCCCCCCGCCCCAGCTGGTACCACCCGGGGCAGTCTGGGTGGCCCGGGCAGCACCCAAACTTCCTGCCCCCGAACTGGCTCCCACCCACATCAGGACCACTGGTGAGTTTGAGATGGTTGTTATTTAGATCCTTGAAAAGTTTCTAAACATAAATACATTCAAAATTTCTAAAGTGTAGAACAGGAGTCTCCAGCCTTTTTTCTCCAGTGAGTGAGTTACCTTTACAAAACTAAAATGCCAGAGAGCTACTAATTTCTGCAGTCGCCAAGAAACTGAGTAAATATAAGAGCCACGATGGGCAGCAGTTAGATGCTTATAAAACATAAACCTTTATCAATTTATCAGTGCTCAAAGTAAGCATCAAAACACAGTCACAATGGTAATTAATCAAATTTGACTTATTATGGACAATACACTTAAAAAATCCCATGGTGAGCAACTGTAAAGGGCTTGGAGAGCTACTGGTAACTCCTGAGCCACAGGTTGGAGGCCCCTGATCTAGAAGGTAACTGTAGGCAAAAAAAAGTGGAATATAAAGTAATTTCAATGGAGAAACTGATATTAGAGAGAGAGAAAATGAGGGAGAGACAGAGAGAGAAAGAAAGAAAGATAGACACAGAGATTTAAGTTTTGCTACAGCAACATTCTCCCTGCAGTGTCCTTTGTGTCTCAGTCCAAGGTCTTAGGTCAGTTTAACAGGAGGACTGGTCAGGGACGATCAGCAGATCTGTGTGAGGGCAGTTTGAGAGGAAGAGACAAAAGTGTCCTTCGTCTGCAGCCTCCAGGGGGACCCAGGTGAACAGAAAAGGCCTCATTCTAACTGTGCACTATTGTTTCGGTCGATGATGAATGGGTTATTCCCTCCAAGTATTTTCTCTGGAAGGTCTTCTGCCACATTTGCTGCTGCATTCGGTGTAAAAAGCCTGTAGTGTCTGAAATGTCCGAATTAATCGAAGAATATAAACAAAAAATTTTAAGTTAAAGTCATAGACAGCAAACTGACTCACATTTCTAAACTGGAATTTCAACACTATAAAATCTTAAAACCATCAGCCTTTAGGTCTGATATCAGTTAATCATTGAAAATGAATGTCCAACTTCATTTTGCCTCTGGTCAACTTCATTATGGAATAGACCTTTTTCACGACATCCAGAAGTGCCGCAATGTAGGGTTAATGTAACTCCTCAAAACGTAAAGTCGAACAACAACGACGCATTAGTGAACTACTCCAGAGCAAAACTGTTGTGTTATGGTCATGAATAAAACATAAGTAATAAGTAACTTGTTCACTCAGACTGATTCTAGAATTTAAATTAAAAATTGATTTTATGATGTAAATATTAGCATAGACACACCACCTCCGAGTGTGGAGCGAATGCATAATGATCTGTAAAGCACTTTATGTGTCTTGAAAGGCGCTATATAAATGCAGTGATTAATTAAGAGAGTGATTTGTGCAGTTTAAATGCGAGACATGTAATCTGTGAACATCTGTAGCATTCAAACTGCCCAAATCTCCCTGTCTATGCAAATATCTACATCAGGAAATCTATTTTTTATTTTACTTCTAGAATCAGTCTGAGAGAACAAGTTACTTATTATAATGAATTACTTTTTACTTTTGTTTTATTCATGACTATGTTAGTTTTGCTCAGGAGTAGTTCACTAATGCGTCGTTGTTGTTCGTCTTTAAGTTTTCATCTTTATTACCTTGATAGTTGTGGATAAATTCTTCATGGACAGAATATGTCCTTTGTTGGCCTTGTGGATGAAGATTTAGTGATGGGGCAGATTTATGATAGACTGATTCATCAGCCGGTTTCACTTTGTGGAACCCGTCTGACCTCGCAGCAAAAGTACCTTCACAGTACCCGCCTTCACAGTAGGCGGGTACTTTCTTTCTATTTAACCAGTCCCTGCTATTTGGTCGTGATGTATGTAATGCACCTCTAACAGGACTAACTGGTATATGAAACTTTTCCGAAATCTCATAGGAAGAAGGACAATAACGTCTTTCCCCTTGATAAAATTCACCAAACATTCTCTTTGTTCCAGCTTTAAATCCTCGATCTCGGGAATCATTGACAACACTGAATATATGGCTCTTCGCTGATTGGCTGGTGCCTGGACTCACACTTCTGGGGTTTTTGCGAACCGTCTAGAGTATTGTCCTAGTCGCTGGAGAGAAATGAAATTGAGCGGAGGCACTAGGTGGCGACAGGCTATATTTATGAAGCTGGTGGAAAATACGCCAGATATTTCCACAAATATTTTGCCATAGAAAATCATTAATGGGGAATTTCATTTACACTTCATCGAGGCACTTCTGGCCGGTGTGAAAAAGGTCTATTTTGAACATTCTAGTGACAAAGTATTTGAAAGGGTCTGTGTGAGATTACAGAACAGATTGTTGTGTGCACATGATTTAAATGTACTTTTTGTGATATATCCAGAGCGTGCCGTACAACCTGAACCTGTCCAGAGGAGTCTACGACAAAATGATGATGACCATCGTGGGACAGGTCAAACCAGACGCTAAAATGTGAGGACGACTGTTTAATCTCTGCAGGAAATCACAGGAAACTCACATGGATTCATTCATTAAAGAAACCTCCCTGTTGTGTGTCTTGTCCCAGGTTCACTGTGAACTTCCTGAAGGGGAATGACATCGCGTTCCACGTGAACCCGCGCTTCAGTGAGGGCGGCAAACAGGTGCTCGTCCGGAACCATAAAGTGGGCGACCGCTGGGGCCCCGAGGAGAGGGACCTGAAGGGGGCGTTTCCATTCGCCAAGGGGAGTCCGTTTGAGGTGAGGGCAGTGTGTGAACAGGGCTGTGTGTGAACAGAGCTGTGTGTGTGAACAGAGCAGTGTGTGTGAACAGGGCTGTGTGTGAACAGAGCTGTGTGTGTGAACAGAGCAGTGTGTGTGTGAACAGGGCTGTGTGTGAACAGAGCAGTGTGTGTGAACAGGGCTGTGTGTGTGTGAACAGAGCAGTGTGTGTGAACAGAGCTGTGTGTGTGAACAGAGCTGTGTGTGAACAGAGCAGTGTGTGTGAACAGAGCTGTGTGTGAACAGAGCTGTGTGTGTGAACAGAGCTGTGTGTGTGAACAGAGCAGTGTGTGTGAACAGGGCTGTGTGTGAACAGAGCAGTGTGTGTGAACAGGGCTGTGTGTGTGAACAGAGCTGTGTGTGAACAGAGCTGTGTGTGTGAACAGGGCTGTGTGTGTGAACAGAGCAGTGTGTGTGAACAGAACTGTGTGTGTGAACAGGGCTGTGTGTGTGAACAGAACTGTGTGTGTGAACAGAGCTGTGTGTGTGAACAGAGCAGTGTGTGTGAACAGGGCTGTGTGTGTGAACAGAGCTGTGTGTGTGAACAGAGCAGTGTGTGAACAGAGCTGTGTGTGTGAACAGAGCTGTGTGTGTGAACAGAACTGTGTGTGTGAACAGGACTGTGTGTGAACAGAACTGTGTGTGTGAACAGGGCTGTGTGTGTGAACAGAACTGTGTGTGTGTGAACAGCTGTGTGTGTGAACAGGGCTGTGTGTGTGAACAGAGCAGTGTGTGAACAGAGCTGTGTGTGTGAACAGGGCTGTGTATGTGAACAGAGCAGTGTGTGAACAGAGCTGTGTGTGTGAACAGGGCTGTGTATGTGAACAGAGCAGTGTGTGAACAGAACTGTGTGTGTGAACAGGACTGTGTGTGTGTGAACAGGACTGTGTGTGTGAACAGAACTGTGTGTGTGAACAGGGCTGTGTGTGTGAACAGGGCTGTGTGTGTGAACAGAACTGTGTGTGTGTGTGAACAGAGCTGTGTGTGTGTGAACAGGGCTGTGTGTGTGTGAACAGAGCAGTGTGTGAACAGAGCTGTGTGTGTGAACAGGGCTGTGTGTGTGAACAGAGCAGTGTGTGAACAGGGCTGTGTGTGTGAACAGAGCAGTGTGTGTGAGCAAACCTGTGTGTGTGAACAGAGCTGTGTGTGTGTGAATGTGTGTGTGAACAGAGCTGTGTGTGTGTGTGTGTGTGTGTGAACAGGGCTGTGTGTGTGTGTGAACAGATCAGGGATTGTTCAGGCTTAAAGATGCATTGTGTAACTTTTCTGGTGGAGGGTCCTTCAAATGCTTTTCTTTGTGAAGATGTTATTGCTTTGTCTGGAATGTTTCGCAGTATGGCATTAAACCTTTCTATTTTCAACAAGTTACAGGTCAGATCTGTGGAGAGGCGACCCCGCTCACAGTCAGAACACCTGGTTTTCTAGGATTTTTGAGCTATAAATCCACCTGTAGTTGAATAAATATAAAGTAGAAGGGTTTAATGTCATACTGTGGAACATTCCAGGCCGAGCAGTAACATATCCATAAAAACAAGCAGGTGATGGACCCCTAACTAAAAAGTTACATAGTGCTTCTTTTCTGGAACAGTCTCAGGATGGTTGTGGGCAGTGGTAGAAAACGTCAGGAGACTGTCTGTGAATCATGTAGTTCAGACTTTTATGAAAGTTACAAATCCAGTGCACTTGACTGACCCCAGCTTCTTTTACACTGTGGCGTTTGGCAGAGGAAGTGGAAAGGGTTGGAGAGAAGTTTGGGCAGGCTCCTAGACCACTGGAGGTCAGTATAGGGCTCAGATGATATTATTATTCACTTAAAGTAATGTTATGTAGCCTCGCCTGTAATAAATCCTGCAATATATGGAAACTCAAATCATGTCCAATGTTTTTGTCATCAAGAACGAATCAGCATCACAGTTGTTATCAGTAAAAGTGTGTTTGATTTGAACATGTCTGCCTCATACCTGGGGATACAGATTGGTCCAGTCTAAATCTTGCATACAGTTTCTTTAAAGCTGCATTGTGTCACTTTTCTGTTGGAGGGTCAGTTACCTGATATCTCAGTGGTGTGACATTAAACACAGCATGTATTCATTACAGGTGTTTCTGCTGCTCAAAAATTATTCTTTCAGTGAATGGGGAGACTCTCCACAGATCTGAACTGTAATGTAGAGTAGTGCTGTAAACTCTCTCTTGTGATACATAGGTTTAATCGCAGGAACATTCTAGACAAAGCAATAACACTTCCATGGAGACAAGCAGGTAGTAAAAATGTTCCACAGTGCACCTTACACACAAAGATGCAAGGGGATCTGCAGATTATTCTACTAATATATTTGTTTTCAGATTTATTATAATGCTATGTTATCTCTGTATTATCTGAAAGGTGCAACTTTTCAGGTGCTTTGCCTGAAATGTCCCACAATATGGCATTAAAATGATCGATCTTGTATTTACTTGATTACAGGGGTGTTTTTTTATTACCAGAAGCTTCCATCTTCACTGTGTGTGGGTTCACCTCTCCACAGATTCAGCCTTGGCTTAGAGATGGACAAGTTTAATGCCAGACTGTGGAACATTTAAAGCAAAGTAAAAACATCTCCATTAGGGATGGGCATGATTAGTCGATTAACTGATAATTGATCATTAAGAATTTCATCGATTACGTTCATTTTAATCGACAAACTGAATGTAGGTTGCTGTGTGTAGTGTGACCAAACAGGTCTGTACATGTGTCTCTGCATCAGAAGGAGAGAGACACAAACAGTCGGTCAGTCTGAAATGTACTGAAGCACAAATGTGTATTTAACGATGACTTGTCCAAGAAATTCCACACTTTCTGTTGCGTTCGGGACAAGTGTGAGTCCATGTGCACAGTGTATAAAGCAGCAGGTGAGAGTCGCACAATGTGGATGACGAGTCCCCACCTCCCTCCCCCCGTATGGTGTCCTGGTTTTGACAAACACAAATCTGGTCACACTAACCTGTATTCACCTGAGTCATGTCTTTTAATCCTGACAGAAATTGAACTGCATCATCGCACAAGAGCTGGAGTTTTATCTTCACTGAGTTTATGCAAATTAGCGATGAGGTTTTAAGTTTTGTTTCTGTGAGAGTTGAAAAAAATTGAATTAAACACATTATAATGTCAAACAGATTGATGTGGCTCTAGAGTGGTTACGGTTTATATGTCGTAAAGTTGAATTTATTTATGCAGATTAGTAGTGCAGATAGTAATAATAATGATGATCATTTTAATATAAAAAGGTTAATGATTAATCGATAATCGATCGTTAATTCTTCCGATGATTAAGAAAATTTCATCAAATGCCCGTCCCTAATCTCCTTGGAAACAAGCAGGAGATGGACCTTCAACCTTGAAAAAAATCATTCACCTTAAAGGTGCACTGTGTAACATTTCTAGTGGAGGGTCCATCACCTGCTTGTCTCATGAAAATGTTATTTTGTCTAGAATGTTCCACAGCATAGATTAAATCTATCACGAGAGAGACAAACAGGATACAGCACTATGCTACATTACAGTTCAGATCTGTGGAGAGGCTCCCCCACTAACAGAAGGAAATACTGTATTTTTGAGCAATAGAAACACTGTAATGAATAAATGCTAGATGGAAATGTTTAATATCATATTATGGAACATCCCAGGCAAAGAAATAACATCACCATGGAGACAAGTAGGTGGCAGACCCTCCACCAGAAAAGTTACACAATGCACCTTTAAAATATAGTAAACAAATGCAGATAGTAACAGTTTTAAGACCAATTTAGAGTAATGATTATAATTTGAGCACATAGCACATGAGTCCTCCTCTATCTTGTGTTTGTGTTGAAGTGGGCGTTTCATGCACAGTGGGACCCACGGGTGCTGATGGACCTTCTCTTCTCCCTGTTTTCCAGATGAAGATCCTGTGCACCCATGAGTCATTCAGGGTGGCAGTGAACAACCTCCCACTGTTTGAGTTTAAGCACCGCGTCACCGAGCTGAACCAGGTCAACCGCATCAACATCCTGCACGACGTCATCCTCAACTTCGTGCACGTGGAGACGCTGCCATAGAAACGTGCACCAGCTTTGCTTTTAAAGGTGCACTGTGTAACTTTTCTTGTGGAGGGTACACCGCATTTTTTTCTGTTTAGAGATGTCACTGTTGCCGTAGAAACATGTACCAGATTTGTTTTCTGGATGAGCACAGATGTCACTTATTGCTTCTACTGTATATAAGCTTTAAAGAGGGGGTATTACGCACAATCAACTTTTTAGAGCTTTCTACCGTGTTACAATGTTGTTCCCTCATCACAAACATGAGCTTGTAGATGTCCTCCATGCATGTTTGAGTGTTTTCGTGAGCTCTCCCACACTATTTGAACCCTCTTTCCAGTTAGATATAAGATTCTGTGCCACACCAGCCCACATCACCTATGCTCCCGGCCATTTTGCATAAATTTAGCAAAATTGAAAAAGCAAGATACAAACAATACACAACAACTTGACAAAGCTGATGCGATGTGCAGTAGTTTTATTAGCAGGATGCACACTAATTGGGGGAGTGACTTAGCAAGGAGAGCAAAGGGGGGCTCAGAATGTCAAAAACTAAAATTAACTTCTTAAACATGAAAACAAAACAAAAGGTGATCTATAGAAGTGTAATACTCCCTCTTTAAATGTGCACTCTGGAACTTTTCTGGCGGAGGATCTGACACCTGCTTGTCTAAATGAACTATTATTGCTTTGCCTGGATTGTTTTACACTATGGTATTAAATTGACCTGTCTCAGACCAAGTTATAGGTCAGATCTGTGGTGAGGCGAGCTTACTCACAACAAGAATGCATGTTATAAAAGGCATTTTTGAGCAATAATAACACGTGTAATTCAACAGCTGCAAGATCAGTTAATTACGTGGAATATTCCAGGAAAAGCAATAAATATCTCCACGGAGACAAGCAGGTGGCACCAGAAAAGCTACACAGTGCACCTTTAAGCAGATGTATAATTTGTATGACTTGTTTAATGTTATTGTCTTCTTTGTTTATGGGAAAATCTGACTAATGTTACAAGTTACTTTTAGAGTTATGTTTGTTTTAATTGTGCAATATAAAGTAGACAGTATTTGCTTTTTTCAATATTAACAAAAGCTCATAATAATAAATATTGTAATCATTCCATTTTGTAATAATTTTGTGTAATTTTTGTATTTTCTGACTTGATTGGAAATAAAACTTGCATAGAGAGTGAATGAGTCGATGAGTTCATTTTGCAACTGCATCTGCACATGTGGCTTAGTTTATATTGGCAAGACCACAAGAAAACTCCAACAAAGCATAAGTGAGCACAAGAGCTCCATCAGAAGAAATGACCGGGACCATCCAGTAACAGTTCACTTTAATGATCAGACACACGACATTTGTTCTCTCCGCTTCTGTGGCATTGAGCATGTCCCCCCCTTCCACCCAGAGGAGGGGACCATGACTGTATACTTAAACAAAGGAAAGCATTTTGGATTCATACCCTCCAAACTTTAGCTCCAAAAGGACTCAGTGATGATTTTAATCTGAGCATCTTTTTGTAGGCATTTGTTATATCATTAGGTCCCTCACTTCTGGTGGACTGTACATGGGCTATATTTTAAGATCCATTGTATATGTATTAGGGCTGGGCAAAAATGTAAAAAATTAATTGCATTAATCGCATGAGTTCGAGTGATTAATTGCATGTTATATGCAAAACCAATTAATGAATTAAAAAGTAGAGTATAGCGACTTTTATTGGAAATGTAAATGAAAGAGCCAAACATTTGTTGTGCAAACAGCATTTCTTTCAGAGGGGAACCCCCAGAGTCTTCAAAGTATTCAGTGAAGGTTCAAGAAAAAATACTGAATGGAATTTTATGCTACTAATATATTTTTTCAATATTTTTTATACAGTGAGCAATAAACACTACACTAGTAATAATTTCTAGATCATTGTTATAAACTTGGACTGATGTTTCTTGGGAAACAAAGGGTTAATGTCATGGAATGGAAATGGACCAATCACAGTTTTCTTCCAGTGGTATCTGGGTAAATCAGTGACTCCCCCTGCAGCACTGAACTAAAGCAATAAGCTTAGAGCACACGGCTGGTCTGGCCAGAGCCAGAGCCTGTGGCCGGACCCACGGCTCGCAGAGGCTCGGACACGTTGCAGCTCACGTGGTCAGAAAAAAGTGAAAAAAAGTGAAAAGAAAAGATGTCAAACTTAAAGAAAGGCTTGCGGTGGACTTTTTCAAAATAAAAGCCAGTGAGAAACAGACGTTTACAATAAAATAAATAAATAAATAATAAAAACTGCATTAACGGTGTTAAAATAATTGTCGGCGATAATGACTTAATTAGTTACGCAAAATTAACACGTTAACGTGCCCGCCCCTAATTTATACACATATGCAGAAACATATTTTCGTTTATGGTCGTACTAACTAATAATAATGTTAACATAGGCACAAAGTTTATCGTTTATGATCGTACAAAATAAACAGTAATGAGAAGGGCTATAGGTGAGTTTGTAGTAAATTTAAATTAGAAAAGTTGAGGGAAAATAATAAAAAGTGTCCCAAAAATATTGGCAGAGTTTATTTGCCATCTGTTGCTCTGGATTCTAAACAATCTATTGAAAAAAACAAACAAACAAACAAACAAACAAACAAACAAACATTCAGAATCATTTGAAATTGCTAATTTGCTTCTTTATTTACAATTCAGGACCTGCGTGTCGTGCCTTAACTCATTTCTGCCACTTACAGTATCTGCAGTGAAAACAAGTCAATATGCAGACACAGGTAATGATGAGGCTGGGGTCAGACTGGGGGTGACTTACTGCCACCACTTAAACCACCTCCTCCTCTTCTTCTTCTTGTTTTTCTTGTCTTGGAGCTCCTCCACTATGACTGTGATCTGCTGCAGCTGATCATCTAACTTGTTCCGGGACAGCTGCAGCTCTTCACATTTGAGGAGGGCAGAGGTTTTCTCGTCCTCACTGTGTTTCAAAGCCGTGTTTCCTGGTGGAGGATGTTCTCCTCCACCGTGGCCTTGTGGATGGAGTGACATTCTTCTACCACAGCTATAAAACTCATTTTCTGTGAGTCCAAGTCATTTTGTAATTTTTGAACTTTGTGGCGCTCAGTGTTCAGGCTCTCCTCCCTCTCCTGTGCCTTGTTGAGGGCCTCTTCAGCTGTCCGCTCCTGCTCAGCGAGAGCAGACTCTAGAGTGAGGACCTGTTTGTTCCAGGTCTCCTCAGCTGCCCGCATCTCTGCTGTAAATGTAGACTCCAGGGCGAGACGCTGTTTGTTGAGAGCCTCTTTAGCAGAGTGTCTCTCTGCTCCAAGGGTAGACTCAAGATGGCAAACTTGTACATTCAGGGCCTTTTCAGATGACCGTGTCTGCTCAACGAGGGCAGACTCCAAGGCAGTAACCTTTGTCTGCAGAGCCTGCTTCTCCTTGTGTGCCTTCTGGAGCTCCTGTTGTTTGCTGAGAATCTTCTCTTTGGTCTTCCTCTTCCCAATGGCCTCTTGCAGAGTCGTCTTCAGCGCCCTATTCTCTTGTTTACACTGTTCTAGTTTCTCTGTCATTGTTTCCTTTTCTTCCCTAGTTTCCCTCAGCTGTTTCTGGGGCTCCTCAAAATTCTTCTTGAGGGCTTCTGTCTGCTGGACCACCTGCTGTAACTCCTTCAGTCTCCATGTCTGTTTAAGGCTGATGTGGAGTTGTTCTTTGTGGGCTCTTTGGAGCTCCTCAAGAGTAGTCTTCAGCTCCCAGTTCTCTTGTTCACACTCTTCTAGTTTCTGCGTATTCTTCATACTGTCCACCTTCAAGTTTTCTGTCATGTTGCGGGCACATTCAAACACATCAGAGTCATAGTAGTGGCTGTTTGCCTTCTGCATTTTCAGTTGGTTTTCGAGCTGCTTCACCTTCTCTTGGTGTCTGAGAGTGAGACTCTGCTGCTCTTGGGAGAACTTCTTAAGATTTGATCATTTACAGGGGTCAAGTGTAGAAATGGCAAGTAGGAGAGAAGAGGGCCAATCGGAGTTGGAGGATGCGCCCGTATCTTTACCTCGCGAAACCACAGTCGTGCCCCAACGCAAAGGAGGCTCCACCGACAGCTGCAGCAGGACGTACACGCGCTGCACTGACTCTGTGTTTGTAAATGAGAAAGACGATCAAACTTGACTGGGCATGTTTAACCTCTTGTTTTAGATCTACAGTGAAACTAACAGCTGAACAGACTTGTATTTACCTTCTGTACAGGGTAACCACGGCAAATGCGAGGATTACAAAAGTAAATTTTAAAGCACTAATTAACAGTAGTTCTGGACCTGGGCTCTTTCACACGACACAGAACTGCCCCAGGAGCACGTTGTACTGATGGTAAACGCACAAATACAACCAAAGGTTCATGCTCTCTGTGTATTTTGATGGGGATACGCTCCTATGCTCGTGTAGAACGCCAAAAAAATAGAATGGATCCTATTTTCTGAAATCTATGCACGCAGGACGTGCTCCATACGTGCATCTAGCGCGTACAGTGGAGCCGCCCTCAGTCACTTTCCATGCATTCTAAAAGTTATGCCTCCAAAAGTTGCAGTTTTTCTCGAGCAGGGCAAAATACGCATGCAGTGGAGCCAGACCCTTAACCTTGCAGCCAAGTATTCAAGTATCCCGACTCCTGAGGAGGGTTTGGAAGGTGGTAACATTTTTTCACCGAAGCAGAACAGCTGCCTGTGTCCAATAATAATGTGCTTAAAGTCAAGTCAAATTCAGTTTGTGCATGATTACTAGTGATGGGTGAATGGAGCCTCGTGAAGCATTGACACCTCAGTCGCAATATTGTCTCAAATGGTTGGACGTGTCTGAGGCGTTGGAGAAACACTGACCTCTAGTGGACAAATTTAACCATTGTCACGCAGGTGTCTCAGCATCGATGAAGTATTGTTAGTGTAAGACAATACTTGTGTGCAGAGCGACACCGTACCTAACAACAACAGTAATAATGATGATTTAAAATAATATCTAAAGAGCAACATAAATGGCAGCTGTAAATAAGAAAATAGGTGTGACCTTGTTAGGTGGAATTAGATCAAAGTGATCCCAAACCATGGATCGCTTTTTTCCCACTTGTAGATGCCATCGAAAATGAAACAAATGCCAAAAGTCGCCAAAAGTCTCCACTAACGTCACACAATACTCCTCACTACCCAACATTTTTAAGAAATATTGGTGCATCTTTTATCCTGTAGCAGTTTAGCGTTTGTCAAACCACGGAAGTGCGCTGAACACTCTGAAGCATCTGAACCAATCACAGAGCAGAACATTCACTGAGCCAATAAGATACACTGAAGCGATTGAAGCAGTCGGGGGAGGGACCAACACTTCCACACTTTGGTCACGTGAGCGGCTGCTGCGAGACGAGCTCCGAGGCAGAGCTTCAGAGCTCCGTCTCATTTGCCCATCACTAATGATTACATTACTAACTATAATTTTATAACTTTTTTAATACTGTATCCTAAATTGTCAATAATTAAGCTAACATAACATATGATGAAGTATATTTCTAGAGATTAAAGATTAAAAAGAACCACACAGAACCGAAAACAGTGACCTTAAACCGCAATTTATTTATTTAATATTATTATGATTACACTGTATGTTGATTGTCTTTTCTTTTTTTGAATTATGGTGTTTTGGTCCACTGTTCCTTCACAACCTGTCATCCTTGGGTACTTGCCACATTCTATTTAAGGCGACCACCTGAGCTCTCATTCTGTTTGCCTGACGAAGCCCTAGTGCCGAAACGTTGCACGGTTTGTCCTAATAAATCTCACAATTTGCAAGTAAGACAGTGTGCGGGATTTTCCTCTATGTTCTTGCAACTGCATCTTTCAAAGCCATTCCTGCTCAGGGAGGGTCAGCAGATCTGTGTCAAGGCAGTTTGAGGAGAGGAAGATTCCAAAAGTGTCTCTCCTCTGTGTCCTGCAGCGTCACAGCAGCCTCCAGGGGGCGCCAGGTGAACACAATAGGAAAGGCCCCATTCTTGCTCCACTCCAATCAGTGATGAAACCGTTGATTCCTTCTAAGTGTTTCCTCTGGAAGGTCTTCTGCTACATTTGCTGCCACATACGCTGTACAAAGCCTTCAGCATCTTACATGTCCATTATTAGCTCCATAGTTAGTTCCTTATTTAGCCTCTTGCACAGTCTCCATGGATACGGGAAAAACACAATCATTTCACAAAATCCAACAGTCCCTTACTTGTGTCCTTTGAATTGCACATGCTGCACTTCTGTGGCTACGTACAAACTGCAGAGCTTAATGCTCAATTCGGATTTTCTTTTTGAAATCCGATGTTTTTGCGAGGTCGTTCACATTTCCAATTAAATGTGACTTGTATGTGATCTCCAGTGTGAACATTAAACGGCCCAAAAGTGTCCCGCATGTGCACTAGAGGACACAACGACCTCAGCCGCAGTGAGCGTGCTCTGTGTTTACGGAAGTTGTCCAAACATGGACGCGTGAGCATTGAGCACCTGGAGATTTTAAAGTTCCTCTCGTACCGGAGCCAGAACATGAACAACTTACTTGTTTTAAGGAGGAGACTGGGAGGTTTTTGGCCGTGGTGTTTTGTGGGGCAGTGGCAGCGACATCCGTTGAAAGGAGCGTGTGGATGCGGAGATGTAGCCAAGAGTGGTGGGACAGCGATGTGCTTCTCTTCAGTGACACGGAGTTCATTAACAATTTTCATATGACGAGAAGAATGTTTGTGTACATTTGTCGCTTGTTGATAACGTGTAGGTCGGATGAATGCTCTGCTCAGACTGAAGTCGCATGTCAAAAGATCGGATATGTTTAGGTTTTAGGAGCACATATCCAAGTGGCCTGGGTCGCATTTGAAAAATTCGGATCTGTGTCATTCAGACTGTCATTAAAAGATCAGATACAGGTCACAGGGGCCAAAATATCAGATTTGGGTCACTTCAGGCTGCAGTCTGAACGTAGCCTATGTTGGTTCAAATGGGGGAGCCAGATAGCCACAAATGCAGCCAACCACCTTGTTGCCATGTGAACAGGCCTTTAGAGCATCAATATTGACCGATACCAATGAATTTGTATTAATACAGTAACCGATAACCGACCAATCTTTAGTTTCAGCGTCCTGTTATGTGCTACATTTGAGGATTTTTTTGCATAAATCACAATTCCGTTTAATTTAGTATTTTTTATTTCAATAAGAAACTACAAGAGACAGATGATTAAGAAAGTACTTTACATTACAGTGAAAACTCTAATGATTCTAAATATAAAAAGTAGTACATTAAAAGAGCTATAGGACTTTTAAAATATAAGGCAACTTTTTATCATTCTCAACTCTATCCTGAACATTCATAATATGGACATACAATATAAATAAATCAGTACAATATCTACAAAATTGTGCAAGAACGCATTCATCGAGCTTATATGTGCAAAGTACACCGTAAAAAATGAATCCTACATAACCTAGTTTCAGTTTGTTTACTTCTGTATTAGACATATTTTAGTTAAAGGGCCTATATTACTCTATTTTCTGATCTATGTTATAATGATTTTCCTCATCACAAACAGACCTGGAGTTGCGTTTTGTTGTGCATATTTGGGCTGAGTTCTTCTGTCAAACTGAAAATACTCTGTTTCGACTTGTGATGTCATGTGGTAATACAAATACAAGTACTCCATTGTGTTTTAAAACTCCACACCTTCACTAGAATCATTTGTGTAATTTCAACCCTGGAATTGCCAACCTCTGCAAAACAAAAGGTAGCTGTTAACTTTAAAACTACTTCTTCATGACATCACAAGGTGGAATAGAGCATTTTGAGCTTAGACAGACTAACAATGCTGGATTAGTCAAACATGTGTGGATGAAACAAACCAAACTCCAGGTGTGTATGTGAGGAAGTAACAGCATTCTAAGAACAGAAGCAGAGAAGCAAATAAACGTTTATCCAGTTGACAAATTGAATTTCTCCTTTGCCAAGCATTATAACAAGGCTTAAAGCTCACAAGAGTCAGTTTTGCGTAATACTGGACCTTTAACTTGTCTCTTATTGGTTTTCATTGTCCCTGGTTTCAAGCAAAATCTGATTTAAGTGGAGTAAGAAAATTTTAGTACTTACGATGTGTTTGAGCTCAGTTAAGTCCTCCTGGTGAAGACTTCTACCTGGTCTAGACCTGGTTTAGTCCTGGTTTAGTCCTGGTTTAGTCCTGGTCTAGTCCTGGGTTAGTTCTGGTTTAATCCTGGTCTGGTCCTGGTCTAGTCCTGGGTTAGTTCTGGTTTAATCCTGGTCTGGTCCTGGTTTAGTCCTGGGTTAGTCCTGAGCAAGTCCTGGGCAAGTCCTGGGCAAGTCCTGGGCAAGTCCTGGTCAGGTCCATGTTTAGTCATGGTCTAGTCCTGATTTAGTCCTGGTTTAGTTCTAGTTTAGTCCTGGTCTAGCCCTGGTCTAGTCCTGGTTTAGTCCTGGTCTAGTCTAGGTGATTTGGTCAATATGCAAGTGAAGAATATTCCACAAATCTCAATTAAAATACAAATTACAGATGATGAAACCAGTTCAAAATATCCATAAATAAATAAAATAATCTAGTCCAATGGTTATAGATATTATTTTTTGCAGTGCATCGACCATACTATCATGTAATCTTAATATTTCAGGTTTTATTATCTAGTTTCTTCTCGACGGACTGGAGCAGGAGCTGTGCGTATTGCTCCAGCAGAACCAGGGTCTTATCCCCCTCTCCTGTGTCCACCTGAGAGCCCTCTTCCTGCGGGTGGAGAGGAGGGGGAGGAGGGAGAGAGTGGAGCTCCGTCTTTATAGAAACAAAGGCTGCGGACAAGAGGCTCTTCATCTGCTGCTGGTCCTCAGTCAGGTCTGAGCCACTGCCAACGACCTGCAGGAAATCAGATAGAAGAGATACAGGAGATAGATGTGGCATTACGGACTCATTGTTCATCATAAATAAGACATAAACAAGATCATATAAAACAAGTAAGCATCATGTGTATGGGCGACATCTTGAGGACTTTTTACCTTTCAAAAGAGAATATTGTGTTTTGAATTGTTAACAGTGTAAAATTTTAATATAGCATTAGTTAAAGTTTGTATGGAGGATTTTTTTAGTTTCAAATTGTCAATGAAAGTTTAAAATACCATTACAGAGATGCAGCAGCCTTGTAATTATGATGAACAAAAAAAAAAAAAGAAAATCTATCAACTGTGGACGTAGTGAGGCCAGATAAACATCAGCCAATAGACAACAAGGCTACCTCATTTTCTATTGGCTGTTGGGTTGTCAATCAAACTCCCTAGTGTAACTGACTCGTGGTTTATGCAGCGGTTCTTAGAGGCTGTAGCTTCCTCGCATTTCGCACAAAGTCTGTTGCAATGGCGGACGAGAATCCACGACCAGTTCGCCGCCAAAGAAAGTCTGTTTTTGAGGTCGCTAAAAGAAGAAGAGAAGGGGAAAAGGAGCAAAGCCAAACTGAGGTGATTCTCGGAGATTCCTTCCAGCAATGGTGCGACAGAAGCAGACAAAGGGTGTAAAAGTTGATGCATCGGTTTCTAAATTATTTCTAGACAGGTCACTTCAACAGTAATTCTAAACGCGCACTGGCTGTAAACATACGTGATTTCTAGATTAAGGAGGCAGGAGGAGGTGTTTCTACTGAGGGAGCTGTGGAGGAGGAAGGTGGTGTCACGCAGGCACAAGGACCGTCGCTGTAGTTCTCTTCCCTTAAAATATCCTCTATACAACCTTTAATATAATCAATAGTCACATTTTTTTATAGCGCTTTTCCACCTTCAAGAAACTCAAAGCACTTTAAATCAACGAACCACTCACACATTCACACACCAGCGCACACAGACACTGGGGACGAGCTAGGATAAGTGTATTGCCCAAGGACACAACAACAGGATTCATCTGTGGAAGCTGGAATCGAACCCCCAATCTTCGATGGAGTAGACAAACTACCAACTGAGCTACTGTAGCCTACAAACAGAGGCGGCGCTACCATTAAGCAACAGTAGGCGGCCACCTAGGTCCCCCAAACCTGGAGGGGCCCCCAACCAATTGCCCTCAGTGCCACTAATGGCCTCAGAGTAGTATGATTTTCTCTCAATATGACATTAAATGAGAGTAGTTTTACTTTTAAACAAGAAAAAAAAAATCTAAATAGTATCTGATTGTCAAATCTATTTTAATTGTCAAAAAATTCCCCCATTCACGTTAGAATGGACGAGTCAGCTTGACCCTGATTTGAACATAATCGTAGTCATGTCATAATCATATGTAATGGATGTGAACAAAAATTTAATTGTACTGGCAAAAAAATAAAACTGGTTATCTAGTAGGCGACCGAACTAATAAGACGAGTTTACAAATTCACAAATAAAGATGTGCGTGTCTCATGAACAATGGGGAAAAACATACAATACATATTAAAGAAATACAAAAAAAAAAAAAAACAACAACAAAAAACCCCAACAAAACAGTGCATTATAGTGAGGGCCCAAAACTCAAGCTCGCCTAGGGCCCCCAAACTGCTAACTCTGCCACTGCCCATACATTATTACTCTGAAACACATGGGAAGTTTATAAGTAGCTGAGATTGAACCACCAACCTTTGAGTTCTCCACTTGCTCAGTCGTTTTCTAACTGAAATTATGTGTTGCACCATAATAACACATTGGATCTGTACAGAGCTTGTTGACGGTCTATTTAAAACTGTGTGCATTTTTCATTCACTTCACAATTAGGTTTTAAGATACTTCTGAAACCACAGCTGCCCTGGGTTACATTTATTTTATTTATTTTACTGACCTTTATTTAACCAGGTCCCACTTAAATATTTACCCATGCAACATTCGTTAACGGACACAACAGTATAACAGTTTAAGAGTTTAAGAGTGTAATGTGCTCCTTGTGAACACTAATATCAGTTAGTGGGCGATATTAAACCACACTGTTACCAGCATCAGTTTCATCATGATGTGATTTGACAGAGAGTGACAGACTGACCGTGGTGTAGGCGTGGATGCTCCTCCTCAGACAGTCCTGGAGCTCGGAGATCACCTGACGACACGTTTCCACGGTGATGGACTCTTCTGTGACAGACAGGGAAAGGAGGAGGTACATTTTAAAAATAACAAACATAAAGGAGACAATTAATTAATGTAATCTAAACTTGTAATTATTCAGGTGGAGGGTCAGCCTTCTTCTTATCACCATAGAAACATAGAGGCGAGTTTCAGCTGACGTCATTGTTATTAAAAGCCCTGCGTTGCATGCTGGGAAATATTTTGGTCGGAGGCAAGAAACATGGATAGCGATCAAACACAGTGCGTAACCTCACGTATTTATCCCTGATAATGGTAAATTCCTGCTGCATTATCGGATGCACAAATAGAAGCACGGAAGAAGGAAAATGTCTTTTTCGTATTCTGAGTGAAAAAGAAGAACCACTAACGGATGAATTAAATGACTTTTCAAACATTCCGCAGAGCAAACGTAGAAGATCCTAACAAACCGTGGACTCCAACAAGTTCAACAACACATCGAGACTCTTGGAGGTTTTCATCTTTTCTGCTGTGAATGGCCCAGGAGTTTCCACCAAGTCATTGTGGATATCACCAAAGTGAATATTTGTCCAGGTAGTTGGTGATTCCGACCAGAAATTTGGTTTGGTTTCACCTTTTGTCGGGGTTGAAAAGGGTGATTTGTCTCCATCGATGCTTATGACCAATTTCTGGTCAAATGGTCTTGGGTCCTCTGCCGTTAGAGTGGATAAATAACTGGGATCAATACCCTTTACGTGCTTTCTCGCTCCGTCCGTCATGTTGAATTAGTGTTTCTTGCTGCCGACTAAAATAATTCCCAGCATGCAACGCGCGCTTTTGTCAACAATGAAACTCGCCTATTACTTTGCCTGATCTTCCACTGTATGGCATTACTCTTACTCACGTATTCAGATTAAGGTGTTTACACTGCTAAAAACATACATTCTTAAAGTGAGCATGGATGAAGTTAAATGTCATACTGTGGTACATTCGACAACAATCACATCTCCATGGAAACAAGCAGATTCTCCACCATAAAAGTTACAAAACGCACATTTAAAGGGCCCATATTACACTATTTTTCTCATCACAAACAGACCTGGAGTTGTGTTTTGTTTCATTCACACATATTTAACAAACAAACCCTTCTTCTCTTCAACAGAAAACCCTCATTTCCACCTTGTGATGTCATGTGGTAATACAGGAAGTGCTCCACTGCTCCTCACTAGTTTTAACAGACATCAACACCCCTGACCCCTGTTTTACTTCGCTTCACTGTCTGCCTGTGTGTTTTAGAATTGAGTTTAAGATTTTACTGATCACTTTTAAAGCTCATTTAGATCTTTCACCAAGTTATATTTCGGAATGTTTAACCCTGTACGAGCCTCCCACAGCCGCAGATCCTCAGGCAGGTCCATGTGGTTGTTCCAAAGTCTTTGCAGAGGAGATAAGGCTCGCACCAGAATCATCTTTTAAATCACTTCTTAAGATTTATTTTTATCAGTTGACCTTCCTTTAACTGGTTTAGCTTGATTTTATTCCTTATTTATTTATTTTTATTCTAATTATTTTTATTTATTTATTATAATTAATTGGATTGTTTGCATCATTTTTTTTGTTTGCATCATTTTTATGCTTTCTGTGTGTTGTTTTTATGCTTTTTGTATTGTTCGTTGCTGTTTGTAAAGCACTTTGTAAACCTTATTACCTTATTATTATTATTAGTGTGTTTTAAATCTCCATACACCTTCATTAGAATCATTTAGATCATTTTGGCCCCGGAATTACCAATCTCTACTGAACTAAAGGTAGCTGTTAACATGAAAACAGTACATGACATCACAAGGTGGAACAGAGTGTTTTGAGCTTTGGAGATGTAATAATAAATGATTGTGGTACTCAAACATGTGTGAATGAAACAAAACACAACTCCAGGTATGTTTCGATGAGGTAATAGCATTAAAACATGGTTATCAGATCACAAGATTCAGTTTTGCGTAATATAGCACCTTTAAGTTCTAGCTCATGTAAATAATGCAGTTATTTCTATACTGTACACTCTACGACCTTGATAGATGAAAGACTTTGAATTCACCTTTCTTTGAGTCTGCACTTGTCATACCACTCTGCTCATCCACCAGAGGGCGCTCTTCCCCTTCCACCACCTCCACCTGCTCTGCCTCCGTCACGCTGCCAATGACGGACAACACACAGAGTTAGTGATATAACAGACCACAGTTTAACCTGAAGAGCAGAGGTTATATAAGAGTTTCACCTCTCACACACGGACCTCGTCTTCGTCTTCAGTGGCAGCGGGCTCTGAACAGGCAGCTCTCTGGTGTGTGGCCTGTGCACTGAGGACAACAGAGTGACAAGACTAATCAGATTTCCTCGTCCATTTCCTCTTCCTGTCTCTATCCATCATCAGTGAGATCGGGTTAACGGTCTAACCTGGTTTATCGTTTCCAGAGGCAGTGACAGAGGCAAGGTCCGGGCTGGTGGGGGCACAAGATCGAGACTGGCTGAACTGCAAAGGAAAGGTTTAAACTTAATATAATAGATAGATAATGTTACACTATTTTCTGATCTATCTTACAGTGTAGTTTCCTCATCAAACACATATCTGGAGCTGTGTTTTGTTTCATTCACACATGTTTAACACACAAACCCTGCGTACTTAGGCTCAGTTCTTCTCTCAAACAGAAAATACTCTGTTCCACCACTGAGTTTAATGCCATACTCTGTTTACATGGAGACTTGAATGCTTTAACTGAAATGTTACAAACTAAACGCAGACCCTCTACCATAAAAGTTACAAAGTGCACCTGTGTAACTATCTCCTATAGATAATGCTTTTATTTCTTTATCTTTTTTACTAGGGACCTTGTGATGTCATGTGGTGAAACAGGAAGTGCGCCACTGCGTTTTTAAACTGCATAAACCTTCACTAGAATCATTTGGATTACCATATTTTTGGACTATAAATTGCACTTAAAATCCTTTAATTTTCTCAAAAATGGACAGTGTGCCTTATAATCCGGTGTGCCTTATGTATTAATTCTGGTTGTGTTTACTGACCTCGAACCAATTTTATGTGGTACATGGTGCTCAGAAATCTGTCAAAATGTTTTAGTACAGTTTTGGTAAGATATGAAGCTGCACCACTTGGATTGTCGGAGCATTACAGCTACTGTAGTCAGGAGCCTCACGGAGAAAGTCCGAAAGGAGCTGAACTGCATCAGCGTACAAGGAGCAAGCTTTTTTTTTCCATGTTTAAGTTTCATTTTTGTAAAATGTAAAACAAATGTGTCAAAGCTGCATTAAACACATTATTACTCAATGTATATTTGAGTCCTTCTGGGAAATAAAAAACAAACATTCACATTTATAATGCACATTCACCAAGACAGGGAGACAACACTGGGCGAAGTCACGATCTGTCAGTGGATCGTGGATGCCTGGGCATTAGTTTCATCCATTTGTTTCGCTTAATGCGCCTTATAATCCGATGTGCCTTATGTATGAAAATAGACGACAGAATTCAACATTATTGATAGTGCGTTTTATAATCCAGTGCACCTTATAGTTTGAAAAATATTAACAATCTCTACAAAAGGTAAAAGGAGCAGTTACCTTGAAAACTACCACTACCTGACATCACAAAGTGGAACAGAGCAATTTGAGTTTTAATGTAGATGGACTAATAATAAAGCATTACTCAAACGTGTGAATGAAACAAAAACCCAACTCCAGGTCTGTTTTTGAGGAGATAACAGCATTGTAACACAGTTTAAAGCTCACAAGGCCTTCAGCAATATTTGAAAAAGTTCAGAATAACTGATCTTAATTTCAGTTATGTTAGTTTAGATTTATTAACAGGCTTCAGTACAGTCTTTTATTTTAAAGTAAGTAGTGGCACCACGTGTAAAATATATATACATGGAAAGCTTCTGAGTTTCTTGTCATAGAATACTGACACTAAAATTTGACGTTGAACTTTTATATTGAAATCAGCAAGAAACAGGTTGAAAAAAGTTGCTCAATCTAAACACATTTTTACATTCAAACATACAATATCTACTGTAAATATATTTTCTATACAGTGTGGGCCTTACTTCTGGAGCCAGGCAGCGTCGCGGGCTGACGGGGTGCCTGAGTTGAGGTATCCGAGAAGGACTGACTACACAGGGGGTTATAGAAGTGTGGCGAGGAGGGGTCGGAGAGGGACTTTTGGATAGCGAAAATCCCACAGGAGACGAAGCGAGCAAAGGAAGGTCAGCGGCATCCAGATTCGGTTGTTTTTTGGTTAAATTTGGCGATCGCGGCGGTGATCCGAGTTGCAATCCTTCGCCCACGGAGAATGAGCGGCTAATTTTAGCGATGGAGCTGGCTGTTGGGTTCATGTAGGAGTGGGGGGTCCTGGGAGAGGGGGTGGGGTCCCAGGGCAGAGGGGAGAGGGGGGACAGGGAGGAAGAGAAGGAAGAGGAGGGAGGAGAGGAGAGGAGGAGGGAGGGTTTGGGCCGGTCCAAAAACAGGTGTTGAGGACGCTGTGGGGTTTGTCTACGCTCACTGGAGGGGACAGGTGAGACAGGAGCTGCAGAGAAAGAAAGGAAAGAAAGAATCAATCAATATTTCACACTCAAATTGGCTTATTTCACTTGGATAATCATTTTGTAAAGCTGTCCTGATTGGATTTTTAACAGGTAAAATCAATCTTATCCCTGAAAAAAGTTCCATCTACAAACTGTTTTTTATCTCAATTTGAGTAGTTCTGATTCATTTACTTATTAGACCAAAATCATTTGAGCATAATCATTTCATTAAATCCTGTAAAACCTCCAAATAAAGAAATTAAAATAAAAAAGGTAATTTTCTTGACAGGTTTTGTGGATGAAAATAAATAAAGGAAACATCTATTCAAAGCCAAAAATATCGAATTGAAATCATACTGTTGATATATTTTTGATCTGATTAAAAGAGAATTTAAGTAATTTATCCTCCACGTACGTCTCTCAGCTTAACGTTGACTCATAGGAGCTGTAGTAACACGATCATCTGTGATACGAGCAGCTGCTTCAAGCTCAGACTCTTGTGTACATTCGGGACACTGATGAGAGAGATGTACGTGGAGGATAAATTACTTACATTTTCTTACATTGATGATGTAATGCTCCACAAAAAGATGGATTGTTGTGATATTCGTGAGTTTGTGAACTCATGAGAATCCATCTTCAGAGACTCCCGCTGTGAGGGTCAAATTCGCCCAGCAGCGAGTGGGCCAATCACGTCGCAGCAGTGAATTTTGTGAGGAAGCCAGAGGCAAAGCGCCCAAACAAACCAAAACAAATATGGCCACGGCAACAGATGTACTTCAGCCTATTTCAGCGTCTATACGGACTATTTTGTTTGTGAAAAGCACGCAGAAGGTAAGCGCTTTGTGCATTTGTGGACAGATGTCTGTGCTTTTTTCTTTTTTCTCAACTGGATTTAAATTTTTTTTTTTCGACTGCTGAGAGCTGCTCCAGATTGGTAAATGTGCAGCCCTCAATTCGTACTGCTACATATATCAGTCTGGTGAGAGTCAGGTTACTGATGAAGGCCAGAGGGCAGTGTTCATTATCAAATTTAAGTATTTTTTTTTTATGCAATGAAACAAAAAGCACAACTTTACCAAAACAAATAAGACATTAGTATTGCCTGAGGTTTTGTTAAAGTAGTGGTAGTATCTGTCTTACTTTGAGAGGGCAGGTTCTGCACAGAGTGAGCTTTATATAAACAGTTGCTTGTGTCCAGAGGAGGAGCTTTGGCTGAAGGGATGGACCGTCTCCACAAGTGTCCACCAGGGGGCCTCTTGTTCTTCTGAGCCCGGAGGAGAGGTGCACTGACTGTGTCTGATCTAAATGAGGAACAAAAAAATTTTTTTCATTTATTATCACAAAAACATTCTGCTAAATACACTTGAGTGCACTCTGCGATCGCAGAATGCTGGCAAATAATAGTAACAATATTAATGAATTTTGCATTTGATTAGAACCAAAATAGCTAAAACACTGAATTTAACAGAAGCTAAAACAATTATTTCTTACCTCACACACTTGTCATTAGTAGATTTAACGTCTTCAGTGAATCTGTCATGTACATTCCCCATTAGGGGGCGCACTTTGGACACTGGGGGCTTAGCGCTACAACAAAAACAAAAAGGATTTGCCTGATCAACAAATCTGCAATCAGACAGTTAAAGGGCCCATATTACACTATTTTCTGATCTATGTTATAATGTTCTTTTCTCGTCACAAACAGACCTGGAGTTGTGTTTTGTTTCATTCAGACTTGTTTAAAACACAAGCCCTGCATATTTAGGCTCAGTTCTTTTTTTTTTTTCTTCTTCTCAGTTCTTCTCTCAAACGGAAATCGCTCCACCTTGTGATGTCATGTGGTAATACAGGACGTGCTCCACTGCCCTTTTAAACTCCATACAGCTTTACTAGAATCATTTAGATGATTTCAGTCCTGGAATTGTCAGTCTCTACTGAACTGAAGGTAAAAGGTAGCTTGAAAACTACTGCTTGTGACATCACAAGTGAAACAGCATTTTCAGCTTTGAAGACAGACTAATAATAAAGGGTTTCTCAAACACGTGAAAGAAACAAACACAACTCCAGGTCTGTTTTGGATGAGGTAACAACATTCTGACATGACTTAAAGCTCACAAGGGTCCATTTTGTGTAATATGGGACCTTTAAAAGTTTTATATGAATGGATCAGAGTCTGTAAAAGTGTTTGAGTATCCCACTGTGAGGAGGATGGTTTCAGGGTCCTATAATCCTCCCGTGGTTTGTCTCTGTAATAATATCTGTGTGGGTGCTGTTATTTGGGCTGTACCTGTTCTGTCCTCTGCTCAGGAAGCGTGAAGAGAAACTGGGGACTGGGCTCTGAGCTGTGGACACAAACCAGAGTCACAAACAAGAGCTACAGGCACAACAAATGTTTTACCCGTTTAGATTGTTGTTGCTGTTGTTTTAAACTGGCGTGAGACAAGATTTAATATATAATTTCCCGTTAGCATGTTAGGAAAACAGTGTGGAACATTTTATTAAAGCTTTTGCTATGGTTTTGTTGATATGTGGAACTGCATCAACTGATCCATTTATGCACTAATTATGCACTATGAACGCTTTCTGTATTCTCCACGGAAGTGTTATTGCTGGGCCTGTAATGTTCCACAGTAATCCATTAAAATTATCTCCGTAGAGACACGCAGGTGACGCCACCAGGACAAGTTCAGGTCAGATGTGTGGAGAGGTAACATTCTGTGACCCCGCTCACATGCTTCACTCTTCTTCTTAGATCTACTTATGGACAATGCAAATGCTACAGGCTTTTTACACCATATGTATCAATAAATATGGTAGAAGACCTTCTAAGTGAAAGACTGTATGAGACCTTCCAGAAGAAATCATTTCATCACCAACCAAAACACCAAAGCAGAGCTAGAGTGAGGCCTTTCCTGTTGTGTTCACCTGGCGCCCCCTGCAGGCTGCTGTGATGCTGCAGGACACAGAGGAGGGACACTTTTGGCTGTTCCTCTCCTCAAACTGCCCTGACACAAATCTGCTGACACTCCCTGACCAGTCCTCCTGTTAAACTGCACGGAGACCTTTGACTGAGACACAAAGGCGAGTTGCAGAGTAGAAATGTTGCTGCAGCAAAACTTGAATTTCCCTCAGGGTCAATAAAGTCTCTCTCTCTCTCTTTCTCAAAATAGAAAAATGCAAAACAGTGGCATGCTCTGGGACATTCCAGTAATAATAACATCCCCATGGAAACAAGTAGATAGCAGACATCCCCGTAAAAAGTTATTTAGTGCACCTTTAATTCCTTAAACAGCCATCTTTAACTTGGAAAACACTTGACAGATTATAGATTTCCTCACCCGCCCTGTTGCTGTTGCTGCTGTTGTTCTTGTTGTGTTTTAGATCCTGGTGGTTGTTGTTGATGATGTCCTCTGTGTGGTCTTCAGTCACCGTCCTCAGAGCCTCCTCTACACTGCTCACTGTGAGGGGAGAGACCTGATCCTCTTCTCCCTCCTCCTTTTCTGCTCCTTCTATCTCCTCTGAGCTGTCCTGGTTCAAAGAGTCCACTTCTGAAAAAAACAAACAAATCTCATCTTATTAAAATGCACGCTTAGAAGTCTTTCACATCTGTAATATTGGCACAAAATTAGTGAGGGATGGGCACATAATAGGAATGTAACAATAACCCAAATATCGTGATATCGTATCGTCAAAAGTCTCACAATAATATCGTGGACCGTCACAATATATCAAATCACAAGTTCCTTTGCTTAAATGCATGGTTTTATAGTAGCAACAGCTTAGAAACATTGGGAACTACATATCCCATGATTCATTTCAGTGCAAACAACATGAAGAAATATGTTTTTTAACTGACTTTTTGGGATTAATTCACACCAAAATCTTGCCATGGTGTTTTAAAAGCAAAAAAGTATTCTATCTACATTTATATTAGCCTCTTCAAAATATCGCAATAAATATCGTACCCTGAGATCCATATCGTGATAATATTGCACTGAGAGATTTGGATATCGTTACATCCCTAGCACATAATCTAATTGAGATCCACTTTTCAATAGAGAGATCTACAGTACAGCTAATTCTGGCAGTAAAAATGTGTTTTGGAGCAGAGTTCAGATTTTGGACGAAGAAATTTGACTACTTTTTGTGTTGAATCGCAATGATTCAATGTTTTGATTATTTGTTTTTACACTGAGATCACCTTTAAAGAGCCCAGATTACACTATTTCCTCAATAGAGCGTTTTGAGTTTTGGAGATGTAAACAGCCTAATAATGCAGGTTTACTCAAACGTGAAAAAAATGAAACAAAACGCAACTTCAGGTATGTTTTTGATATGGTAACAGCATAATAACATGGTTTATAGCTCTCCTGGATGTATCTAAAATGTAAAAATGAATGAGATGGAGTGTCATTAACTAAAACTAATCTACATGAAGAATAATAATTCAAACTCTTATCTTTGCTTTGAACAAAAAGACGGTAGTTTAAAGGTGCACTATGTAACATTTCTCGTGAAGGGTTCACCACTTACTTGTCTCCATGGAAATGTTATTGCTTTGTCTAGAATGTTCCACAGTTTAGATTAAACCTACACTGTAAAATCTGACACTAGGGTTCACTTGCATTCAGCTCGTTTACTTTACTCACAGCTACGAATGAGTGGATCTTAATGATTGTGGTAAAGTAACAGTTACTTTCAATGCAAAAAAAGCTCATTATTTCAATTAGACTAAAGTCGACTCGAATGAGACGAGTAACTTCAACAGTGACGTGTTACTGCCAAGAGTCCAGCTCCATTACCCAGTTGTTTCCGTTCCTACTTTTGCTACCTACCTGTTTTTCCTACAGCTCCACTCATTCCCTGATCCTCCCAGAGCGTCTCTATATCCTCCCTCTGTTCATCCAGTCTCTATATCCTCCCTCTGTTCATCCAGTCTCTATATCCTCCCTCTGTTCATCCAGTCTCTATATCCTCCCTCTGTTCATCCAGTCTCTATATCCTCCCTCTGTTCATCCAGTCTCTATATCCTCCCTCTGTTCATCCAGTCTCTATATCCTCCCTCTGTTCATTCCAGTCTCTATATCCTCCCTCTGTTCATCCAGTCTCTATATCCTCCCTCTGTTCATTCAGTCTCTATATCCTCCCTCTGTTCATCCAGTCTCTATATCCTCCCTCTGTTCATTCAGTCTCTATATCCTCCCTCTCATCCAGTCTCTATATCCTCCCTCTGTTCATCCAGTCTCTATATCCTCCCTCTGTTCATCCAGTCTCTATATCCTCCCTCTGTTCATCCAGTCTCTATATCCTCCCTCTGTTCATCCAGTCTCTATATCCTCCCTCTGTTCATCCAGTCTGTGCTGGATTACACCTGTTCACCTGTTTTGTTTCTTCCAGTGCGTGGCCTTGGTTGAGTCGACATGGAATAACCGAGCTTTATTATTTACACATGTTGGGATGTGCTTTGAACTTAAGTTCAACTAAAGTTTTGCTATGTTTTTTTCAAAGACTAATGAAGCAAATATTCAAATCCTTGTACCTGATGCAGATCTAAATGGCATTATTGTATATAAGTAACGTTTACATTACAAAAAAGCTTAAGATATAAACACTTAAATTTATCAGAAAATGACTTAAAAGTATAATTATCTTGCTGCATGGACAAATAATTTTACTAGGTAAGTTATCTTATAATAAACTACCCCCAGACTAGAATTAAACAGTCTCAGAAGTAGTAAGTATCATAAAACTGAAAACAAGATGAATAACCTGATATAAGTTTTAAAATCTTGGCCAAATCAGAGAAATTTGCAGTGTAATTCCTCAATTCGGTTTCTATGGTTTGAAGATGAAATTGCTGTTTTAAAAGTAAAGGTTTCTGCATATTTCAGATTTGAGGAACTGACTGATTCGTGGGCGCAGCTTCACAACATGAGTTCTATGAATGAAAACTAAAGTTCACTTCACTTGCTGTGCCTAGTTCGATGAAAGAAGAATTTACTGGACACCACACTGAGGAATTACTTGTAAGCTCTGCTGTAGATTCACAGTCCACTTTAGTCAGATTTTTCAAGGCAATTGGTTTCCGAGATTTTTCCAAGTAGGTCTACTTATTCGATTTTACAGTGTATCTATCACATTACAGTTCAGATCTGTGGAGTGCTGTCCCTACTCACAGACGGAATTATTGTATTTTAAGCAATAAAAACACCAATCAATTAATAAATGGTAGATGGAAATGTTTGATGTCCAGGCAAAGCAATAACATCTCCATGGAGACAAGTAGATAGTAGACCCTCCACCACAAAAGTTACACAGTGCAGCTTTAAGTCAAATGTAAACGTATATATCTTGATAAAATCAGTCTGTACCGTCCAGGAGGTAGTCAGGGCTGGACTCTCTGCTGTCGTATCCCACAGAACAGGCGCTGTCCGGACTTTGGCTCTCCTGGCTCTTGCTGCTCCTCCCTCTCCACTGCCCCCTGCTGGACACTGGCCTCTTCACTCTGTAATCACTGACGCAAGAAGACAGAAATAGAAACAATTAGATGCTGGGATCATTTAGGTGAAAGTGTTGCGTAGGCCTGCTCGATTTTAAAGCAAAATGTAATAAAAATGTATACGTATTGTGAGTAAATTTGCAGTTTATATTTGAAAGGTCCATATTACAGTTTTCTGATTTATGTTATAATGTTGTTTCCTCATCACAAACAGACCTAGAGTTGTTGTTTTGTTTCATTCTCACATTTTTAACACAAAAACCCTGCATATTTAGAAGTTCTTCTCTCAAACAAAAAACACTCTGTTCCACCTTGTGATGTCATGTGTTAAAACAGGAAGCGCTCCACTGCGTTTTTAAACTCTATACACTTTCTGTAGAATCATTTGGATTTCTGCTCTGGAATTGCCAATCTGTATGGAACTAAAGATAAAATGTGGCTGTTAACTTGAAAACTACCACTACATGAAATCACAGAGCATTTTGAGCTTTGGAGATGCAGACAGACTAATAAAAGAGACTCAAACATGTGTGAATGAAACAGAACACAACTCCAGGTCTGTTTTTGATGAGGTAATGACAATGTAAGATTATTCAATTTTGCGCAGATTTTCAAAATAAAAAACTGGGACAGGCCCCGGTTTTGGAGCAGTTGATAATAATGAAACTGTGAAAAGAGTGGGTAATTAAGAAGAACTGTTCTGCACTCGGCCCATTCATGACTAACACGTGAGTCAGTATAGTCACATTTTCTTTGTGTTTTGGTTATTTTCAAGCAGCTTTTCTGTATTTTACCAAAATAAATAACAATTTATCCCTCTACTGTTGGCAGGGAACAGATTGGTCAAAAATAGGGGCACCTGGGACATTTCTTGTATAAACTGGAACAAATCACTGTTTTTGGATAAATCTGCTGGATTTAACCAGGAAAGGAGGGAAGTAGGATTTTATTCAGATGTAATGTAAACAACTCCAGGAGCAATTAACATAGAGAGAAGACTGAAATATAAATTGACATATTTGTAGAGGTCTAAACTGAAGGGTTACTTTTCAGTTCAAGGATATATTGTATATTATATTTACAGTGGATAATTGTGTAATTACGTAAATAACTGCATTCTTTGTGATTTGATAATTGCACCTACTTAAAGTTCCAGTTTGATTGTCATATATATTGTGCATCTCCAGTGTTGTGTGTTTGGTCGTTTTTACCTTTCTCTGTCCTCGGTGAAGGGCAGAACTTCTTCAGCTCCAGGGACGCTCCGGGAGAGAGAGCGCCAGTCAGAGTGTTGTAAAGTCCTGCGCTGCCTGGATCCGTAATCCACCTAAAAACACAAAAACACTTCACTTAGAACATTAAGGTTAACATTAAAGATGATTTTTGTCAGAATAACCTATCCTGAAGCTAAATAAAATGTGACTATATATTGTAACTAACGATTGAAGACCATTTTCAAACGCGCAAAGAAAGTACACAGAATAAATATTTAATACAAAAATATGACTCAACTCTCATTTTTGTCTTAAAATCAAAAGAAGAAATGTTGTTTAAATGTTACTGTTAAGTATATATCCAGTTTGAATAATGGCTGGAGAATTTTACATGTTAATCATTTACATTTTTTATGTATCATGCCACCATTCAAATTGTGGAAGAGTAAATTTGTTGGTCTGACCTTGCCTAATCATCTGAGCTGGAGCAAAAGCACTACAATACTTTTAAGAATTCACTGTTAAGTATTCTCAGCAGCTTCTCTTCTTTTTGTGGAAACTAAGAGAACTCACAAAGAACTCAAAGATCCTGCTCTACTTTTATCCCTGCACCTTCGAAAGCCTCCTTGGCTCTATCACCGTGTGGTTCAGCAACATTACAGTCAAAGAGAGGAAAGTTCGAGGCTCTTTACAAATGTAGCCTTTCAAACCGAGGCCTTCAGATCATACACGACCTCTCTGGCCTCCTGCAGAGATGTTCAAGCTTCTCACCTCTGGAAGAAGATATCACTCTATTAAATGTAAAACTTCTTCCGTTAACAGCTTCTTCCCACAAACTTGAACAATGCACTTTGAACTTTGATGCAACACCTTAATATTTTGGCTCTTTAATCTTTGTAGCTTTTTCATTTCACAAAGTTGTCATGTCATCTTTATTGATTGTCTATTGTTTGTTCATGTGTTTGTTTTTAATGTCTCATTGTGCATTCTGAGCTTCTTGCACATGTTTTCCAATGCAGTTTTTAACTAAAATTGTCAAATAAACTAACCTAACCTCACCACACATACCAGAGGGTCCTGCAGGTTGCACATGCTCCTCCTGTCCCAGGTTTGGAGGGAGCCGTTGGGGCTGTTGGGGCTTTTCTTCTGCCCAAACGTCTCCAGCTGCCTCAGGTCCAACATGGACTTGACCATGAGCTCCAGAGACCCTCCCCTGAGAGACCACTGCCTCCGGGGACGCTTAGCCTGCTCTGAGGTCACTGTCCTGGGCTAAAACAGCAGTACACAGGCAGCAATGTTACCAAAACCATTTCTATATGTTAATTTGACTCTGTATATTCAACAGTCTTATCACAGCAGGAACATTTAAAGCTGCCCTATGGAAGTCAGAGTCCTGCATGGGTTCGTTTTGGAGACCCGCACCCACCCGTACCCATGTAGTACAGCACCGCACCCACCCATAAACCCATGATTTTATCAAAGTTAAACCTGCACCCGCCCGGACCGAATACAATTCCACCCGTTACCCGCCCGTGCCTGTAATACATCACACACAAATTAAACTCATTCTAACTGAAGCATCCATCAGAATATGAACTGAAAAGTTACGACTTCAAGAATTAGAATCACAAAATGAAATTAAATGATTACGCTTTCTTCAATACGAACACGAATTCACAGACGCGACTCGACTGTCATCACTTCACAGGCTTTATTTACTGAGCAGAAGAAACATTGATTGAGATGCTGGACTTTTGTGCCGCACACACCACAGGACTAACCCAGGGCTGATTCCAGTACTGAACTAGGACTAAAAAAGGACTAAACCAGAACTGAACCAGAACTGAACCAGGGCTCACTGTCGGGACATGTAGACTGTCGGGTGACCACAGATGTCCACGCACACGGAGGTAAGTGCTGCTGTCACCTGATCGTGCTTTCTCTCTCACTTGGTGTTCTCTCTCTCTTAAGTCCAAGATTAGTCCTGGTGTAGTCCTGGTTTAATTCTGATTTAGTGCCGACCCGCCTGTGTGTAATCACTACCCACCCGCATACCCTGCCTGTAAAATTCCAGAACATTAAAACCTGCCCATTTCAGCAACTATTTGCCTGTACCCGACCCAGAGCAGGACTCTGATGTAACTTTTCCTGTGGGGCCAGTCCACCACTTGCTCAGATCCACAGAGATGTTGTACCCAGTTCAGAATTGTAAGTTTTAGGCCATATATTAGATGCATGTCAATAAAACATCAATTTTAATGTTATTTTAGACTTGTTAAAATAGCAAAAACACAAAAACACACAGCAGTCTAAAAAAACACAATATGATGTTTTTAGTTTTTAATTATCTCCATAAAACCATAGCAGAGATTAGATGTTTATGCACAAACCTTTGGCAGCTCCCAGTCCTGTCCTTCATCTGAGCCACCTGTTACAGCAGAGGCATTTATGAGCTACAATATAATTGCGCACGAAAACCTTCAGAGGATTTTAATTCAGACTCGACATTTACATGCAAATAAAGCAATGGAGGCTAGAGGTTTTAAATGTGTGCATCTGTCCCTGGACTAAACAAGAACTTCACAGGGGAGATATGAGGTAAAAGCAGGACTAAACAAGGACTCTACCAGGACTGTGCCACTAGGAGCTTTTTTTGCATCTCATTTTCATCATCTCCCACCTCTACCTCTCTGAATTCAAACGAGCAGTTATCCATGGGTGTCAGAATGATGAAAAATTAGGACCAGGCCATAGTGATTCATCATTTAAAACTAAATATTATATATTTTGAGTAGAAAAAAAGGCCTCAAAATGTTGCATAGAACAGGAAGCTGAAATCCGTGTACAGATATTAGGATTTTCAGTTCAGTCAATTTTAAATCAATGGAGATTTTAAGATGCTAAATACTAAAGACAGCATTTATTCAAAAGTATTCCAATAGCATTGATACTTTGAAGCTGATGTCATACACATTCACTGAGGTGTGATGCTAACTGAAAGCACTGCTCTGTTATAAGCTCTATTACTCAAGTTTGTTTAGTTTTATTTTCACACAATCTGACCACAAAGAGCTCTCACCTTTTCTGTTGAAAATAAAACACCTAAACAGGACCATGGACACTTGTATTGATCACAGGCTACTGAAACTGTGATGTTTAAATCCATTTTGTATTTTTTCTTGAGTTTTCAGACAATCTTTTTTGACATTATTTGCTATTCTGTGCATTATGTCACCATGGAAACCATAGTTAATAGAGCACAAACTGAACTGAACTGAACCTTGGTACTATGAGGAGAACGTGCTACTGTTCTAACTTATACAACCTATACAACCTATACACTGTATACATAAATGAACATAGCTAATGTGCAGGCCGCTGCATTCCAAATAGGAAGTTTACATGCAGCTCTTCTGGCTCTGCTGACCCTGGCTCAGTCAGTATTGTCTTACATTGGAATATTGTGGTCCCTCTCTCTGTAACTGCTGCTGTGAGCCTCGTCATTTTGGTCTTAAAATGTTCCTGTGTGTGTGTTTTTTTTTAGGTATTTTGTCTGTCAAAAAAATTCTCTTCATAATATAGACCTTGGCTGCAAATTCATTCCTGTAACCCTTAGCATCTCGAGACTTGTTTGAATGATGCTGAATGTTGTGAGAGACGTCACACTCTCTTAGTCCACTTTTCTTTCTACAGTCTTTGCTCTAACCACTCTGCCACCATGCGGTGTTGTAAACTGATCCATATGTGAATGTGTTTTGACCTGTGTCCTCTTCTTCGTGGCTGCTGTCAGAGGTGACAGTCTGCTCTTCTTCAGTCACCGTGTCTTCGTGCTCATGGTCACTTTCTAAAGAGAGACCCTCTAGAGGTGGAGCGCTGTGCAGCTCTCTCCTACAAACACACACATAAACGTTAGGAATAACTCTACACTTAATAAAGAAACATCTATATCTAATCAGTGCTAGTGCAGCTTCTGCAGCACAATGAACAATTCTGAAGGTTCTAAGCTTTCACATGAGAAAAACTTGTATGTGTCCTCTGCAGTTTTAGGCTTAGGCACTGAAATATTCAATTGTGATAGAGATTGGATAGAGATTTTCAGAGCAAAACTGATCCAACTGATTCTAGTGAAGGTGTATGGCATTTAAAAACATAGTGGAGCACTTCCTCTATTGACATGACAGCACAAGGTGGAGTGTTTTCTGTTTGAGAGAAGAATTCAAAGCCCTAAATAAGCCTAAAATATGTAGAGTTTGTGTGAAAATGAAACAAAACACAACTCCAGGTCTGTTTGTGATGAGGAAACATTAGAACATAGATCAGAAAATAGAGTAATATGGGTCCTTTAAGAGTGTGGTATAATTATTCGGGTGGGCCATCTAATTGTTTCCTGGTTTGGTCTCATGGAGACCAAGTTACAGGTCAGGTCTGTGAAGAGGCGACCCCACCTCACAGTCAGAATGCCTGTTTTTATGGATATTATTGAGCTATAAAACCACCTGTAATTAAATAAATGTAAGGCAGAGCTGTTTAATGTCACACTGTGGAACATTCCAGACACAGGAATGACATATCCATAAAAACAAGCAGGTGACAAACCCCCAACCAAAAAGGTACATAGTGTTTTTTTAAACAATCCTCTCTAGCCCCACCTGCTGTCTGTGCGGTGTATGGGTGCGCTCGGGTCCTCTCTGAGCTGCCGGAGTCTCTGTCTCATCTTCAGTGCGAGTTCGGGGGCCAGTCTCCACACAAAGACACAGCTACAGCACAAGAGAAGAAGAAACAGCCACACATTAAACTTTCATATGTTCATTTCTGAGACAGAGGAGGAAACAGGGCTCTCATTTCCTCTCAGGTGGAAAAAGGTAAAAGACTCAGATACACTCAGATTCCTCTGTGATTGAATTTAAAGTCGTTTCAGGAGAATTGCTCCATTAATTATACAGAGGCTACAGAATACATTATACTGTAACCATATTGCTCGCTTTCACATGATATTTAACACAGGAGAGGGCAGCTAAAATAAATATTGTTGAAATACAGTTTGTCCCAGTACAAACAGGTCTGTTGTTCTGGGCTCCAGGGTTTTAGGGGCCCAGAATTGGACCCTTTTCGTATTCATTTATATTAGAGGGGAGCCCATGTGAGGATTCTTGCCTCACACAATCCAAATTTTCGGAAGTGTGCCTTAGCATGCTAGTTATTGTTAGCTTTACCATGATGACAAAACTCCAGTGTGATATGTGAAAGTTGTGAAAAGGACACAAGAAATTGGCCTAAACTAAACTTTTAAAAAAATTCAATTGTGATTCAATATTACAATTATTATAAAGTGAATAATAATAATTGTACCCATTATATGTGTAGATACAGTGTTTTTTACCTGTCTGCTGAGACTGAAATCAGATGCTTGCAGTCACTGGTGAATTTCAACCCAGTGACAATCTCTGAAAGAAATTAGATAAAATATTTAAAAAAATGTCATCTCTTTGCAAATTTTTGTACTTGTTTACAATAACTAAATTTTAATTAGCCTTAATAAACTAATTTTGTTCATGATTAATTAAGTCTTTGTTCATACTTTATTAAGAACGATTCAGGCTTAGAGCAACTACTTAAAGGTGCACTGTGTAACTTTTCTGGTAGAAGGTCCAACACCTGCTTGAAGTGAATGTTTTTTTAATGTTTTCCGTGGAATGTTCAACAGCATTGCATTGGCATTTAATTTAACTATCTGCATGGAGACAAGCAGGTGACTTTACAATGCAAGTTACAAGTCAGATCTGTGGAAAAGTGGGCCCGTTCACAGTAATAATGCATTTTTAACTGTAGTTTTGAGGAATAAAACACGTGTCATTAAATAAATATAAGATATGTTTGTTTAATGCCATACTGTGAAACATCTCAGGAAAAGCAATAACATCACCATGAAAACATGCTAAACCACAATCACTGTCAATAAATGATTTGTTTATTATGAGTTAAAGGTGCATTGTGTAACTTTTCTTGTGGCGGGTCCAATGCTTGTCTCCATGGAGATGTTATTGCTTTGTCTGGAATGTTTCACAGCAGAGGTGGGACCAAGTTGTTGTTTTGCGGCTCTCAAGTAAGTCTCAAGTCTTTGACCTCAAGTCTGAGTCAAGTCCTAAGTCAAATACAGACAAGTCCAAGTCGAGTCTCAAGTCACTGGCCCAGAAGTCCAAGACATCTGCTTTGAGCTTCAAGTCATTTCAAGTCTTTAAACAAAAGTACCAAATAGAGCTTAGATTATTGCAATTTATATGAATTTTAAGATAAATTGCACTTATAAAGTCATACAATATTTATATATGAGTATTTATAGAGTATGTAAGAGTTGTAAAAATGCAAATGATTCCTTTTTAAATGTCTTGACAAGATCTTAGAGTGAATCATTACAGTCAGCACAGAACGAATTCAGATTTAAAAGTGCTTCAAGTCTTCTCAAGTCACATGCCTCAAGTCCGAGTCAAGTCCCAAGTCACTGACCTTCAAGTCTGAGTCGAGTCCCAAGTCTTAGTCCATTTTATCAAGTCAAGTCTCAAGTCTGAAAATAGTGACTCAAGTCTGACTCAAGTCTAAGTCATGACTTGCAAGTCCCCATGTCTGTTTCGTAGTATGGCATTAAACCTTTCTATCTTCATGGTCACAGTCAGAACGCCTGTTTCTCTAGGTATTTTTGAGCTGTAAAACCACCTGTAACTGAATAAATGTAAGCTGGAGCTGTTTAATGTCATTCTTTGGAACATTCCAGCCAGATCAATGACATCTCCATAGAAACAAGCAGGTGATGGATCCCCAACCAAAAAGTTACATTGTGCACCTTTAAGTCTTTCATCATGATTTATTAAGGCTAATTAAGATGTAATAAAGTGGTAGCCTAAGTTTAATCTAATGATCCATATATACAAGTGTTTATTGTTACCTGAGTGTCCAAACATAGTGGTGACACATTCTCCAGTGTAGAAATCAAAGATGCTGATGTTTTTATCTGAGCAGCTGGTGGCTATGTACAAACCAGAGGGATCGATCTGAACCTATAACACAAAACAGAATACAAAATGAATATGTTTTTATAAGAAAATGTATAGTAAATGTTATGAAATACATAACATTACCTTGAGCAGACTGCCATCTTCACTCAATGATCCTTTAAAGGCCTTTTTCTGTTTACCTGAGCTGATGTCAAAAAGCCTGATAATAAAGAATGATAGGGCTGGATTAAAAGGGCCCATAATACACAGAATTTACTCTCTTTTCTTTAGCCATATTATAATGTTATTACTGCATCAAAAACATATCCGGAGTTGTGTTTTGTTTCATTCACAGATGTTTGAACAGCCCTTTATTCTGTCTACATGTCTGTCTACACAAAGCTCAAAGTGTTCTGTTCCACCTTGTGATGTCATGTAGCTGTAGTTTTCAAGTTAACAGTTCCATTTTCCTTTCCTTCCTTTCCTTTTACCAGTTCCAGAGCTGAAATTGTCCAAATGATTCTAGTGAAGGTTCACTGTTGGGCAAGTTACTTCAAAACGTTATGCGTTATTTATGGCTTGTTACCGTCATTTCAAAGTAATTTGTAAATTTGTATGGCATAATGTAAGATATTACTGTACAAGACTATTCCAGCACTTTTAAATTACTCTCACAATAACTGTGCGAAGATGCCGAACTTTTGCACCATATATGGACAGAACCAGGACTAAACCAGGACTAAACCAGAACTGAACCAGAACTGAACCAGGACTAAACCAGGACTAAACCAGGAATAAACCCAAGACTAAACCAGGATTAATCCTGGACTAGGACTTGGAATATGGGACCGCCCCTGAGAGAACCCCAAGCCCGTGGAGCAGGGTGTCCGCAAAGCGTGATCAGACGTCAGCTGTTCTTTGCTCTGTGGAGAGCGAAGTTCTGCGCCGGTCCTTTCGCCCACGGTTATCCATCGGTCTACAGGCGCACCTCTGGGCTCGTCCTGACATTCAGAACCATAACAATGGCGTTTCACCGCTGTTAATATTGCAGTGATTTTAGCAAATTTGTATGAAAAAAAACAAAACGAAAACCCACCACTTCAATCCAAGTCACAATGCATTGTGACGCGCGTTACTGACTGTACCATACTGACCATACTGACTGTATCAAGTTAAATATTACCATTTTTTCCATGTAATGCCGAACATTACTGCGTTACAGCAAAAAGCAACGCATTAGTAATTTGTTATTTTTATAACGTGTTACTCCGAACACTGTGAAGGTGTATGGAGTTTAAAAACACAGTGGAGCAGCTGTTTTACCACATGACATTACAAAGTGGAGCAGAGTATTTTCAGTTTGAAAGAAGAACTCAGCCTAAATCTGCACGGTTTGTGTGTTAAATGTGTGAATGAAACAAAACACAACTGCAGATATGTTTGTGATGAAGAAACAACATTATAACATAGATTAGAAAATACCATAACAAACCCTTTAAAATCCAGTTATACACGTCACAATATATTTATTAAAACTACAAAATAAAGTGTAAAAGTGTAACTTCAATTCTATCTAAAAGCAAGTGTATATAAAGTGCTTTTCTATCATCACAATGTCATTATTTTTTCACTTGGAACGTCTGATTTTATAAAGATGCTGAAATAATAGAAGAATTGTTTTCTTTTAGACAGTGTGAATGAAATAAAAAGCATTGTTGTTTTGTCCTTGTGCGAATAGTCGTACAATGTGATGTTTCTTCTCACAATAATATTAACTCTTTAATTGAATATTGTGACATCTCCACTGTTAAAACCGTATTTGCTCAAACAGACAAAGACAATTTTTCCTACTTCCTCCTCATATGATCAACCTCTGCCCTTCTCTGAGTGTTTGACAGGTGGGTCACAATGAACTCACCCAATATGCTTATTATAAGAATTTGGATTCACTGATGCAAATTTTGAGACATCCAGGAACAAAATATATCAGAGAATCCAACTAAAACAGCTGGACTTAGTTTTTGCAGCCCACTCCATTTCAAGTTCAGACTCAAATAGAATCCATGTGTCATTCGTTCATTCATTTTTCAAAATAAAATCAAAACTAAGAAAACGAAAAAAAAAAAAACTATTTTCTTCATTATTTGTCTCCAAAACCAAAAAGAAAAAATGGATAACGATTAATTTTTTTCAGTTTTCGATTTCGTGTTTAAATGAATAATGCAAAAAAAAAAAACGGATAACGGACGTTTCCTGTTTCCGTGACAAACCAGGTCTGGGACCAGATCAAGACTGAGACTAGGACTGAGACCAGGACTGAGACCAGGACTGAGACCAGGACTGAGACCAGGACTGAGACCAGGACTGAGACCAGGGCTGAGACCAGGGCTGAGACCGGGACCAGACCGTGATTGAAACGGGAACAAAACTGGGACCAGACCAGGACCAGACCGGGACCAGACTGTGATTCAAACCGGAACAAGACCGGGACCAGACCAGAACTGAGACCAGGATCCTGAGACCGGGATCAGACCAGGACTGAGGCCAGGACCTGACTGGGACTGAGACCAGGACAAGACCGGGACTGAGACCAGGACAAGACCGGGACTGAGACCAGGACAAGACCGGGACAGAGACCAGGACAAGACCGGGACTGAGACCGGGATTGAGACCGGGACCAGACTGGGACCAGACCAGAACTGAAGCCGGGACCAGACCAAGACTCAGGCCAGGACCAGACCAGGACTGAGACCAGGACTGAGACCTGGACTGAGACCTGGACTGAGACCTGGACTGAGACCTGGACTGAGACCAGGACTGAGACTGGGACCGGAGCAGGACTGAAAACGGTTCAGTCCTGGTTTAGTCCTGGTTTAGTCCTGGTTTAGTCCTGGTTTAGTCCTGGTTCAGTCCTGGTTTAGTCCTGGTTCAGTCCTGGTTTAGTCCTGGTTTAGTCCTGGTTTAGTCCTGGTTTAGTCCTGGTTTAATCCGGCATCGCAGGTTAAATCACGTTAACAGGAAACGGCCGTTATCTGTTTTTTCCATTATTCATTTAAACACAAAATCGAAAACTGAAAAAAACAAATTGTTATCCATTATTTTATTTTGGTTTTGGTCACAAATAATGAAGAAAATTGTTGTTTTTTTGTTTTCTAACTTTTGGTTTTATATTGAAAAACAAATGAACGAATGATACACGGATTAAATAGAACAGACTGCATTCATCTCTGTACTACTTTCTGTTTGTTCTGCTGTTACAAAGCTCGAAATAAAGAAAGAAACAAAAACAATAATGAAAAAACAGCTGACGTTCAAAAAGTCAGTAAGTCCAGCTGCTTTAGTTTTACTGTTTGATATGGAATTGTGATTAAATAAAAATGAAATAAGCAAAAATATAACGTTGGCTGCAGATGGTCCTTGTTGAGTTACTTGTCCCTATTTGGTTTAGTTTTAAGTTTTAATTCTCTTGACTTGGTTCTGTTCAGTCTTGGCCCTCCAGGGGGTCTAATTTGGCCCACGAGAGGGTGCCGAGATTCTACGAAGAATCTACTTTGATTCAATTTTGCAATGAAAAGACGCAGTCAGGAGATTGGAGGGAGGCCAATCCTGACTCTTTCCTAATACTTTAAGTCAATTTAATCATAACATTTCTTTGAAGACAAACATTTTTATGTGCAAACTCACTAATGCACATTCATTTTGGTCCATTGAGGAAAAGGCTCTGGGGAACCCTTGTCTACGTTCTACACCATCTTAAAAGTTATAAAATCTTTTCAAAATAATAATACAAAAATTCATATTATTTTATTCTACAGACAGATAGACGCTGACCTGATGCAGCGGTCCTGACAGCCCACAGCGGCATATCTACAGGTCGGGTCGATGCTCATGTCGTACAGGGTGCTCTTCTTTACCGAGTGATGGGAGCGGTGAAACTCAGCGCCCCCTTCAGTCTGGGAGAGGACAAAAGAGTCAGTTACATTTTGTAGTCAGAAAGTTGGAAAAATTGTCCTCTCTGTATTTCGCCCACTCCAACTTGCCCCTCGAGAGTTACAGTCGCTCTCCACTCCATTCCAAGTACCTCCCCAAAGGATTTCCAAATCACACACATTTAACTAAACTCTTTGCTTATTATTTTGAGTTTGCAGCTAGTTCTTACCACTTACATAACAATAAATGTGAGTAAATATTATAAATCCCCTGTTAAGATACGCACTGATGCGATACTAGTGTAGAATATCGGTGTTGATACTGAAACATTCGCTGGATCGAGTATTGGATCCATGATGTTGGTTAAACTGACATCCTTGTTGGGTCTTTAACTGGATGTAATAAGACAGGATGAATTTGTCCTAGAACCTCTCATCATGTTTAAACTTTTATTCATACAAAGCTGTTCAGTAGTTATGCAAAAAGATAAACAACAGTTGCATAACACACTTGGCTCTCTTGTGTAATAAGTTTACTGACTTTTAAGGAAATAAGTTACATTTTTCTGTCTCTACACTAGTTTATATTGGGTATAGGCAGAAAATTTAAGTCAAAGATATCGATATCGGTATCAGAAATGAAAAAAGATGGATCAGTGCATCCCTAACCACATTTAGGCCCCATACACAGTATTATGTATTTGAGTCGTTTTCGTTGCGGATACAGTTTTCGTCCACATTTATCCAATTGAAAACAGCTCCAGAGAAGGAACGATTTGGTGATGCCAGCTCCCACGAATTCATTTGTGTGGATGCCTGAAAATGCTGATACCCTGATGTAGGTTTATGCACCATGAAGTAATTCACCTCCAAAACGCTAAGAGGCTAGAATATATGTCCATTCATATATACGGTCTGTGTGTACGACGTGCAGATGTATAATCTCTGAAACATTTCACATGAACCATCTCCAACATGATAGAAGCACAGAACAGACTCACCATCAGCAGAACACCCCTCTGTCACAGAGAGAACACTCATATTCCACTGAGTCATGTCCTTTAGTCTGACAGAAGCTGAACCGCATCGGCACACAATAGCAAGCTGTTTATTGTTTAGTTTCCGTAAAACATAAACAAATATGTGCAAAGCTGTGTGGATAAGGAAGGTTTGCGGACACAGAAACGACGTGTGTGGACACAGATCGTTTCCGATACGGTGATACCGTGATTTGTTTCAGTGTAAACGCAGCCTTAGTATTATGTCTAGCAACAGTTATATCATCAATATATGGATTTACAAGAAACTATTGTCAACAGTGGTGATCCTACACAGATTGGCTCCCCAGGCGAGACCCCTTCCTGGCGCCTACACGACCAAATCCACTGAGGACCCGGAGAGGGGGAGAGATGAGTGGAGGATCCCCCCCGCCCCCTAGGACTGGCCCTGATTGTAAATGTACTGTTTTATACTATCATATCTCCCTACTTTAATGCTATTACAAAAAAGACAAACGATGAAGACAATGATCTGATTTCTGGAGTTATCAGATGATTGAAATGTAAACAGCTACAACAGTCAAATGTTTGGACACACCCTCGCATTCAATGTTTTTTTTTTCTTTTATGTTTACTACTTTCTACACTTCCTGTATTAGCACGACCTTTCACCAGAGTCTTTTCCATTTGAGAGAGGAACATATCCTAAATATGCAGGATTTGTGTATTAAAAGGTTCATTGTACAACTTTTCTAGTATACTCTAGGGTATAATAGAGGGTGGTTTAATCCTGGTTTAGTCCAAGGTTTAGTCCTGGTTTACACCTGGTTTATTCCTAGTTTAATCCAAGGTTTAGTCCTGGGTTAGTCCTGGGTTAGTCCTAGTCCAAGGTTTAGTCCAAGGTTTAGTCCAAGGTTTAGTCCAAGGTTTAGTCCTGGTTTAGTCCTGGTTTAGTCCTGGTTTAGTCCTGGTCTAGTCCAAGGTTTAGTCCAAGGTTTAGTCCAAGGTTTAGTCCAAGGTTTAGTCCAAGGTTTAGTCCTAGTCCAAGGTTTAGTCCAAGGTTTAGTCCAAGGTTTAGTCCAAGGTTTAGTCCAAGGTTTAGTCCTGGTTTAGTCCTGGTTTAGTCCTGGTTTAGTCCTGGTCTAGTCCTGGTCTAGTCCAAGGTTTAGTCCAAGGTTTAGTCCAAGGTTTAGTCCAAGGTTTAGTCCAAGGTTTAGTCAAGGTTTAGTCCAAGGTTTAGTCCAAGGTTTAGTCCAAGGTTTAGTCCTGGTTTAGTCCTGGTCTAGTCCAAGGTTTAGTCCTGGGTTAGTCCTGGTTTAGTCCTGGTTTAGTCTTAGGTTTAGTCCAAAATTTTGTCCAAAGTTTATTCCTGGTTTAGTCCAAGATTTAGTCCAAGGTTTAGTCTAAAGTTTAGTCTAAAGTTTATTCCTGGTTTAGTCCAAGGTTTAGTCCTGGTTCTAGGGTACTAAAACCAAACCCTACGGTATACTAGGGTCAAATGCTCCATGGAGATGTTATTATTTTGGCTGGAATGTTTCACAGTATAGTATTAAACCTAAACCCTTCTATATTCATGGACCAAACCAGACGAAGTTACAGGTAAAATCTGTGGCGAGGCAACCAAAAACAGAGTCAAAATGTCCATTTTACTAGGTATTTTTGAGTGATAAAACCACCTGTAACTGAATAAATGCAAGGTAGAGCTGTTTAATGTCATAGTGTGGAACATTCCAGACAGAGCAGTTACTTATCTATAGAAACATGCAGGTGACATACCCCCAACCAAAAAGTTACATAGTGCACCTTTAAACATGTATGAATAAAGCAAAACACAATTCCAGGTCTGTTTGTGATGAGGAAACAACATTATAACATAGATCAGAAAACAGCGTCATAAGGGCTCTTCAAACCAAGATGTTTACAGGCTTGGTTTAAAGGAACTCTTGTCCTGAATACAATCTGACCTGGATCTTATTTTCAGAAGGTTACACAACTTTAGACAAAGGAAACCTGCCCCAGTGACCCAGAATAAACTGCAACCAGACACTTTGTAATTCATGGAGATTAGTTATGAAACAGGCTAATTTATGAACTTTCAAAACACCCCAGACAAAGGAAAAAGGAAACACGCAGATTTTGTTTATAGATGGTTGGCGGAGTTGGTTTTACCTCATGAGCAGTGCGGAAGTAGATGCTCTTGTCTGCCCCACAGCTGATCAGCCGAACTTTGTCGTCATTTGCTGAAAACATAAAAAATATATCATTATTTTGACCATGGTGGAAACTTTTCTGTATGTGATAAGGACCAGATTAAACCTAGACGAGACAGGTACTAGAAGAGTTAATCAGGCAATAGATAACTTGATTTGAGTATATTTTGATTGTCTAAAATTTACCTTATAGACCAAGCATACAATGACTTGTTCTGCCTAAAATAAGAAAATCACAATTTTTTTATATTAAAACTTGAATTTAGGAGAAAAATGCTACAGCACTTGAAGTAAGAAAAAAATAAACTACTGCCAAATCTTATTGTAAGAAAATCTAAATGTACTCAAATCAAAATAACTACAACTTGATTCAAGCACTTATTAACTTATTTATCTTACTTCGAATTTTATATTTGACATTGAAACCATTTACCATATTGCCATTGTGTATACTGTATTTTCCTGGATATATACGGCACGCGCTTAAGCCTCCAACCCCATTAAAAAACAACTGCGCACCCTGCAATTCAGAGCGCCGTATGCACAAATCCACTCGTGTGTCCCAGCACGACTTCAGTAAACTACAAAGCCGCACCACCCGCAACGCACGCAAACACACACAGAGCAGACAGCGACCGTTTGACGAAAAACACCCACAGACACACTCATTACTCCACGTGGACGAGGAACGGAACGGAGGAACGAACCGGAGGAATGAACCGAAAAAGTAAGTGCAATGTGCATGTGTGTTCTAGACACAACTGAACAACTGAGTCACTGCGCACACGCTGACAATCCAGCGGTTCCAGACAGCACCCTCCCTACACGCCACAACTGAACAAAGCCCAGAGTCACCGTGAACGCCACAAACAAAGTCCCACTGACCCATCCAACTGTTGTGTTTCATTTAAAATTCGGTGCGGTTTATTTGTGGAAAAAAGTTTAAAAACAGACCATTCAGTGACAGTGTGCCTTAAAATCCAGAGTGCCTAATAGTGCGGAAAATACTGTTGGCTCTATTCACGCTTACATCACAAAATCGTAAGACGTTTGGAAACATGCGGATGGCGACTTCCTTCGGGCTCTGTTGGCGATAGTAACTTCATCTAGATGTCATTGTATTCTTTCTTTTTTCCTTTTATAAATTACCTATTAATTTGTTTATTATAATTTGTCTAATTTAATTTATTGTGATGTGATTGTAGCGTTCCGTTATGTTCGGCAGATCAACAGTTGCAACCAGCTGTCTGTAAGTGACACTGAAATGGAGTTAATATGATTAACTCAGGTTCAGGAGCTGGACCACGCCTCAGCCTTCTCTCCAGCCAACCACGGCTTATCTCATCCACACCTTCAATTTACCCAGAAGCTTTATTTATACGGCCTATCCTGACAACACCGTCCGCATCAGCTCTCTTCATCCAAGTCCCTCCCACCTCGTGTCTTTTGTCCATCCTTCAATCCAAAGACGACATCTTTAAGGAGGGTTCCGAATCAGCTGGGTGATGGAGGCCCCACCCTGCCATCACATCTATCCACAGTCAATAAATATTGTTATGGTATTTCATTGTTGTGGGGTGGTCCTTGCTATAGAAGCTGCAATTAGAGTCCTGTCCTCCATGGAAAGCTTTGGCCGGTTGTAAGACGCTGCTGCTGAATCCATGCTTTTCTCACATGCCCAGTGTCGGTAACTACACCGGAAGTCGTCATCCGTGTGGTCCATGTTTCCAAATGTCTTCCAGTAAGCGTGAATAGAGCCTGTTGTGTCATATGGCAGGGCTGGTTGATTATTAGATCAGCTGTGACATGTGCTTTTTTGCAATATAATTTCATTCAGCTCTACGAACAAACACTATGTTCCTTTTTTCACCCAAAAAACGGAATGGCTTCAGCTAATCAGTGTGACAGTTGTGGTAGAATGACCTTAAATATGAAATGTTAGAAAAAGAGCTTGCAGTGGCTTTTCTCACCAGTGAACTTGAGGGCAGTGATGGAGGAGGAGTGGTCGTCTAGAGTCTGTACGAGGCTGTAGTCTGTGTCTGAGTCCAGGACGTGGATCAGACGGTCTCTGCTTGCAGACGCCAGGAAACTCACACCTTAAAACGCAAAGAAGATTAGATTTGTATTTATTTGTCATATCTAGGTCAACACGCAATCACCAATGCTATTACAGGTGTTTAGATGACAAGAACGCAAGAACTCACTTTAAAAAACACATAGAACACAAAAGGTTTAGTACAGGGTTTTTCTTAGACAATTTGTCCAAAAAGCTAAAACGAAAGCAGCAATTGTTTGCAAATGAATAATTGAATTGCTAAAACTGTTAAACTGTTAAAACTGCTATTGTTAACTCAAAAAGATACCTGAAAAGTACTATTGATGTCTGTTAGAAATATCTTTGTAAAACAATCAAGACAAGTAAATCAAAAACTAGTCTATTACTAAACTATTCAATTTAAACTTGAGTAAGTAGTTAGTTAGTTTATTTTCTTCAATCATCAATTAACACAATCATACATCATATTACAGTGATTTAACACACAAAAATTATGCATTTTATGCATATCACTAAGTTATTCTACAGACCGAAGGGGTTTAGGCTGAAGTTTAAATGCTTATTTTGCCAAATCCTATTAACATATAGAACAGGATACAAGACGCATAACTATTTACAGAAAACAACACAAAACTCATCTTTTATGAGAGCAGGAAAGAAAACATACTTAATTGTTTTGGTATACTCAGACACAGACACACAATCCAATATACATTGATGTTCATACACACAAACAGACACACACACACAGGCCATGTACATGTTAGTATTCATACCTAGTAGTTTATAAATATGCACACACTTCATGTAATTGAGGGTTATAGTTAATCTGTAAATTACATGTGGTAAAATATGATTTATTGTATTTTGTATTATTGTAAGTCATTTCAACTAATTATCTTGTGTCCAAAAAAGCGTTATATAAATCTGATCCATTATTATTATTAATCTCATTTCTTTCTTATACGGCGTACTCTCCACATTCTGAGATTCCAACACTGACCTGTGTCTGGTTGGCTGTACTCCAAACAGAGGATTTCAGCGTCATGAGCCTCCACTTTGAGAATCTGTTCCAAACTGTTAAGGTCGTGCACTCTGGAGAATAACAGACAGGCAATATAATGTGTCAGAGGGCATGATTGACAGTCGGATTAACCAGTCAGAGAGATGCAGAGCCTGCCGTCTCCATGGAGATAGATAAGTTCAATAACATGCGGAGGAACATTCTAGACAATGTGATATATTTTTATTACTATATTGCTATTCTATTTTGACTTGTACATATACATTTATGTAGTTATACCTTATTTGACATCAGTCTCTTGCTATTTCTGCTCCTTATTTAGAATTTATTATACAATTTCTCTTTGTTATTATAATATGCTCTGAGCTACTGTGTCCAAATAATTTCCCCTTGTGGATCAATAAACTTTGTCTAAGTCTATGTCTAGACAAAGCAGTGACATCTCCATGGAGACAAGCAGGTATCCTTTTGTCCTACCTGAGAATGCCGTTGCGGTCTCCAGATGCCAAGTGCTTTCCATCAGGGCTGACAGAAATAACCCGGATGCCCGTTCTGTTCTCTGCACTCTGCCCATCTCCTGTTTTATCTGCAGTAATGTGTGTAGTACTTTCAGAGTCCACTGGGGAGGCTGGGTTTCCATCAATATACAGTATGTTCAACAGGTCCTGTAATAGAAAATCAATCTCTCCTAGTTTAAAGAAGAACGTATACACAGTTAGTATTAGCAGTACGTTACTATCTATGAAGTACATTAGTAATAAGGTTTTTGGGCTGGAGCGGTGTTTGAACTGAATCACTCATCCACCAAACTCTGATGGTGTTATCAGCCGAGCAGCTGAAGAAGGAACCTGACGACAAACCAGAGTGACACGGAACATCTGGAAACATCTGCCAACAAATATAAAAGAGGAATATTAAAGATTATGGAAGTAGACAGCATGTGCTAACTGACTTATTCAATTGTTTAAGTTAATCTATTAATACAAGATGAAAGCGGCTATAGTGGAGCTGCTGAGTTATATTTGAATGTCTTTATAGAGCAGGGGTCTCCAACCTGTAACTCGCCAAAGGATTTCTGAATCATACATATTGTGCTGAATTGAATAACTAAAATTTGATTTAATGAAATGTCCATTACCATTGCAAATGTGATGCACTAATAAATAGTTGTATAAATGTTTTATAGGCATCCAACACCATCTAAGGCTCTTATATTTACTCAATTTCTTGCGACCCCTAAAATGAGTAGCTCTCTTGCATTTTTGTTTTGTAAAAGTAGCTCACCAGAGGAAAAAGGTTGACCCTGTTATAGAGAAATTTGAACACTGTATTTGACCCATCCTTCAAAGCCACTCCGTCAGTCCAGTGCAGCATGGGTAATCCTCCAGCTAAGGTAGACCTGGAGATGGGTCCCTGAGCACTGTACACCTGCCTCAATGGCCCTGGGTGAAGGATGGGTCAAATGCAGAGAGGAAATAATGTATAACCTTTCTCTAACAACCTTCTCCACAACTTTCCCCACACTACACCAACTCTGCAGTGCTCATATTTCAGTATATTATTTCTCAGTTAGTTTAAGGTGAGCTTTAGGAACAGGTCTTTTGGCTAAGGTGAGCGCTTCTGGAGCAGGATTAGGATCTGGGTCTTGGCAGAACTGTGTAATATGTCTCAAATAGGTCAATGCATTCCTTTATTTTTGGTTCAAGGAATGAAGAAACCGGATTCTTAACATTCTTGATATAGTGATTTAGATGGTTTAAAGGTGCACTATGTAACTTTTTTGGTTGGAGCTCCATCACTAGATTGTTTTCTATAGATATGTCATGTTCCTTTGTCTGGAATATTAAACAGCATGATTCATGATTAAGCAGCTCTACCTTATATTTATTCAATTACAAGTGGGTTTATAGCTCAAAAACAGGCATTCTGACCATCAATTCAAGTTTATTTATACAGAACATTGTGACTGCGAGTCACCCCTCCACAGATCTGACGGGTAACTTGGTCTGGTTTGGTCTCCATGAAGCTAGAAAGGTTTAATGCCATACTATGAAACATTCCAGACAAAGAAATAACATCTCCATGGAGAAAAGCATTTTACAGACCAGCCACCAGAACAATGCACCTTTAACAACAATAAAATTACAGTTTATTTATTCAGTACTTTTCAAGACCTGAACAAGTTCTGTGGCAGAGGTGAAATATTTTTTAGTAGTAAATAGTATCTTAAACGTGTTACCTGCAGGTCCCAGACGCAGGCGCTGTGGTACAGAGCAGAGTGAACCTTCTCCACTCTTTTCACATCTCTCAGGTCCCACACAAACACACTGTGGTCGCTGTACACACAACTGAGCCAGCCCCTGACAGGGTCAAAGGTCACCGCAATGGCATCTGGGTAACGGGCATCCATATTGGAACTGTACGGTAGGTTGTTGAGGGACACAGATAGCTCAAATAAGTTTTATAATATACAACTCTATATAATACTCTAGTAGTAGACTTAGTTAGAATAGTTTAGTCTTTTATTTTAATATCAACAGTTGTACAAAACTTCCATTCACATTTTATTATTAATAATTGACTATAACTTTAACTCAGTACAGTTTTTGTACTATTGTGTATTATTGGCAATGGCTAATTTAAGCAAAAAGAACTACCTGATGGTTTGTGGGTGGGGCAGGGTGGTGTGTGGGCGGGGCAGGGTGCAGACGAAGCTCAGGTCTGTGGAGCTGAAGACTCGGACTGTGCCATTAGAACAACCACAGAAAACCAGGTCCTCTGAGACGCACAGAGAGTGAGCTGCACCTGTCTGTGAGAGACGAATGAAGAGAAGATCTGTGTCAGGGCAGTTTGAGGAGAAGACGAGTCAAAAGTGTCTCTCCTCTGTGTCCTGCAGCATCAGAGCAGCCTCCAGGGGGCGCCAGGTGAACACAACAGGAAAGGCATCACTCTTAATCCGCTCTGGTGGTTCAGTCGGTGACAAAATGGTTTATTCCCTCAAAGTATTTCTTCTGGAAAGTCTTGAGGAGAATTTTCCGTGGAAGGTCTCCTGCCACATTTGCTGCTGCATATGGTGTAAAAAGCCAGCAGCATCTCAAATGTCCGTAACAAACTCCTTAGTGAGCCCAATCCAACAGTCCCTTATAGTAAGTATCCCTATGGTGTAAAATTGACCTGAAGAACAATATGTTTACAAGGGATACTGGGGAAAGATCACAAGCAGGTAACAGACCCCACGTCAGAAAAGCTACACATTGAACCTTTAACTGGAACTCAGTGTATGAACCTGCATGTGGAGAGCCGGTAGAAGAGTTTTCTAGGAAGATTCAAGAAAAGAAAAGCCCCTGTTCTCACTCACCTTTAGATCGACCCATCTGTCCAGCGTCCTGCGGTGGTTAAACTCACAGAGGAGGCCGGACGAGGTGAGGCAAAAGGCGGAGTCAGACTTTAAGCCACGCCCACACGCCGCAGCACTGAAGAAGTTATACCTGAGATCTCCCAGCAGCCCTGAGCGTCCCAGCAGAGGGACTGGGGCACTGGACTGTAAGAAAAAATACATGAAATCAGACCTGGTTTAGATCTGGGTTAGACCTGGTTTAGACCTGGTTTAGATCTTGGTTAGACCTGGGTTAGACCTGGTTTAGATCTTGGTTAGACCTGGGTTAGACCTGAGTTAGACCTGGTTTAGCCCTGGTTTACATGTGGTTTAGACTTGGTTTACACCTGCATGGTTTAGACCTGGTTTAGGCCTTGTTAATATCTGGTTTAGACCTGGTTTAGAAATAGTTTACATATGGTTTAGGCCTGATTTAGACTTGGTTTAGAACTGGTTTAGACCAGTTTAGACCTGGTGTAAATCTGGTTTAGATAAGGTTTAGACCTGGTTTAGATTTGTTTTAGATCAGGTTTAGACCTGCTTTAAATCTGGTTTAGATCAGGTTTAGACCTGGTTTAGATTTGGTTTAGATCAGATTTAGATCAGGTTTAGATCTGGTTTAGACCTGGTTTAAATCAGGTTTAGATCAGGTTTAGATCTGGTTTAAATCTGGTTTACTTCTAGTTTAGATCAAGTTTAGACCTGGTTTACACTTGGTTTAGACCTGGTTTACATTAAGTTTAGACCTGGTTTACACTTGGTTTAGACCTGGTTTAGACCTGGTTTAGATTAAGTTTAGACCTGGTTTAGACCTGGTTTGGTCTGACATGCACAATATAACATGTTACTTAAAATTACTTCAGTTCTGAACTGTGGTCTTGGGGTCCAGAGATTTTTATTGAGACTGAAATAATAATAATATTCAAGTGCTTTTTGCAATGTTGGTATGCTCTGCTTTAACTAAAAAAACTACATATTTTAAAGTTTTGAATAGAAGGTACTTCATCTTCATTTAATTGGGTAATACAATTTCAAAGCAGGTCAATTACTAAATTTCATTCACTACATCCACTTATAAACATTTTAAACAACTTTTAAAATGTTTATTTCTGTAGCTCCCTGCAGTCTGGTACAAGCACGTTACAGTAACAGACCCTCAAAATGATGTCAACCTTATAAATTATGTAGAGGCGCCAAGAGAACAATAAGAAATGACCTATTTTTATGCCTTTTGTCCGCCGGTGGTACTGGTTAATTTAACTAAACGTTTCCATGGTAACAAGTGTCCACAAGTTTGCCTGGGGGAACGGTACTACGCAATTAGCCAACAAAGAGCCAGGAAATATGAGCATGGTTATGCAACGCTTAGAAAATGGGTTTGGATCATTTAAATTGCCAATGACATACTGTCAAATTATATAATACTGAATATGATGTAATTATTGTTATTGTAAAATGAACTTAATATTAGGCTTCATTATATGAAGCAATAACAACAGTAGCTAAAGACTACAATCTGAATGTAATTTGCTTTTTTTTTTTTTCTATAGCCTAAAACTCTAAAAATGTATTACATATAGGATGCACTGATCTGATACTGGCATTGAATATCGGTGTTGGATTGGTGCTGGATCAGATATCGGCCTCCAAATATCAGTTTGATATTCTGATTGGACATCTATCTATTAATGGTTGGTTTGTTTGTTTGTCTGTTCCACACATAACTCTCAAACCGCTCATCCGACCGATCTCAAATTTGGAGGGTGTCATCCTAATGGGACGGGTGTGTGCAGTGCCAATTTTCATGTTGTTAGGGCAAGAATGCTGAAGATATTTTAAAAGTGTAGCCAGCGATAACTTCAGAAGTTGTCTCAATGTTTGTTTATTTACTTGTTGTTTATGTGTTTGTTTGTTTATTGTTTGTTTCTTACAGGCTGTGCACTATGTACTAGTGTAAAGTGATGTATTTAATGGTCATAGTTGGCCCAAAATGTCTCAAAAGGTTTTTAATTTTTATTTACACAAAATCATTCTGTAGTTACTTGGATCAGTTTTGTCTTATTTTATTTTTGTTTTAACTAAATAAATGCTGTTTCTCTGCTTTGGTATCCTTTTACAAGTGGCAGATCTTAAAGCTACAGTATCAGAATCAGTATCAGAACCGAAAAAGCTGGATCGATGCATCCCTAATTACAAATGAACAACTGTATTCATAGACTTCACATTAGAGCTCGAACTCAGTCCTGGTTTAGTCTTGTGCCCAATTTTTTACCATGTATTTGAACAAAATATATGTTACCCCAGTGCAGATATATTGTATACAGGCATGAAAACAGGCACTAGTGTTATAGTCAAGAAGACCGCACTAATTGAGTCCAAGACCTGTCCAAAATCATGGGGTCCCAAGACCAGATCAAGACTAAGACCAGTGAGGGTCGAGACCGAGACAAGACCGACACCACGGCCCATCGAGACCAAATTAAAACCATCTTTGTCATTTTCTTCATTTATTTGTATTTTTTTGTGTGTTTTTTATAAATTTATCTCTATTTGATCTGATTAATGTTCATTTAGGCACAAAATAAACCTGTACTGCACTGAAACACTCTGTGCCCCTTTTTGGACCCTCACCCACAGTTTGAGAACCCCTTCTCTGATTCCCTCTTCCACTGGCATAAAAGTGAAGAAAGTGGGTAGGATTTTTAAGCCTGTTTTTTTGTTGTTGTTGTTGTTTTAATTCCTAACTGGAGTTACCTTATCTTACAGGTTTTGCGGTGGTATTTAGCCTCTGCACATTTAAAACCAAACACACATTGTGACAAACACTGATTTATTTGCCCTTTTATTTGGCAAACTTCAGCCACTATAGCATATAGATTAGTTTTTACTTCACATTTCGTCTTGAATCAGCACGCCCGAGCCTGTGTGCGCTTTACGCAGGGAGGGGGGGAAGTGAAAAGGCAAAGAGCGGCATGCTGACATGAGGCAGGTGGGACAGGTGGGATGTTTTAAAAAGTTTAACCTGCTCTGTGATACACACTGGTACACGAGTGGATACGATGTTGCGGACCAGCCGTGCTCTCACTGCACGTGTGGTGTGTGTGCACAAGTCCAAATGTGCTCGAGTCTGAGACCTGAGACCCGAGGATTTTCATGCCTGTGTATAAGCAGCTATTGAGGTCAAAATAAATCTACTATGTACTGTCTGCATCTAATTAGAAATCATTAGAAATATTTTTTTGTACAATAATGAGGAAGTGTGTTGTTAGGCTGCCAGCAAAACTCCACTCTGGCTACTGAAAGTTGTGAAAAGTGCTTATAAAGTAAAATAATTCAGCTGCTCAGAATACATAAGATAAATGAGGATTAACTGCAAAATGTTTTAAATGAATTTGTTCTGTTTTTCCATGTTTTTAAGAGTAAAAATCAGGTACAGGGCATTTAAAGGTGCACTGCGTAACATTTCTAGTGGGGATTCCGCCACCTGTTTGTCTCCATGGAGATGTTTTTGCTTTGTCTTGATCAGGGGTGCTCACACTTTTTCAGCATGCGAGCTACTTATAAAATGACCAAGTCAAAATGATCTACCTAATACAAAACCAAGCAAACTGAACTGAAACACTCTGTGCCCCTTTTTTGGACCCTCCCCCACAGTTTGAGAACCCTTCTTTAAGAGAACTTCCTCTGGCACTTTACACAAAACTGTGAAAAAAGTGAAGGAAGATTTTTAAACCTGTTTTTTAAAGTTCCAAACTGGAGTTGCATTCTTTTCTGGTTTTGCAGTGATATTTACCAGCCTCTGCACGTTTACCAAACCAAACACACATCGTGACAAACACAGATGCATTTGTGCACTTTTGTTAGACAAACTTCAGCCAAATGTGGCAGTAGGTCTGTTCTGTAGATCCGCTCTATGCTGTAGACCTGCTTTGAGCCAACACTGGAACACAAATTTAGACTCGTTTTTGCTTCACGTTTGGTCTTGTTCTTCTAATCAGCGGGAGGGGCTTGTGTTGGCTGTACGCAGGAAGGAGCGAGAGCGTGAAAAGGCGAGGGGCGGCGTGCTGACGTGAGGCAGATGGACAGGTAGGATGTTTAGGAAGTTGAACCTGCCCTGTGATGCACGCTGGTACACGAGGGCACACGCTGTTGCAGACGAGCCGTGCATAGGGAGCGTGTGTGTTTGTGATGTGCCATAGAGTCTCCGCGGGTTTCAAATGAGCGCACAGGCTGCACTGAGACGCCCCACACGCTCCTGCACCCGCTACAAGTTTATTACCAACAGCAGCAGCCGTAATGAAATATGATCACACTTGTTGAGTGTCAGACCTCGAGTGAGAGACAAGACTGAGTCCAAGCGCGAGTCCGAGACGAGACACGGCGATCTACCCACACGACCTTGGTGATCGACTGGTAGATCGCGATCGACATATTGAGCACCCCTGGTCTAGAATGTTCCACAGTATATATTAAACCTATCTATCATGAGAAAGGTTATAGCACTACGCTACATTACAATTCAGATCTGTGGAGAGTCACCCCTATTCACAGGAATGAATGTATTTTTGAGCAATAGAAAATGAATAAATGCTAGATGGAAATGTTTAAAGTCATACATGGAACATTCCAGGCAAAGCTCCTCCATAACAGTTACACAATTCACCCTTAACTTTAGATTTTAAACTGTTGGACATGAGCAATTACATTTACAGATTTACATTTTTGTTTGAAGTTTTGTTTTAGTTTCGTACCTTATTTGTTTTACACTGATCCAGATACCAGAATTTAACATGACGGTTGCCCACGGTGACGAAGTAGGAGCTGTCCTCGGAGAAGGAAACTCCACTCACTTTACTGGACACTTTGTTGGCAGCCACTACAACATTTTTCTGTAACAAGAAGGAAAAATCAGTTTATTTATAACTCAAATGAAAGTTTCTGTATCAAAAACAAACAACCATAATTCATTTAAAGGGCCTACACTACTTTCTGATCTATTTTATAATGTTGTTTCCTCACCAAAACAGACTTGGAGTTATGTTTTGTTTCATTCACCGTTATATAAAACATAAATCCTGCATATTTAGGCTGAGCTCTTCTCTCAAACTGTAAACACTCTGTTCCACCTTGTGATGTCATGTGGCAATACAGGATCTACACCTTCGCTAGAATCATTTGGATCATTTCAGCCCTGGAATTTCTAATCTCTACTGAACAAAAAGTAAAAGGTAGCTGTTAACTTGAAAATCGCTTCATGACATCACAAGGTAGAACAGAGCATTTTGAGCTTTGGAGGTGTAGACAAACTAATAATAAATGGTTACTCAGACACGTGTGAATTAAATGAAAAACAGCACAACGCCAGGACTGCTTTTGAGGAGACAACAATTTAACATGACTTAAAGCTCAAGTCAAATTTAGACTTTATTGAGCCACAAGGGAAATTATTTGGACACAGTAGCTCACACATCACAATAATATAATAACAAAGAGCAAAGATATAAATGGTAAAATAAATTCTAAATAAGATGTCAAATAAGACAATGATATTTTGTGTAATATAGGACCTTTAAGAAACACGATACTTGGAGAAAGGGACCTAGTCTAAGTGAAAGAAATGTATACAGCAAGTTGCATTTTGTCAGTCTCAGCATAAAGAGATAAATGAAAAAATATACCAGCCTACTTTGGATTAAAAAGACTAAAAACATAATGTGAAGAAAAGTGAATGAGAGGAGATGAGATATGAGCTCAAATATCAGACATTATCTTATCTTGAATTTATTAGATTACAGATGTCATACTGTAAAACATTCCAGGGAAAGCAATAAAAACCAGACCAGAAAAGTTACATAGCACTTCTTTAAATCTGAGTGGATAGGCAGAAATCAAAGCAAAATGCAAAAGTCATGCTGTTTTTCAGTTAACATCTCTGCCAACTAAAAACACAAATACAATGAACTATAAAGTAAACTTGTTACTTGAGCCTCACCTTCCAAGCCCACACATGGATCATCATGTCGTGCTGGTTTCCCACGGTGACGATGTATTTCCCGTTGGGAGAGAAGGCCACACAGGAAATTCCATATTTGTGCGACTGCAGCTCGGCCACCTGATGGCGCTGTGCCACGTCCCAGAGCCGCACGGCTGGTAAGTGTCCACTCTGCAGGGAGAGAGGGAGGACAGAAGAAGTTATGAGACAAATACATTTTTATTTGTGTAAGCTATCTCTTATGGATTGATTGAATTGTTTTATGATTTAGAAGGAGAGGGCAGAGAGGAGACAAGGAAGATTCAAAAAGAGAAAAAGAGGAATTTGATTTGTTTGATTTTGTCTTTGTTGAAGTATTTTAGTTGTCTCTCTGTATTTGTTATACAGATCCATATCCAGAGTCTGAATTTTTCCAGGCAAGTATTTTAGATCTTTTTGGAAGAACAGAACTAGTTTATTTTAAAGGTCCTGTGTTACACAAAATGAATTATTGTGAGCTTCAAGCCATGTTATAATGTTCATCATCAAAAACAACCTGGAGTTTGTGTTTCATGTTTGAGTAACCCTTTATTATTAGTCTGTTTACATCTCAAAAGTTCAAAATGCTCTGTTCTACCTTGTCATGAAGTGGTATTTTTCTAGTTAACCACTACCTTTTATATATATGTTTGGCAATTCCAGTATTTAAATAAATCACAGGATTCTAGTGAAGGTGTATGGAGTTTAAAAACACATTGGAGCACTTCCTATATTACCACATGACATCATAAGATGGAACACAGTGTTTTTTGATTGAGAAAAGAATGAATCTTAAATATGCATAGTTTGTGTTAAAAATGTACAAATGAAACAAAACACACAGATCAGAAAATGAAATAATATGGGCTCTAAATCTAAATATTAGATCTTGTAAACAAACATCACGTCACGTTTACCCAGCGTCTTTAGTCTGCGTCTGTCCTGGTGTGTTTAGGATTATCCTGCGACCTTTGACCTCTGCACACTGTAGGCTCGCCTGGACTCTCACACGGATCAAGAGGCTAGACGCTATTTGAGTCCTGTCTCATTTTAATGGAGGACAATCCCTCAGAGGTCAAAGGCAAAAGGTGACAGGAAAGAGCGACAGTGAAACAGCAGTTGAACATATGCCCGCTAACACAAAGGTTGTTGGTTCAAACCCTGTTCCAAGCAATACATAATACTATTTCCCCCCTTGTTGTGACATGTTTCTCTAAGACTTTACTTGTGTCACATGACTTCATCCCTGTTTTGAAGTATTTTTGCCCATTCAAAAGATATCACTTTCTGCTTTTTGGTGAGTTTCATACAACAAAATATGGATTATGAGTTAAAAAAGAAAACAATCTGTCAAGCTTTTGGGTAAACATATGGTACGCCAATGTTACAATCTCTGAATTCTCAACAATAAAAATTTAACTCTGTTTTGCCCTAGCCATTTTCACTCTAATATAATCCCTTCACCAGTAAAGTTTTCACCTCATTTGTAAAGTGTTTAAAGGTGCACTGTGTAACTTTTCTGGTACGGAGTCTGCTACAAGCTTGTTTCCATGGAGATATTATTGCTTTGGCTGCAAGGTTTCAGAGTATGATATTAAACTCATCTATGTTAAATTTATTCAATTACAGGCAGTGGCGGAGTTAGCAATTTGGGGGCCCTAGGTGAACTTGAGTTTGGGGCCCTCACTATAATGCACTGTTTTTTTTGTTTTGATTTGTTTTGTTTTGGTTTTTTTTGTATTTCTTTAATATTTATTGTCTGTTTTTCCCCACTGTTCATATATGCACATCTTTATTTAAAGTGGGTTGGATTGGAAACTTGTCTTATTAGTTCGGTCGCCTACTAAATAACCAGAATTGAAAGTTTTTTAGGTTTTTTTTGCTAGTACAATTACATTTTTGTTTACATCCATTACATATGATTATAATTATGCTATGATTATCAGGGTCAAGCTGATTCGTACATTCTAACGCGAAAGGGGGGAATTCTTTGACAGTTAAAATAGATTTGACAATCAGATACTATTTTGATGGTGTTTTCTTGTTTAAAAGTAAACTACTCTTGTTTAATGTCATATTGAGAGAAAATCAAATTGCTCTGAGGCCTCGGAGGGCAATCGGTTGGGGGCCCCTCCAACTTCGAGGGCCCTAGGCAGCCACCTACTGTTGCCTAATGGTAAAATATTACGAAAAACATGCATTTGTATAGTGAGTGAGATTGCCTCTCCACAGATCTGACCTGTAACTTGGCCTGGAGGCATTGGGGGCTTATCTCAGAGGAAATAGATTAGTTTAAAGCCATACTGTGGGACATTCTAGACAAAGCAATAACATTTCCATGAAGAGAAGAAGAGAAGCGAACCATCTACCGCAAAGTTACACCTTTAATATTTTCCAGCAGCTCTCTACCTACTGCCTGATGGTTTTATGCTCAGAAAGTCTCAAAAAAACAAAAATAATACACACACACATGCAAAGTAACTTATAATGACCACATAGAACAAGAGTGGCAGTATTAATGCACTGTTGAATTATGGGTAGCCACACGTCTCTTTTCAGTACAAAGCAGAGCACAATCGTCACTTTATTTTTGGTCTTTCAAACTTTGCTCTGCGGCGTCATGGCAACCATTCATCCACTTACACAGAGAAGGCTTTAATCGGCTCCGATTGGAGGATTAAGATACAATGTGCTATTCAAACCAGAGCTAAACATGACGGGACTTCATACAGGCAGTCAATGGTAAACAGTAATTACATAAGAGCTTTGCATTATACGACATAATACTAGGCTAGCGGTTAAAAATGTTTTACAGAACATGAATATAGGAGATGAAACTATAACAATTGTGCGTTTCTTCATAGGAATAGGAATAGGGATGAGATACAATTTCCACAATACAAAACACAAGATTGGAACTACAAGAACAAGACAATACCAGATTTTGACATTCTTTATAATAAATACATGTGCAATCCAAATCCCAATTTTGGCCTCTATTTTTGCTGTCATTGTAGCAGTGCTTTTTGGGACTACAGCTTCTCAAAAAAATGTGACTCACCACTATTGAACTCTTTTTATCCAATCCAAGCATAAAACCATGGGGGGAAAAAAGTCTCACGAGATCATTTTCATCTTGTGACAATTTTGTCTCGTGAGATTTTGTGGCACGAGATATTGTCCCCTCCCTACGCCGTAAATTTTCTGCCAACTGCTTGTCTCCATGGAGCTGATATTGCATTGCTAGAAATTTTAAACAGTGTGGCACTGTCACTAAGTCAATAATCAGATCTACAGAGAGGTTCACAGCAAAAATGCAATGTATTTTTGTGGCAATATAAACATCCATAGTTGAATAAGATAAACAAGTTTAAAGCCATGCTCTGAAACATTCACAGCAAAGCAATAACATCCTTATGGAGACAAGCAGTTGATGGACTTTGTGCATATTGGTTTAGCGTATTTTTTTCACTATAGGTAGAAAAACATCTGAACTATGTCTGTAACGTCTTTTTAGTTTTTCATGAGAAGTAACTGAATGTGCTACTAATTGACAAGGGCAGTTCTAGGGGAGGGGCCACAGGGGCCCTGGCCCCACCTCTAATCTGATTGGCCCCTGAAATGCCTCTGATCTGCCTCTGATCTGTCAATCAACAGCAGACCTATTGCATCAATACAACTTAATGGGAGAATAAACAGACTTCTGGAGGGCTTTTTTTACTGTCTATGCTTGTATTTGCACCACACTGAATTAATCATTTGTGTGCTTAGATGTACCCTGTACTTGGCCCCGAATGTAACATGTGGCCCCTTACTGACCTCTGTTTCAGAAAAATCCCAGAACCACCACTGCTTATTGATAGTATTTATGCTTCTTTGACTACCACAAAATAAATAAAAAGTTACTTGAAAAAGAATTCATTATTTCTAAAAATGTTTTTTCCTTCAGAATTTTCTCACTAAAGGCAGCCACACACTACAGGAGAATTTGCCCGATTTTGGCTGCGATCGTAACCACCAAACATCAGCAACACTACAGTAACAGCCAATAAAACAGAGCGTCAGGGACAGAGGAGTGACGAACACAGAGGCTCAAGATACAAACTCAACTCAGGAAAGAGCGAAAATAATTATAACTCATCTCTTGTAAAGTGGTATATTTAAAGTGCAGCATTTCATCCACATTATCCATAGAAACTGTCCTCCGCAAATAATGACATCCAGTCCACAAAACCACGCTATTAATCCAGTTTGAAGCATTGTTTAAAAGTAAAAAGGGGAGAGTAGTTCCTCACGTGTCTGTTTACATCCACACAGGTGAAGCTGCAGATTACAGACAGTGGCTCTAGTTCCTGTGGACTTTATCAACAGTCTTTTATGCTTTTATTGCATCACATTTCACAAATAATAACTCAGTTTCGACTAGAACTAGAAGTGCAGAGCTTTGATCTTTTGAACACTTAAGAGTCTCAAAGCGAGTGGTTTTACTGTTGACAGGAAACAGCTGACGTGATCGCGCTCACATCTTTACAGTCTGTGGTCCGCAGACAGATCCCGCTGCACCCTTTGCGATCTGACATTTTAAGTCTCGCAAGATTCTCCTCGTGTCTGTGGTGTGCACTTTTTGCCTCACGTTTAAAAATCATTTAAGACAGAAAAATTCTGCAGTGTGGGTGGCCTTAACAGAGCTGTTGTTTCTAAATCTGCTAATCTTAGATAATCTGGAAAACAAGGTCCAGTGAAGAAAGATCAACTGTGGACCATGTGGACAGTTTTAAAGTTGCACTATGGAACTTTTCTAGAAGGTTGTATGTCTGTTGTCTACTTGTCTCCAGAGACCTGTTTGTTTAAAATGTTCCACAGTATTGCATAAAACCTACTGATCTACAGGGCTGTAAAGTGATGGCACTGGCTGCTTGTCTCCATGAAGACAGATAAGCTCAATACTGTGGAACTTTCCTACGAATATCTCCAAGCAGGTGGCAGACCCTCCACTAGAAAAGTTACATACTGCATCTTTCGCGGGTCTGTACTTGACTTTTATCTCCTTGTAAAAGCAGCCACTTTAGAAAAATCAATGCTGAATAATAGTGCTTTTAAATTTTAGAAGGCATTTTGCTGGATGAGAGAACCATAAAGAAGCAAGAGCCAGAGCCGGACAGTTTTATACAATCTGATACACTGTCGATGAGAGTCACATGGAAACAAGTAGCACAGTGGCAGTGTTAAAGACGTACCTCTCCAGTGACCAGGTACTTTCCATCAGGGGAGAAGGACAGGGCTGTGATGGTCTTTCTGTGGAGAGAGAGACACACAGATCAATGCAAATTCAAATATGGAGATGTGAAGGTTTAATAAGGGTTTTGAATAGAGCTGAATAATGTCTCCTACTTTATACAGCCTATATCAAGTTATTGTTACTGTATAATCAGCCAAAAAATATATCTGTGCTTATCTATGCCTCATGATGAATGTGCATTATACAGATACCCCTCGCCTGAAATAAAATGAGGTGAGTATTTGCTAATCCTTCACAGTAAAATGAATTCTTGTGATGTTTGTGAGTTCACAAATACACAAGAATCCATTCGGCCTCACTGGTGTGATAGGGTGCGACAGGTGGTGGGCGGCCAATCACGTTGCAGCACTGAGGTTTGTGCCCATATGAACCAAAACAAACATGGCAACATCGACAGACGTACCTCAGCCTATTTTAACTTCAGTACAGAATATTTACCGTATTTCTCAGACTATAAGTCACATTTTTTCATGGTTTTGGTGTTTCCTGCAACTTATACTCTGGTGCTACTTATATATTAAAATGTTCACACTGACAGCTGACAGGCGCTCTAGGCTTGTGTGTCAGTACCTGCTGCTCCTATTACTCCTATACCACTGTCACTTCACTCTACTGCACATGTCTCCTGCAGAAAGAGCCTCTGTCCTGTCTGTATCATATCTGTTGATCGCACCATTACTTCTGTACCACTGAAAATTTTACATGTAAACAAACATAAAGACAAACAAAACCATCCTATCGGGATTCAGAAAGGCCAGAATAATTAAATTAATAATTAAATATTTAATCAACTGGAACTGATGCTGAGTCTGACGACAGCTACACAGAAGAGGAAGCCATGCTCTGTTTACCTCCGGAGGTCGCGGTGTTGCTCAGAAGTGACACCGAGGATGAAGAATTGAATGGATTTAGTGATTTGGAGTGAGATAAAGAGTTTGGTAACTGTTCATATGTGACGTTAACAGCCTGTTGTTCTTTTGTTATTACTAGAACTTGCCTTTCAACATGAAATGGCGGTTCCTGGTCTCTGATTTTATAAAATAAATTTCCCCCAAAAAGTGCAACTTATATGTTTTTTTTTCTTCTTCATTAGGCATTTTTTGGCTAGTATGACTTATAATCCAGAGCAATTTATAGTCCAAAAAATACGGTTGTTTATGAAAAATGTGCAGAAGGGAAGCGCTTTGCGCATATGTGGACAGGGAAGATGTCTACTTTTCTCTCAACTGGATTTAACTTAAGTTTGATTTTTCATCTTGTTCCGCTGTTGTGACACTTTGACCATCAGATCTTAATATTCACCATGACTTTCTGCATTTTCAGTGAGAGAATTTCCAGACTGATAATGTGTAGAACTCAATTCACAGTGACACACATATCAGTCTGCCATGCGCTGCGCCAGGTTAACTATTGGTACTCATAGGTAGATTTTTAGGTTTGGTACCAATACACATTTTAAGACAATAACTTGAATTAGCTTACGAATCACAAGTTAATAAATGCACTGTTAAAAAAATTCCCTTAACGTGCCAAGAGTTGATTGACGCATATCAGGATTAGCACTGTAATATTGTCTCCTGTCCTCATGTCAGTCTGTAACGAATCCAGTCTCATCTATTCACTGAAGAGGATTCAGTAAAGTATTAAAAATGGGTAATTAGATCATAATTAGATTAGAGTAATTAGACCTGTTTTCTTGTCATTTTGCACAGCTCAGTTCAAATGTGACTCACCCTGAAGTGTTGATGATGTGCTGCTGACGGTGGTTCTTAGGGTTCAAAAGGACGACCACACATCTGAATAGAGGAAAACAAGAAAACAAGGAAAAATTCATGATTCATTATATATTTTTAAAAAAATGATTAGATCCTATATTATGCTAAATTGACTCGTGTGAGCTTTAAGTCATGTTAGAATGTTGTTACTTCCTGAAAAACAGACCTGGAGTTGTATTTTGTTTCATTCACACATTTAAGTAGTCCTGTTTTAGTTTATTTTATTTATTTTAATGAGACACGGACAGTGCACAATATACATTAACCTTAACAGGAGAGATGCATTGTTCTAGGTTGAAGCACAAGTGCTCATTTCCAGCTGTCGTCCCTGGGCAGGTTGATGTTATAGTTCATAACATCAAACGTATAAAGAGAATGTCTTTATGACTGGAGCATCATAAGAATTCTGGATCCTCATTCACACAAAGTTCTCTCAGCAGCTTAAAATCATCATCCTTATCAAAATCACTTTAACTCCTTGGGTTCTTTTTTAAAAAAAAACAAAAAAAAAACTGTACAGTAAAGTGTATTTACCTTGTTGTTACCTTACGTTATGTGTTGTATATCAGCTGTTGTTACTTCCTGTAAACATGGTCAGCCTGATTGACCTGTCGCTCAGTGTTCCCTGGAGGGGGGTGTCCCAGGTGTGTGAAAGGAGGAACGCTCCATCATCACAGTTAACGTTGTCCATGCCTCGTTTCCTGATTTTCAGTATCCTCCCTGATCCAGCATTTGAACTTGTTGTTTTCCGATCCAATGACCCGAGCCCCGTCCCAATCCATAATGTGGAACAACAAGTTCAAACTCTGGATCAGGGAGGCCATTGAAATCAGGAAATGAGGCACGAACAGCAACCATGATGATGGAGCATTCCTCCTTTCACACACCTGGGACACCCTCCTCCTGAGACCATCTGGCACCGGGAGGCGTGGTCAGTCTGAGCAACCTGCCAGGTCCATCAGGCTGACCACGCCTACAGGAAGTAACAACAGCTGATATACGACACGTCAACACCAACACCGGTGACTGTTCTGAAGATGGTTTGCAGCTAACAGCTGAAACATGTCAACAAGGTAAATACACTTTACTGTATTGTTTTTAAAAAGAACCCAAAAAGTTAAAGTACATAAGAAGACAAAATGAACATTTTTGGCTTATCGAATCATCATTCAATTCATTCCCTCCAGAACATCACACTCTCTCCAGACACTCATCAGTCCACATTATGGGTGCAGGTTTGGTTTTATAGGAGCCACTGTTTCACTAGGCGTGAGAAAGTCTTGTAGTTTGTACATGATTGTGCTCAGCTCAGTTGGTAACGTGTTCCACTGACAGACAGTTGCACATGAAAAGGCTAAGTTTCCAAATGCTGTCCTGCGTTTGGGGATCCTGCATTCGCTGCACACAGTGGACTGAGCGGCTTGGGAGGTGCTTTCAGAGCTCAGAAACAAACTATTTTCGCGAAGGAGCAGCAGCATCACAAATGATCTTAAACAGCAGACAAACATTTGCATACATTATCAGGTTTTCAAAACTTAAAATGCTGTGTTTCACAATTACATGACAATGGTGGCTGTATTATTAGTCTGTCTGCATCTCAAATCTCAAAATGCTCTGTTCCACCTTGTGATGGAAATGATTCTAGTGAAGGTGTGTGGAGTTTAAAAACACAGTGGAGCACTTCCTGTATTACCACATGACATCACAAGACGGGTTCAAGTGTTTTCTTTTTGAGAGAAAAACTCAGCCTAAATATGCAAAGTTTGTGTATTAAAATGAAACAAAACCCAACTCCAGGTCTGTTTGTGATGAGGAAACAACATTATAACATGGATCAGAAAACAGCATAATATGGGCCCTTTACATTCCAAAAGCACCTTGGCCTTCGAAAAATATACACAGTGATGTAACAGGATTAAAAAGGAGGCACTGAACAAAGGTGTTTAGACATGAGCTTAATTTAACTAATCTGCATTGATTCCTAATTAAACTACATTCTGTGACCTGCTTAAGTATTTCTGAAGGATTAGAATGACAGCAAACAGCAACGGCCATTCATGCATTAAAAGACCCATAATGTTGTTTCCTCATCACAAACATACCCGGAGTTGTGTTTTGTTTCATTCACACATGTTCAATGCACAAACCCTGCAGATTTAGGCTCCGTTCCAACTTGTGATGTCATGTGGTATTACAGGAAGTTCTTCACTGCGCTTTTAAACGCCCGTACACCTTCATTAGAATCATTTAGAGCTTTGGAGATGTAGACAGACGAATAATAAAGGGTTACTCAAACATACAAATGAAACAAAACACAAGTCCATGTATGTTTTTGAGGAGGTAACAATATTCTAACTAACATGTCAAAGCTCACAAGAGTCAATTTTGTGTAATATCAAACCTTTAAATAAATAACAACCAAGTGTGTTCTACATTATAGCAACTGTGTATTCCTCTTGTCCAAATTAGCCAATAATTTACTTTTAACCATAACTGTACATTGAATATATTGTTAACTTAATAACTGTTTGCATTACTTGATACTGCAGATAATTACTGCTGTGTATTATACTGCCTGACAGCCATAAATTACAAGGTACAAAGTAATAGGCTATAATTAGACTAATAAAGATCTCTACATAAGCGATGAATCAAGTAGTAATCATTAATTTATACTATTAGCCTCTCAATTAATTGTGTAGAAAAATGCATCTTATTTCTAAGGTGCATTATGTGACTTTTTGGATGAGGGTTCTTCACTTTCTTGTTTCTATGGATATGGCATTGCTCTGCCTGGAATGTTCCACAGTATGACATTAAACAGATTTACCTTACATTTATTCAATTACAGGTGATTTTATAGCTCAAAAATACCTAAAAAAAAAAAACCCAGACATTCTGAGTGAGTGTGGTCGCCTCTCCACAGATCTGATCTGTAACTTGGTTTGGTTTTGATTCCATAATGATATAAAGGTTCAGTGCCATAATGTGAAACATTTCAGACAAAGCAATAACATCTTCATGAAGAAAAGCATTTAATAGACACCTAAACATAACATAAAAGTGACACAATGAGCCTTTAATTCATTCTTAGGAGGTATACCTAGCTAGTGGACTCAAAAATGCCACCACCTAATGATATCACAAGGTAAAAACCAACCATTTTGAGTTCTATGTTTTGATAATTAGATTTTTGTCCATATAGGTTACATTTACACTGAAACGAATCACTGTATCACCGTATCACAGTATCAGAAATGAATCCTATCCACACAGCTTTGCGTATATTTGTTTACGTTTTACAGAAACGAAACTTAAAACCACATGGCTCATTTGTATATACTGAGTGCTCAAAAAACAGCTCGCTATTGTGCGCTAATGTGGGTCAGCTTCTGTCGGACTAAAGGACATGACTCAGTGGAATATGAGTGTTCTTTCTGTGACAGAGGGGTGTTCTGCTCATGGTGAGTCTGTTCTGTGCTTCTATCGCGTTCGAGATGGTTCATGTGAAACTTTTCAGAGATTATACGTCTGCAGGTCGTACACACAGACCGTATATATATGAATGCACATATATTCTGGCCTCTTAGTGTTTTGGCGGTGAATTACTTTGCAGCGCATAGACCTACATCAGTGTATCAGTGTTTTCAGGCATCCACACAGTGCCGGATCAGATCTGTACTCAGATGAATTCGTGGGAGCTGGCGGCAGTAGATTGTTCCGTTTCTGGAGCCATTTTCCATTGGACGAACACTGCATCCATAGTAAAAAGGACTCGAATACGTACTAGTGTGGACGGGGCCATAGTTGAGTACAGATATATTGCAAAGCAGCTCTTAGGATCAAAATGAGACCACTGTAATCTGTCTACATCTGTTTAAAAAGTGTCTTATTTTCTGAGAATCAGGAAGTGGATTGTCTGCATGCTAGTTGTTGTTGCATTACCATGACGGCAAATCTCTGCTGTGGTGTCTGAATGTTGTGGAAACTTCTTACAAACGCAACACGCTGAATAATTAGAATACTAGTAAAGGGTTAGTAGGCCTGTCACAATAGCAAATTTTGAAGTTCAATAAATTGCTGAAGTAAATATAGCAAATATTGAAACTAATTTATGCCACAGAGAAAAGCGTCTTTGAGTGTCCAAAAAAGCGCTATATAAAACTGATGCATTATTATTATTAAAAAAACTATTCTAAATCTACAATATTGTTAAAAAATCATGAGCTGCAATACATGAACCGCAATAAATGAGACAATTTTGTCCTTACTTTGCCTCAGTATTGAGTCATAAAAGGTATTAATTCAACCTTATATGAATTCTTATCACATAGCCAAAAAATAACCAAAAACCTCCCATTAGTGAAAAGAAAATGTACATGGAATAAATACTGACCCAAAAAAATATACTTCCAGCTTTCATATATTGAGCCCAGAATTGGACCCTTTTCGTATTCATTTATATTTGAGGGGGGGCCATGTAAGATTTTTTGCCCCGGCCCCCAAATTTCTGTCGACGGCCCTGGAACCTTAAGTCGATATAGTAATTATCGTGACAGGCCTGTGCGTTAGGAAAGTGAGGAAGTCTTGTTTTTCAGATTTTTAAGCCAGTTAAAATCAGGTACAGTGCCTTTAAGAAAACGCTATCAGTTACAGATGATATTGAATTCTTATTTCCGCAAAGCTCAATAGAGTAAACAAAGATGCACAGAGATCCACACTGTCAGAAGAGGCTGATACAGGATAAGGACGTGATAAGAATACAGACATTTGATGGTTTAGATAAGTCTGACGTGGAGACACTGTGGTTGTGTGTGCTCACCCAGCTGGATACGCCACCAGGCCGGAGCAGGGGTCACAGGTCAAACCGCTGTTTCCTGTGGTCGTGACCCCCAGTACCCTCTCCAGTGTTACCTGAAAATACATACAGTAGTTTATATGATATCAAAGCAGTAGCACTAACCAGAACCAACCTGCTTCAAAGATCTGACGAGATTTTCATTTTATATTTATATATGAGATCACTGAAGAGCCCATGTTGTGATATTTACTGATCAAAACATACCTGGAGTTAAGTTCTGATCACACAAATCCTGCCAATTTAGACTCTCAAACAGAAAACACTTCATGTTCCACCTTGTGATTTCATGTGTTAATACAAGAAGAGCCCCACTGTGTTTTTAACTCCACACACTTTTATTAGAATCATTTGGATAATTTCATCCCTGGAATTGTCAATCTTTAATAAACAAAAGGCAAAAAGTAGCTGTTAACTTGAAAACTACCGCTTCATGACATCAAAAAGTGGAACAGAGCATTTTGACCTTTGGAGATGTAGCCAGACTACTCCAATCCAAACTACTTTATTTCTATTGCAGATTTCATAAACAAAACAGTTTCCAAAGTGCTGCACAATACAAGTAAAACAAATCCAATAGAAGTAGAAAATAAAGCTCTACTTAACTCCACTACGTTAAGACAATAAAACTACTCAAATCAAATAAGAGCAAGAATATGAATAAATGATAAAAAGCTAAAAAACATAAAAATAAATAAAAGACACAGAGGAACACACAACTCATGTGGTGTTAAAAAACTGAAGAAGTGAAGTGGGTCTTAAAACGAGACTTAAAACACTCTGCTATTGGGACGTGGGGGGGCACAGCGTTCCAGAGCTTAGGGCCCAGCCACAGAGAAGGCCCCGTCTCCCCTGGTTTTAAGTCTTGTCTTAAGCACCACGAGCTGGAGCTGGCCCTCGGACCTTAGAGCACGCAGGGGAGTAAATCTGGATGAGGTCCGAGATTTAATGTAGGACCAGTCCTTTCAAAGCTTTAAAAACAAACAATAAAATCTTAAAATCAGCTCTAAAACAAACTGATAACTAGAAAAGCAGTCAGAGAGCGCAGACCTCCGCCAAGGACCACCCCCATTTTTTATATAAATTGCGATAAAATCAGTCTTCTGGATCAGATCCGGATCAGCCTTTGGAATATGAAAGAGGATCCCATTGTCCATCCCTGAGTCAAATTTCATGGGGTTTGGTCAATAATTAACCGAGATATTGAGAAACAAAATTTTTGGCCCCATTTACCACAATGTTAACTAAAATTTCAAAGTGATCCAGAATCCAGGATTTCTTCCGGATCACCCCCAAAATGAAATCAGTTCTTCCTTTTCACATTTCCAACAAATCCTGAAAATTTCATCAAAATCGGTCCATAACTTTTTGAGTTATGTTGCTAACAGACAAACAAACAAACAAACAAACAGACAAACAAACACCGCCAAAAACATAACCTCCTTGGCGGAGGTAATAAAGGGTAACTCAAACATGTGTAAATGAAACAAAACACAACTCCGAGTCTGTTTTTTAGGAGGTAACAGTATATGAGAAAACTTTGTTTTTGATTACATCAGCACGTGCACAGTGGCTGTTTGACAAAAAGTCAGTGGGGCCGCTTGTTTGTGTTGACAGTTGTATGTCTGTCATGAGATAACTCCTCTTACTTTGAAGTAGGCTTTGCATTTAATTGTTCTGACATGACTTTGACATCTTACTCTAAGTCACCGAATGTTGAGGATCAAAAACTTTACTTTGAAAAGTTAAAACTCGCCGATAACTGTTGACGATGTTGATGTTGTACTGTTGTATGACGATTGCTGATGTTGATGTTGTACTGTTGTATGACGATTGCTGATGTTGATGTTGTACTGTTGTATGACGATTGCTGATGTTGATGTTGTACTGTTGTATGACGATTGCTGATGTTGATGTTGTACTGTTGCATGACGATTGCTGATGTTGATGTTGTACTGTTGCATGACGATTGACTGATGTTGATGTTGTACTGTTGCATGACGATTACTGATGTTGATGTTGTACTGTTACATGACGATTGCTGATGTTGATGTTGTACTGTTACATGACGATTGCTGATGTTGATGTTTGTACTGTTGTATGACGATTGCTGATGTTGATGTTGTACTGTTACATGACGATTGCTGATGTTGATGTTGTTGTTGACGATGTTGATGTTGATGTTGTACTGTTGCATGACGATTGCTGATGTTGATGTTGTATTGTTGTATGACGATTGCTGATGTTGATGTTGTACTGTTGCATGACGATTGCTGATGTTGATGTTGTATTGTTGTATGACGATTGCTGATGTTGATGTTGTACTGTTGCATGACGATTGCTGATGTTGATGTTGTATTGTTGTATGACGATTGTTGATGTTGATGTTGTACTGTTGTATGACGACTGCTGATGTTGTACGCCTATAACTGTTGACGATGTTGATGTTGTACTGTTGCATGACGATTGTTGATGTTGTACGCCGATAACTGTTGACGATGTTGATGTTGACTTGTTGATACAGATGCTTATTGCCTACCAAAATGGCTGATGTGATGTCCCTGTGTTTTCTCGTATTATAACAGGGCTAAAAGCTCACAAGTAAATTTGCATAGGACTTGTAATAAAAGCATTTGTATGTTTTAAATAATACAGCTGCAATCATATAAATTTTTCAGATGCATGTTTTTGTCACATCACACAGCCCTGTTAGTCCGTTAGTATTTGACCTGTTCAAAGTGTGGCAGTGACAGGAGCCTGTGATGCACCATCTGTTCAGTCTGCTCTCTCTCAAACAGCCCATTGATAAAACCAGGTTAGTTTGTACTGTATGACAGGTAAACCAAACAGATAAGGATTTCCCATTATTTCTAATCAGGGACATAATAGCACACAACAGTATCCAGGAAGATAATTAAATGGACAATTAAATCAACAGGCTATCTATTTAAAGGTTATATAATACGCAAAATTTATTCTTGTGAGCTTTTAGTTTTATGTTAATAATTTTGTTTCCTCGTCAAAAACAGACCTGGAGTTGCGTTTTGTTTCATTCACAAATGTTTGAGTAACTCTTTATTATTAGTCTGTCTACATCTCCAAAGCTCTAAATGCTCTGTTCCACTTTGTGATGTCATGAAGTGGTAGTTTTCAAGTCATCATCTATCTTTTACCTTTAATTCAGTAAAGATTGGCAATTCCAGGGTTGAAATCCATCCACATGATTCTAGTGAAGATGTATATAGTTTAAAAACACAGTGAAGCACTACCACATGACATCACAAGGTGGTACAGAGTGTTTACAGTATGAGAGAAGAGCTCAGCCTAAATGTGCAGGATTTATGTGTTATATAACGTGTGAATGAAACAAAACACAAATACAGGTCTGTTTTTTTTACTAAGGAAACGTGCATTATACCGTAGATTAGAAAATGGCGTAATATGGCATTTTAATTGATTTTGTGACATGCACCGCAAACACACATGTGCATTTAATCAAAACTATATTTAGTATTCATGTCTAGTTGTCAGTGTCTAGTTTACAGACGCCCCCCTTTAGATAAATTACCTGTAGAAAGCTAGCTATAGCCTACAATAAATCAAAAGATGACCCAACTACGTGGATTTGCTTTGGTAAGATAATAGGCTAATAAAACTGTCCCTATCACTTTGCAAAACAGTGAATACGAAGTTTTGCGACATTTACCTGGCTGCTAATAGACTCCTTCCTGCTCCCCTGCAGTTTGGTGGAGGGGGACCGGAGCAGGTTCCTGATGCGCCCCCGGAAGGTGAAGCCATCGCCGGGCATGGTGCGCGCAGAAGCCCCCTGGCGCTGCTGGTGGTGCAACTTCACAACCGACCAAAGCTAACTGCAAGAACGAGCTCACCGTCCACTCTTTCCCCCGAACAAGTGAGCGAGCTCCCGGGCTGATCCTCCTCACCCAGAGGCGAGCTGTACCGGGTTCTTAGTGGATAAAGTGCCGCTGTGTTTCTAGTGCGGTCTGGACGTGTGCGCGCTAATCCCCCAGGTTAACGCACGGGCTGTTTCTCAAACCACTTTAACCTTAAGATTTCTTCAACCGTTCTCCAGGTCCATTTCATCCACACTTTGAGAAATATATAGATTTGTGGTGGGCGTGTCCAAAAGTTTTTTTTTAATCTACGCCCCCCGCAAGATTACGTCAAGTTTCAATGTTTTGGTTTAAAGCAGTGGCGGTGCAGTTAATGCGATTAGCGACAAGGAGGGGCGCTGCTTTAGAGAACGAAATGAGAGTGATTAATTACTCCAAAAAGGCTTTAATTTAAGTTAATCAAATAAAGTAAGCGAGGTAGCAGTGGTGGAACGTATCAAAGTAAAGAAGTAAAGTACTGTACTTAAGTAAAAAAAAAAAAAAAAAAGTGATATATATATATATATATATATATATATATATATATATATATATATATATTTGTACTCCAGTACATATTTTATACTATAATCTGAAACTGCTAAAGAGACTGAGGGGTTTATTTTATCAAGATCATAATTTAAGCAAACAAAAATATACAAAACAAAACAGCTAGAAAACAACAGCAACAATCAATTAATTTGTTTCTGTTGAACAAAATTCAGCACAAATCTTTATCAAAAACACTACATTTGAAGCCTTAATAGATCTGAAAATCTCAGTGAAATACTTTTACTCTTCAAGTACATTTTTTAATGTGATACTTTTACTTGAGTATTGTTTTGCCCCGGTATCTGTACCTTTTATTTAAGTAAAAAAAAAAGAAAAAAGTAATGAGTAATTCCTCATTTACCATCGGTAAGAACACAAGACAACAGTTGCCAACTTAAGTCACCAGCGCTGTAAATAAACCAATCACATTCATTTGCAGAAAAGGTGTAATGTCAGTTCTGTTCACACCATCATAAACCTGGTCAGTGTCAATTAAAGACTTACATTTTTTCTACATATAACCAGCAAAATGGCTTAGTGTCTTGGAATTTTCCTTACCATTTTAACTTAAAGCAAATTAATGTAATTTTACCTTTATAGGCTATTACTTTGTATTAAATTAGCTTTACATAATAATACATTTTCAAGTCGCTCTCTCTGTCTATGTAGTTTACCAGGCGATATTCCCTGATATAAGCATAGCATAACCAGATGCTGTATAGACTGAGAATGAGCCAACATCCTATAGTAAACAAAACAGTCTTATGAGATTTAAGTCAGGTTATACTGTTGTTACCTCCTCAAAAACAGACCTGGAATTGTTTTGTTGTGTTGTGTTTAAGTAACTCTTTATTATTACTCTGTTTACATCACCAGCTGCTCCACCTTGTGATGTCATGTAGTGGTAGTTTTCAGTTTAACAGTTACCTTTTACCTTTTGTTTAAATAATTCTAGTGAAGGTGTATGGAGTTTAAAAACATAATGGAGTACTTCCTGTATTATGTGGAAGTGCAGTGTTTTACATTTGAGAAGAAATCAGCCTAAATATGGACTATAAATATAAACACAACTCCAGGTTTGTTTGTGATAAGGAAACGTAACACAGATCAGAAAATAGCGTAATATAAGCCCTTTAAATCAAGTGAAATAATTATAGGTTGAACTGTCAAAGCAACTCAAGCAAGATGAAAAATTATGGACTCACGTCATTCTAACTCACTTGAAATGGTGTACTCTACAACTGAAAATTAGACACAGGTTATAATACATACGTTTTATTCATTGTTAAAGGCCACTTGATTTGTCCCAACCAAAGGAACCAGGTCTTAAAACACTGTCTGGAGAAAAATTCATTTAAAAGAAATACATATTTACATACAACAGTTTCAGTCGCTCTATATGGCTCTCATTGTGGTTTGACTTTTACAGGAATAAGTGCACTTGCGCCCAACAAAGTGCTACAGATGTAACATTGATCACAAAGTTAGTCAAAAATTAAATTAGTTCTCAGAATGGTTAAAGGTCTTATATTGACTCTTGTGAGGTTTGAGCCATGTTATAATGTTGTTTCCTCTTCAAAAACAGACCTGGAGTTGTGTTTTGTTTCATTCAAACGTTTGAGTAACCCTTTATTGTGCTCAGTTCCACCTTGTGATGTCATGAAGTGGTAGTTTTCAAGTTAACAAAAAGTAAAAAGTAACTGTTCAGTGGCAATTCCAGGTCTGAAATCATCCAAATGATTCTATTGAAGATGTTTGGAGTTTCAAAACACAGTGGAGCAGTTCCCGTATTACCACATGACATCACAAGGTGGAGCAGAGTGTTTTCTGTTCGAGAGATGAACTCAGCCTAAAAATGCAAGTTTATGAGTTAAATATGTGTGAATAAAACAAAACAAAACACAACTCCAGGTCCGTTTGTGATGAGGAAACATTATAACAGATTAGAAAATAGTGTAATATAAGACATTTAACAATTAGACAAAATAGTAGATGTTTTAAACAATGATTTCAATTCAAGACTTAATCTGGTCAGTGATTTTAACCTAAATAAACATAAGTGGACAAATCGATAAATTAGCTTATAATACATTGCTAAAGGTACCATCGCTTGTTTACATTCAGAAAGCCAGTTCACGTCGACTTTCCTACTTTTCTTCCCCAAGTAACATGTGTTTAGTAAGCTGCACTGCGCCTCGTAGCAAGAGGGTTTTCAAGTTTGATTTCCATAATTAAGGTCTTTCAGTGTGGAATTTGCATGTTCTCCCTGTGTATGGGTCAAGCATAGAAGGCAAATTTTCCAATACTCCTGATCCGGATTTTAGCTCAAGGTCTAAGGATGGGTCCCACACGCCCATTGTTCCTAGAAATGAGAAATGGACCAAACGCAGAGATCATTTCCCAATGTTTAAAGATGTACTATGTAACTTCTCCATGGAGATGAGCAGGTGCCAAACCCTCTACAAGCAATATGGATTTGACATTTTCTACAGTATGACATTACCGTATTTTCCGCACTATAGGGCGCGCTCAAAAGCCTCCAGCCCCATCAAAAAATGACTGTGCGCCCCACAATCCAGAGCACCCTATACACGAATCCACTCGGGTGTCCCAGCACGACTTCAGTAAACTACAAAGCCGCACCACCCACAGCGCAGGCAAACACGCACGGAGCAGACAGGGACCGCTCAGCGACAAACACCCGCAGCCACACTCATCACTCCAAGCGGACGAGGAACGGAACGGAGAAATTAACTGAAAAATGTGCAATGTGCCACTTCTAACCACAACTGAATAACTGAGTCACTGCGAACACGGCAACAATCCAGTGTTCCCAGACAGCACCCTCCCTACACGCCACAACTGAACAAAGCCCAGAGTCACTGTGAACGTGCCAAATAAAGTCCCACTGACTCATCCAGCTGTTGTGTTTCGTTTAAAGTCTGGTGTGGTTTATATGTGAAAAAAGTTTGAAAATAGACCATTCAATGACAGTTCATCTTATAATCCAGAGAACCCTATAGTGCGGAAAATACGGTAAACTTGATCTTCATGTCTAGACAGATCAGATCTGTGGAGAGGCGACCCCACTATCAGTAAGAATGCATGTTTTTCCAAGGTATTTTAAAGCATTCAAACATTTACAGTTGAATGAATGCTAAAGAAATAAATGTAATGCCATACTGTGGGGCATTCTGGACCAGAGTTTCTCAAACTTTGTATGCAGGCCAACTGGAAATGAAATGTTTTTAAGAGATAAATCTATTCATGTTTTTGTTCACCTTTGGCTTACCCCTTCTGTGCATTTTTTATCACCTAATGAAAACAATCAGGTGGCAAACTCCACTCCAGAAAAGTTACATAGTGAACCTTTAAATTGACTCTTGTGAACTTTAAGACATGTTATAATGTTGTTACCTCCTCAAAAACATACCTGGAGTTGGTGTTATCATTCTGTCTACATCTCCAAAGCTCAAAATGCACTGTTCCACCTTGTGATGTCATGAAGCGGAAACCGTATTTTCCGCACTACAGGGCGCGCTCATAAGCCTCCAACCCCCATCAAAAAAACGACTGCGTGCCCCACAATCTGGAGCAGACAGCGACCGCACAGCGAAAAACACCCGCAGCCACACTCATCACTCCACACCGACGAGGAACGAAACGGAGGAACGAACTGAAAAAGCGAGTGCAATGTGCCACTTCTAGACACGACTGAACAACTGAGTCACTGCGAAGACGCCGACAATCCGTTGGTCCCAGACAGCACCCTCCCTACACGCCACAACTGAACAAAGCCCAGAGTCACCATGAACGCGCCAGACAAAGTCCCATCCAACTGTTGTGTTTCATTTAATACACCTTAGACTCCGGTGCGGTTTATATGTGAAAAAAGTTTGAAAATAGACCATTCAATGACAGTTCGTCTTATAATCCAGAGAACCCTATAGTGCGGAAAATACGGTACGTTAACAGCTCCGTTTAACCTTTTGTTTAGTAGAGATTGGCAATTCCTGGACTGAAATGATCCAAATGATTCTAGTGAAGATGTATGGAATTTAAAAACACAGAGGAGCACTTCATGTATTACCACATGACATCACAAGGTGGAAATTAGTGTTTTCTGTTTGAGAGAAGAACTCAATTTAACTAATAAATATGCAGGGTTTGTGTGTTAAACATGTGTTAAGAAAAAAAAAAAAAAAAAAAAAGCAACTCCAGGTCTGTTTTTGATAAGAAAACAACATTATAACATAGATCCAAAAATAGTAGGGATGTAACGATATCCAAATTTCACAGTACGATATTTATTGAGGCTAACAAAACTGAATATGCTGCTTACTTCCTTTTTTAAAAACCACGAATAGTGTTATAATTGTACTGTTGTAATATGAAGAATTAAGATTTTAAAGTGTTATTAATGTTAAGTCTGCAATGACAACAGCAAAGGATCATGGTCTATGTAGTTCCCGTTTTAACTATTGCTGCATCATAACAATGAATTTAAGTAAAGAGACTTGAAATATTAGTTATTAGTATTAATAAGTTTGAAATATTATTGTGAGACTTTTGACGATACAATATCACGATATTTCAGTTATTGTTACATCCCTAGAAAATAGTGTAATATCCCTTTAAGCCTACCGTTTGAGTTTATTGCAGTAACATTCTTGTACCATAATATTGGATCAGTAAAAGGCACAGTAGTCAATTCTGAGATGAGGTTCCAGCATTCAAGTTTGAGGTTTCGAGGGCTGTGCATAGACTACAGTAGTGTTCAAAACAAAAACAAACAAAAAAATACGATACTTATTCGATATCCACGTCCAACTCGCTTTCCAAGTCTATCCAGGAACGTTTTTTCGCGCTTGGAAAATCCTTACCCAACGAACCGCGAGTTAAAGGACGCGACCCGTTTAGGTGCACATTGCTGATATCGATGTCCCACTCCTCCTCTTCCTTCTTCACTTCCGAATACGAATTTGGACAACGTTCCAGTTCAATCCGTGGACTTAGCTCGAGTTTGTTTTTCGGAGGCCGCCCCCTGCCTCTTTTCGCAGGTTGCGGGCTCGAAACTCCCGCCGCTGCTCTTTTGTTCGACGGCGATAAACTTATTTGTAAATTCGTTGGCGAGTAATCCGGATCTTCTTTTATTACGAGTTTGGATTCGGGAGTACGGGAACTGCCTGGACGTGGGTTTTTGCGTGGGCGACCTCTTCCGCGTTTCATTGGAGGAGCAGTTAAAGTTTGTGGTTTATAAACAGGATTGGGAAGAACTGGGAATGACTTGGCTTGATTTGCTGGCGCTTGGTTGGTTCTTGGTTCACTGTTAGGAGTTAAATTCATAGTATTAACAGTATTAGTAGTAGAAGTACTAGGAGGAGAGGTAGGCAAGGTAGCTGCTTGGTTTGAGATGCTCCGATTGACGTATCCAATATTTGCCAAGGGAGATTTAAAAACATATGGTTGTGTTGAGTCTGTTGTCAGTTGTGGGGATTGGAGGTCTAGCTGAGAGGGCTGTTGAGTAAGAACAGTCGCATTGTCAGTGTCTGTTGAAGTATTTAAAATAGTTTGTTGTGGCACAGATCCTGGCTCCAGCGGTTTGAGTACAATCGTAGGTCTTTGCTCGCTGTTCTGTGCGACGGTGAGCGTGTAGTAGGTTTGAGGAGCTGCAAAAAACAAAATGAGAGGTTAAAATAATGTACAATATGTATGAAAGTGAGTTCAAGTTGTGTTCGTTTTAAAGAAGCACTATGTAACTTTTCTAATGGATAATGATCCAAGGAGTTATTGCCAGAGGTGGGACCAAGCTGTTGTTTCGCAAGTCTCAAGTCTGTGGTTTCCCACAGACCCAAGTCCATTTTAGCAAGTCACGTCCTCAAAATAACTACCAGGGTTCCTTCTTTTTCAGTGACAACATTTTAAAACAATTTCAAAACTTTTCCATAACTTTTTCTTGACCTGAAGTGAATTTTCCATGATTTTACGGCACTTTACATGTGTAGATTTGATCAGACTTTTAGGACTAAATATGAAATGTTAACCCTTTCCACTCACCTTATAGTTTGGGATTATAGTTTTTACAGTGTATCCCCAGGTTTGACTAACCCAAATTTAACACTTTTTAAAGAACTTTTTAAGACCACTTAAATGAAAATAAAGACCAACATTGCACCCATTACTCGGGCGATAAACACCAGATCCAATTCTAAAAATGACTAATCAACTACTGATCTAGAATCTAAAAGCCACTGTGGATTAAACCTACACTTCCCCATGATCCATCCGTCTTCCTCCACTCTACTGATTGGTTTACTCATTGCCACCGGAGCCAGAAACCAAAGTATTGTTTGTGCATACTTCAAATTAGACATTCATTAATGTTATGTGATTTCACGTTGTTTTTTTTACCTCCTTCCATTTAACATTGCAATGCAGGCTAATGAAATTTTAGGCCTTTGTGAAAAAAATAAGTCTTGGACAACATAATTTAAGACTTTTTAAAGGCCTTAATTTAGGAACATGAAATTTAAGACATTTTTAAGACTTTTAAGACCCCGCGGCTACCCTGTTTTAATATTCAAAATACTGTCAGTGCATTTATTGTCATCTCTTTTAAACAAAAGGTGCGTACATTCAGAAATAATCGTAATAGCCTAATGAGAACTTAACAGAACGCTGTAGTTGAGTAGACACCTAGTGACTTTTCCAGGCATAGAAAATGACATTTTCAATTTCTGTGACTTTTCCAGGATTTCCATGACAGCGAGAACCCTGAATGACTCAGGTCTGACTCGAGTTCTCACCTCAGGTTATTGCTTTACCTGGAATCTTTCACAGTAAGACATTAAGTTTATCCATTTCCATATACAAAATTAGAATATCATGGAAAAGTTCCAATATTTTTTGTCATTTTAGAAGGTCAAACCCATATATTATATTGACTCACGACACATAGACTAAAACTTTCAAGCCTTTATATCTTGAAATTTTAATGATTATGGCTTGCAGATAATGAAAATCCAAGTAAGTAACGCTACAAGGTCAAATTAAAAGTTAAAACCGCATGTAAGAATACAACTTTATTTTAGCGATAAATCACCTGTAACTGAATAAGTGAAAGAAAGCTATAGTATATTATAGGTAAAGCAGTAACTTCTCCATGGGGACAAGCATGTAGTGGACCCTCCCTAAGAAAAGTTACATAGTGCATCTTTAACAGTTCACACAGGTTTATAAAAAAAAAAGAAAAACTCACCTGGCTTCATCGATGAGGGCAGTATTATTCGACCATCTTTGGACCGAATCAGTGGAAGAGCCAGAGTGTGGGGATTAACTGGGATCTTGACCTTTTTAGATCTAGCGCTCTTCAGCTTGTTGACAGAAGACGTGGGCATTTCTGCTGGTGCCACGCCCATCGCCTTCTCCTGCTCGGCGCGGTTCTGCTTCGCCGCCTGGTGGCAGAACTTGGCGTTGTGAATGATGGGTTTGAGTTTGGTCAGAAGCTGTTGGAGGAAGTTCTTGGCTGTGGCTTGGATCTCCTCTGATGCTTTTCTCTGGGCCTCGGATGGTTCAGGTTTGGATGGTTCTTCAGTGGTTTTAGATGGAGACTGTGGCTGGAGATGACATAATGTGAAATTTGAATGCACAAGACAAACAAAACTCCAAATTGTGAATAATGAGAAAAAACCCCAAAAAACATTAATCCACAAAGTTTGTTTGCCCGATAATTTTTGTGAAGTTTTGTGTGTGTGTGTGTTGAGTGTAGAGAGAGGGGAGAGGTGTGGGAGGGTTTAATTTTTAATTGTATTTATTTATTTTTGTTTTGCGTTATGTACATGTAAAATTTCAAAATTGATAAATAAATAAACACACATATTCATAGATAACCATCTTCTTCTTATTACTTGTTTTAAAAATCAAAGTATGAATTAACTAATGAACTGATTCCACTGAAAAAGACACGATGCTCTATTTCTGCCAAACACAAAACATTATTGTGATGTATTTAATTGTGTGATGTGTTGTGGTGTGTTCGATTAATTTGTTAATTGTAAAATCAATTAATCTTAAACAGGTCTCCAAGAAATAAGACATTTTTGATAGAATGATTGATTCAAACAAGTAAAATAAGGCACTACTTGTAAACTAGTCACTACTAAGACTATCATACATGTAACTTTTATGAAGTTTAGACAGACACACACACAGACACACACACACAGACAGATAGACACTTTATTAATCCTAAGGTTCCAAATTTGCTCCTGTAACAGCTTCATTGGAGTAACGCTGAACACTACGGATGACGTCACACTCACTCAGTCCACTTCTTTCACTTCTTTATATACAGTCTATGATTAACGCATGGCATTGGAATTGAGGCTAAATAATTTAATTCCAATGTCTATATAAATCTCTCTTTGTATAACTATATCCATATCTATAAGTAAACTTGCGTAAACTTGGATAACACCAGATGCTCGTACCTCCTGTTTGATGGGCTTGAGTAGAGGGGTGGTCTCTGGTTTGGTCTGGGGGCTTATGGCCTGAACCGTGGCGGTGGTGGACTGAAGCACATCTGAGTGTGAAGACTCTGACGTCATCTCCTCCTTCTGTTTCTGCTTTTCACAAATGTCAAACAACTTCTCCAGGACGCTCTCCTCAGACTGACCTAAAATACAAGGTTAAAGGTTGTATAGAGGATTTTTTAAGGGAAGAGAGATACAGCGACAGTCCTTTTTCAAATGTTGTGCCTGCGTGACACCACCTTCTTCCTCCACAGCTCCCTCAGTAGAAACATCTCCTCCCACCTCGCACACGCTTGTTTACAGTCCGTGTGCGTTCAGAATTACTGTTGAAGTGACCTGTCTAGAAATAATTTAGCGACCGACGCGTCTGTCTTTAGACCCTTTGTCCGCTTCAGTCGCGCAATCACTGGAAGGAATCTCTAAGAATCACCTCAGTTTGGCTTTGCTCCTTTTCCCCTTCTCATCTTCTTTCAGCGAGCTTAAAAACAGATTTTCTTTTGCGTCGAACTAGTCGTGGATTCTCGTCCGCCATCACAACAAACTTTGTGCAAATTGCCAGGAAGCTACAGTTTGAAAAATCCTCTAAAAACTGCTGCATAAACCACATAACCCCCACACACCAGCAAGTCAGTTACAATAGAAATGTAGGGAGTTTGATTGACAACCTAACAGCCAATAGAAAATGAGGTAGCCTTGTTATCTATTGGCTGATGTTTATCTGGCCTCACTACATCCACAGTTGATAGATTTTCATTCTTTTTTATTTTTGGTCATCATAATTACAAGGCTGCTGCATCTCTGCAATGGTATTTTAAACTTTCATGGGCCATTTGAAGCAAAAAAATTCTTCCATACAACCTTTAAAGCATTTTAGAATGTTTTAATCTCATCAAAAACAGACCTGGAGTTGTGTTTTGCTTCATTCAGACATGTCTGAGTGACCCTTTAGTATGAGTATGAGTATGTATGTCTACATCTCCAGATCAAAATGCTCTGTTCCACCTTGTGATGTCATGAAGCAGTAGTTTTCAAATTAACTTTAACTAAGCCAGCTTCCACCATTGTTTAGTAGCGACTGGAAATTCCAAGGCTGAAATTATCCAAATGATTCTAGTGAAGGTGTACAGAGTTTACAATCACAATGGAGCACTTCCTGTATTGCCACATGACATCACGAGTGCTTTCTGAGTGTTGAACACGTGTGAATGAAACAAAATATAACTCCAGGTCTGTTTGTGATGAGATACCATAGATCAGAAATTTGTCTAATATGGGCCCTTTAAATGATTGTTATTTAAAGTTGATTTTGTTTTTTTAATCGTATCATCACAGTATATGGTTGATGAAACATTGCTCAGCACTACATATTCATTTATATTTAGTCTACACGCTGATTTAAATTAAATGATGCCTACCAGACATGATGGAGATCTTCCGCACGTGCGCGTTCTGCATCTGACTCAGCAGCTTCTTCTCTTCCTCCAAAAACACATTGCGTTCTGTGAGGTCCTCGATTTCTCTTTTGGCCTAAAACAGAAAATACATTCACAATTATCAAGGTTTGTGTACATTTTTTAACTTGTTAATCAGAAGTATTGATCTTCTTCAAGTACAATTATGTTTTTCTTGTAGACAACTGTTTGAAATCCAAAAATAAATATGACAAAACTATTCAAATCAAGTTAAAGGTGCACTATAACGTTTTGAGTAGAGAGCTGCCTCCTGCTCGTCTCCATGGAAATGTGAATGTTCCACAGTTAGACATTAAACATATCTCGATGGAGAGAGGGCAAGGTCAAATCTGTGATCCTGCTAGGCCTGTCACGATAACAACTTTTGAAATGTGATATGTGTTGTGTGTGTTTAAGAAAATATAGACGATAAACTGTAATATTTATATTGATTTAAGCTCTGACACAAAAACCCTTCAGTAGAATTATCCCTCCAAAGATATTCTAAATGTATTGTTAAAAGGTATTTACTTTAGTCCTCTTCAGCTCAAATTTGATTGGAGTACAGCAAAATAACAAAAACTTTCCTAGCAGTACAAAGAGAAAGTACCCACAATAAATACTGACACCCAAAAAATTACTGTCCCATTATATTGAACCATAAATCAATATAGTAATTACTGTGACAATCCTAGATGATGCTCAAAGTAAGAATGCAGGTTTTTCTAAGCATTTGAGAACAATATATTCGTGAAAGAAAAAGAAAACGTAGTTGTTGTGCAAAAAAAGTCACAATATCTGTTTGCAATTGATATGAAATGTATTGATTTGAACTATTTTAAAGTAACTATTAGTGTTAATGTATTGTCTGAAAAAAGGAAGAGAGGAAAGATACCATAAGATTATCCTTCTTTCTGCCCCTTCTTTCATTTCTTATAAGTTTAATGTTATGACACTGTTAATGTCTTTTTACACTTGAATGAAATAAATGAACAATTAAAATTAAGTGCAAGTGCAATACCATACCACGCCACCGGAAAAGTTCCACAGTGCAGCTTTAAATGAATTCTTACAAACAGAAAGGGACTGACCAGCGTGAGGAGGTGGAGTTTGGGGGTGGGGGTGATGGTGGTGGGGTCCAGGAGGCTCTGCAGATTGTCAAACAGCTCTCTTTGTTCACTGCGTCTCTGTCGTTCAGAACATTTCCTCTCATGTCTTCTGCTGATTTCTGATCTGTCGACCTGAAATACAATAAAGCAAATGAGTACACCGAGGGTCCTAATATTAGAAATGTGAAATTTACGAACAGTTAAAGGGACATGGGACCTCATTTCCATGTGAGCCAGCGTGTTGGAGAAGTGTGGAGACACTTTTTAAATATTCCATCCAGTCCTTGTATTTGCAGAGGTCGTTGGTGCTAGACTAGTGCATGTCAATGGCCATAGTTAACCTGCTGCTAAAAACAGTCTTACCCACTCCACAAAACACCCGAAACAAATCTATTATTACACCAGACTGTCAATGTGAATGTCTGTGTCGACAGAATAATTTTAGAAGTCAAACCAACCTTGCATTTGAAGGATTTATGTCTGAGCAGCAGCAGTGAGTTGTACTTCCTGATAGAAAGCTTGGCAGCGGCGAACTGATATCACCTAGCACCGATCTTACTGGCTGCTGCTGAGAAAATAGTCCCTCAACATGTGACGATTCATGCGATGCAAGGTTAGTTTTATTTCAAACATTATTCTATTGACACAGACATTCACATGGACAGTCTGGAGTAATAATTAATTTTGTTTTGGGTGTTTTGTGGAGTGGGTAAGACTGTTTTTAGTGGCAGGATAATTATGGCCATTGACATGCACTAGTCTAGCACCAGCGACCTCTGCAAATACAAGGACTGGATGGAATATTTCAAAAAGTGTCTCCACACGTCTCCAACACTCTGGATCACCAGGAAATGAGGCCCCATGTCCAAAATTCTGGACTGTCCCTTTACACAGTTTTCCGTCATCATCAAAGGTCCTACATTACACAAAACTGACTCTTATAAGCGTTAAACTTTGTTATAATGTTGTTACCTCCTCAAAAACAGACCTGGAGTTGTGTTTTGTTTCATTCACCTATTTAAGTAAACCTTTATTTGTCTGTCTACATCTCCAAGGCTCAAAATACTTCAGTAGAGATTGCAGTTACAGGGCTGAAATTATCCAAATTGTTGTAGTAAAGGTGTATGGTGTATGGAAATTACAAACACAGTGGAGCACTTTCTGTATTGCCACGTAACATCACAAAGTGGAACAGTATTTTCTATATGAGAGAACTCTTCCTGAATATGCAGGGTTTGTGTGTTAAACACGTGTGAATGAAACACAACTCCAGGTCTGTTTTTGATGAGGAAACATAATAACAAATCAGAAAAAAGTGTAATATGGGCCCTTTAACGAGTTGTATTTTGCTCATGGCTCCGTAATTGTGATAGATTTACAAAAAATATATAATATAGTATAAATACTATAAGTAAACGGTACTGTTTTATTTTTTTAAATCTATTTTTACTTAATAGATATGACATTTTTGGTTTAAAATCATTATGCAGGTAAGATTTTTGTAAGTATTTTTTGTCAACTACAATGTTCATTCTCCACTGGCAGATGCTTTTATCCTTTACAAATAAATATTGAAATTAGAAAAAAAAGGGGTCAAATTATATAAAAGTCAAAAGTCAATACTACTCAAAACAAGATAAATATTCCAAATTTGAGACAGTTTAACTCCTAAAGGCACTTGATTTTTGCAGCGCTCTCACCTCAGGACTCCCCATCTGCAGCGGATATCTTCTAGGTACAAACCTCCTGTTGAAACAAATATCCATAATCGTCAGAATACTTCACACGTTACATAATTATTATTCAAATATTATTTCAACAGTTTCACCTGTTTGGATTTGGGCCTAAACCAGCGGCAAGTCGAAGCCTGTCCACCATGAGCTGTTCTTCAGTTTCCAAAACCGTCTCAACATCCACAGATAACTCCTAACCAAACAAAGTACGGTAAGCATTTGATTAATTATTTATTTTATTTATTAAAGGTCATATATTACACAAAATTGACTCTTGAGAGCTTTAAGTCATGTTAGAATGTTAAACCTCATCAAAAACATACCTGGAGTTGTGTTTCGTTTCACTCACACATGTATTAATATTATCTGTCTACATTTCCAACATCTTAAAATCTTCCACCTTGTAACAGAGGTGGGAAGTCGTGCAAGTCGTGACTTTGACTTGAGTCAGACTTGAGTCACTGTTTTTAGGACTTGAGACTTGACTTGAGACTCGACTTGGACTTGAAGGTCACTGACTTGGGACTTGACGCCTGTGACTTGAGAAGACTTGAGAAGCACTTTTAAATCTGAATTCTTTCTGTTCTGACCAGTAATGATTCACACTAAGATCTTGTCAAGACATTTAAAAAGGAAAAATTGACTAAATTAATTTCTTCAACTCTTGTGTACTGTATAAACACTCATATATAAATATACCGTGACTTTTTAAGTACAATTCAGTTTAAAATTCATATAAACTGCAAAAATCTAAGCTTGGTTTAAAGACTCGAAATGACTTGAAGCTCAAAGCAGACGACTTGGACTGGATTTGGACTTATGGGCCAGTGACTCAACACTTGACTTGGACTTGCCTGTATTTGATTTGGGACTTAACTCGGACTTGAGGTCAAAGACTTGAGACTTACTTGAGACTTGCAAAACAAAGACTTGGTCCCACTGCTGCCTTGTGATGTCATGAAGCAGTTGGTTTTCAAGTGAATAGCTACTTTTTTAAATGTTGTTAGTAGAGACCGGCAATTCCAGGTCTCAAATCATCCTCCAAATGATTCTAGTGGAGGTGTATGGAGTTTAAAAACACAGTAGAGCACCTCCTGTATAACCACATGACATCACATGGTGGATCGGAGTGTTTTCTGTTTGAGAGGGCCTGTGTGTGTTAAACGTGTGAATGAAACAAAACACAACTCCAGGTCTGTTATGACGAGGAAACAACATTATGACAGGGCTCCCAAAAGTCAATTTTGTGTGTTCTGTGGAAAAAAATGGCCCATTATTTGAGATTGAAAGCTGGTAAGTTGGTCAAAGAGAGATGGTCAAAACAAACTATTTACAAAGCTCACTATTTCTCCTGCAATTTTTTTATTTTTTTGTATTTTTTGTAGAACACTACAGAATCCTAATTGTACAAGTATTTCCATAAAACTTACATCGTCAACATCGACCTCTTCGTCTTCATCTGAGAAGTCTGAGCTGGCCCCGGAGCTGGACTCGCTCTCTGAATCATCACTGATCACTATGGGACTGTTCCTGCTGTTTTTAAGTGTGTTATTCACCATCCGAGACAACAGACTGTTTGCATTGTTCTGGTGCAGATTTGGGATTTTGTCTGGAGCGGGTTTAGGGAGATGGATTAGAGTAAAACCCCCTGGGAGAGCCACCCCGGGCATCTTGCAGGTGTCGTTATCCGGGGGGCAGATCCTGAAGGAGTAGGAGCCTTTCTGCCCTAAAAAGCTGGGGGTTTTGAGCGAGGGGGACACGGTGATGGAGATTGGAGACGAGCTCTGGAAGGGGCTGCTCAGTTTGTTCTTCTCGGGCTCAGGAGGAGGTGGAGGAGGGGGAGGAGGAGGTGGGGGCATAGTATCAGCCTGGGTGGGTTGCTTTGTTCTAACTGTGGAGACAAGAAAGAAGTGAAAAAATGATAAGACAAATGAGCAAATATGAAAGATTCAAAGACATCACACTGGCAAAAAAATAAATGGAGCTGGCGAACACCTCCTCCTCGTTCAATCAGTGCCCAGTCACCCCAATTTATATTCCCCATTGCTTCGGTTTGTGCTGTGCCCCATCTCCTCCCCATCACCACCTCGGCTTCTCATCAACTCATCATCTTGTCTTCTTAAACTAAAACTGTCCCTGCATTTTTGATGGAATTTTGTGTGTTGATGCACACATACATTAGCCTGAATCATCAGCCAGTTTCCAGGAAGTGCAACCGTATGACCTTGCAGTGTGAGGATTCATTCATTCAACAGTAGGTGGGCACTTTTTTATTTAACCAATCGCTGCTCTTTGGTCGTGACTTATGTAATGCGCTGCTAATGGGGTTAAAAGGTATATTGAGCTTTTCCCAAATCCTGTAGGAAGAAGGGCAATAACTGTCTTTCCCCTTGATAAAATTCACCAAACATTCTCTTTGTTCCGGCGTTAAATCCTCAATCTCGGGAATCGTTGCCAACACAGAATTTCTGTCTTCATCTACATCCATCTCGACTGCTTTGTTTACTGTTGTGCTGTACAAAAGGGACCCAGACAGGAGCTTGAGTTTGACGTCATGGCTTCACAGCTCTTCACTGATTGGCCGGTGCACGGTCTACAACTTCTGGGGTTCTTGCAAACAGCCTCGTGTATTCTGATTCCTGACCTAGTCACTGGAGAGAAATAAAACTGAGTGGAGGCACTAGGTGGCGCCAGCCTGGCTACACATACACTACTACCAGTCAAAAGTCTGAACACTCCCTCTTATACAATGTTTTTTTCTTTTACTACTTTAGTTTAGTGTAACTTTTTGGTTGGGGTTTTGGTTGTTTCTATGAATATGTCATTGCTCTGCCTGGAATGTTTCATAATATAACATTAAACAGCTGTTCTGCCTTACATTTATAAAACTACAGGCAGTTTTATAGCTCAAATATACCAAGAAAACAGTCATTCTGACTGTGAGCCGAATTGTATCTCCACAGATCTGACCTGTAACTTGGTCTGGTTCAGTCTCCATGAAGATAAAGGTTTAATGCCACACTGTGAAACATTCCAGACAAAGCAATAACTTCTCCATAGCGAAAAGCATTTGACGAACCCTCCACTCAAAAAGTCACAATGCACCTTTAAAAAAAACTCAGCAATTTAAATTTAAAAAACATATTTTAGATTCAAATTCCACTAAGTATCCACCCTTTGCTTTATCGACAGCGTTGCAAACCCTTGGCCTTCTCTTTGAGCTTTACAATAAAGTTTCTTGAAATGTTTTTTTTATTAAAAGGAATGCCAATTGTCAAAAGAGGTGACCAAAATAAAGGGTGGCTATTCAAAATCTAAAATCTGAACAAGCTTTTAATTATTTTGACTTCATTTTTGGTTTGCTACATTCCACATGTGTCCATTCATAGTTTTAGTGCCTTCAGAGACTCTACAATGTAAATAATCATGAGAATAACAGAGAAACATAGATGAAAGTGTGTCCAAACCTCTGACTGGTACAGTGTGATTGTAGTGTAGATAAAGGGATTCACTTTTAGAACTCGGCTCGATTTCCTTCTTCACAAACTGCCACTTGACTGATGTAAAACTGTGATTAAATATTTAACAAAGGTACTGTCCCACCAAAGGCAAAATGTTCTAAAAAAGGAAATATTATGCACTTAAACTCTGAATTCTCAATCCTCATGTTTCTCACGCTCTCGCCAAGAAACAAAGCTGCTCATACTGGGAATCATCTGACTGTTACTCACGCTAAAGATCTCCCTGCATATCCACACTAATTTGACCAGAGATGCACCAATCTGATACTGGGAACTGCCAACACTGAAAAATGTACGGGATACTGGCTTACAAATATCGTGGGACATATAAATTGATTTAATAACTATTTACTGGCCATAGTTTGTCCAGCCATTTTCATAATGTTTTAACTTTTATTTATATTTTATTCAGTTGTTGCTGTAGTTACTTGAGAGATGACTAACACATTTGGATCAGTTTTGTCTTGTGTTTTAAAAGTGAACTATAACTTTTCAGTAGGGGGTCCATCACCTCCTTGTTTCTATGAATAGGTCATTGTAGGGCTGTGCCAAAAATCGTAAGATTGATAGCACCATGCGATCTCAAACCTGTTAACTCCATTAAAATGTGCTTTTCTTATCATCAAGATCAAAATCTGACGAGGATTTAATGCTGTCTTGTTTGGGAAAAGGAAGTCAGGGCCACAGCGCGTCTCTTTGTTTTCTCATGTTTCACACATTTCGACTTAAATCTGCACAATTTGACTAAAAGTCCAGTTGTGCCGTCTGCCTCGCTCCTCCTACCTCTCTGATCCAGCTCCTCAACTTTTCTCCTATGGTGCCGCTCATCTTTATAAGTAAATGATGTTTTTCTGACGGTTTATGAGCGAAACTTGGTGCACGGACTTCACACGTGTTTCTGTTGATAACAGTAGCAGATGTGCACGTGTGTCTGTCGCTAATGGCAACGTTCCACGTATGTATTTAGGCTTAATATATTATTCAAACTCCTTCCAAATTTTAAATGTGGATTTCTCCTGAATAATGGGTCCTATCAACACTAAATAAAAGCTGTAGTGATCCTGGCACTCTGCTCTTTATGCCACATGTCTATGTTTTCAATAAGATGTAAGAAGATCCAATTGAAAATTGAGATCGATCAATACGGAAAACAAAAGTCGTGATTCTTTTTTTGACCCATGCTGCTCAGCCTTAGCTGGAGGTTCTATTACAGCACCACTCAGACATGCAGTCCTTATCATGTATGTAGGATAGGGTTATTGGACATTAGCACCACACCCTGCCCCATGTCCAGAGCAGAGCCAACCTAGACATAACATGTTGTGTTGGCCGCCTCCTCTGGCACACGAGGCAGAGTCAGTGTTTATGTTGCAACGGAGTTAGTCTCTAAACAAGTTATATAATGACAGCACCTTTTATCTTCAGAAATAGGCTCTGTGCAGCCACTGGGAACACCAGGCCAAAACTTGAGAGTCCAAGGAGAAAGTAAACATTCCGATAACTGTGGTTAACAACCAAACACTGACCAAAAGTTTCCAGAAGCTGATGCACAAAAAAGGGGTGAACACCACTCAGTGAGTAGTGACTAAAAGCCCCACAGAAGAACGATAATCTGGATCATCTACAGAAAAGGAGAACACGTGTGTCTCCAGAAATTCCAGTAACTGCAACACTAGAGGAGAAAGAAGACATCCTGATAATTGTGGTTAACAACCCAACACTGACCAAAAGCTTCCAGAAACTGATGCACAAAAAAGGGGTGAACATGAAAGTACCAGATGTGCCAGAAGGTATTGAAGCCCCCAGAGTTAAGCTCACAAGACGTGTGAACCCTGCCCAATCAGAAGAGACCTATGAGTCTGGTCTTCTGGGAGTTTTTCAGGACAGGAGGGGGAAGTACAACTGGAGCTACACAAATGGCCCCAATTCGTGTTTGGAGCTGTTTGTGCCCTCATACTTTAACAAACTAGTCTTAGGGTTTTTAGTCACCAGACTTTAAAGTTAGGCAGCGTCACCAGGACATATGTGGGGCGTGGTCATAACGTACTTCTACCAAAGCAGACATTTTGAAAACATCAAAATCCTAGGAACTTCTTCTGATTCAGATGAACCCAATGTAGCATTTGTGTATTTTGTTGATCTGTGATATGTGAATTCAACTTCTGTCTTCAAAAATTGCTCTCCAGTATTTCTGTGGTAATTTGAAATCAAATGTAAAGCCAGGGTGAAGAGTGCCCTTCTACAGTCAAAGGCTCTTTATCACTGCTTACAGTTTGAATTACTTAATAGCTGCAGTTTTAATTAAGATAGATCCAGTACAATGTACTCAAGTGTTTGCTGTTCATATCCATCTCCAGATATCATTGGGTCTCCAAGGCTGATTATCTTAAAAAATTGTCTAACTGCAAAACGAATAAAGGAAGAGAAAGCGTATGTATAGTTAGGCCCGAGTGCCAGCGGCTGGCGAAGGGCCTATTAGTATCACAAAGCGATGCTCCAAGGGGCCCGAAAGTGAAATGGCGCAACGTGACTTGCCCGTAGTGACCAGGGACCCTCGTCATGACGTAGCAATGCGAAAATGTATAGTTTGTCGGCCAAAAAAAGAGGAGTATTGTTCTCGCATTAGAATATTATTCTTTCTTTCTTATTATTTTTCTCCTAACCAACTCACTCATTTTTCACCCACTGAACCATGACAAAAAGTCCTGGAAATTTTGCCATCTGGTAAAACTCACGCTTCTCCAAGTTTTGGCTATTTCCATTTTCCAAAAATAAATCAAATGGCTCGTCAGCGCCCCCGAACAACTCAAAAATGCATTAGGGAATACGAATGAGAAAATCTGCACGTAGAATCATGAAATTTGACACAGAAGTTAATCATGACAAGACAAAGAAAAAATATTACGCCAACACCGTGCGCTCCACTAGGGGGCAGCAATATTGGCTTAAAGTTTGCTAATCTTTTATGAACTCCTCCGAGGGCGTTCACCCGAACGAGCTCAAATTTGGTCCACATTATCTCAAGACGTGGAACATCAAAACTTATCCCAATTTTTCACACACGTCTTACGGTCTCTGAGCAGTGAAGCAACAAAAAATGCACACAAATTTGGAGATTTACAAATTGCTCCCATTTGCTCAAATGAACTCAGATTTCAATGAAATTTGAAACAGTTGTTAAACTCTCCACCCTTCACTTACTGTGAAAAATATAAATTTTGCGCATTCGCGCCCCCTATAGAAACAAAATTTAATATTGAAGAAAAAAAAAATTGTTCCCAAATAGCTATTCAAAAATTTCAGACATTTTGCATAAAATTCCATTTTGGCATCCTGATCCAAAAGGCAATGACACCCATGTCATATTTTTTATGCCGTTGCCATAGCGATGACTCCATGTTATTCCATTGGTAAAATGGACAAATTTTGGCATAAACTTTGGCCAATTTCACTCAAATTTTAATCATGGGTTCACAACCCGACCCTGAACAGACTGATGTAAGTAACGTGGGAGCAATAGCGCCCCCTAGCAATTTGCACAAACTAACTGATTTCACTCAAATTTTAATCGTGGGTTCACACCCAGACCCTGAAAATAAAAAAATGCATGCAGTAGCGCCCCCTAGATAATTTGAATAGAACAATAATGTTTTATTTGTCATAGATACATAAAATTTGGTATACACATTTCTGACATGGTCTCGATTAAAAAAACTCAATGATGTCCACACCTCATTTACATGGTGTTGCCATGGCAACAAGCACAAAATCTGCCCTTGCCAATAGGATGTCCTTACACAAAGTTTGTGTAGAAAAAATTTATTTTGTAGCCAGATGCATCTTGGCAAAAGGAATAAAAATTTATATTGCAACCACGCCTGTTTGTTTTAATAAATACATGCAAAAATTATGTAAAATGGCAGGGTTAGGTGAAGGGTTAGGGCTAGGGTTGGGGCTATGGTGAGGGTTATGACTAGGGCTAGGTTTAAGCTTAGGGTTATTAGGGTTAGTGCACGGCATTTTGCGAGGCACAGCGTTTGCAGGGCGCGTGTTTGTGGGGTGCGTGTTTGTGGGGTGCGGCATTTGCGGGGTGTAGGGGAGGTGTAGGCGCGCACGAGGGCCGATTATTGCCGCTTGCGGCTATATTTTTTGAGTTGAGTTTGTAAACTTCTACTCTGTATAATCATGTTTTCATTCAGCTATACAAGGGTGTCATTGTTTTGCCTGGAATGTTTCACAGTATGACATTAAACAGATCTATCTTATATTTATTCAATTCCAGATGGTTTTACATGACATGATGGTTTTACATAACATACATCGTTTTACTGACTCTGACTCCGGGTTGCCACTCCTCAAATGTGATCTGTAACTTGACCTCATTTGGTCTCCATGATGATAGAAAGGTGTGAAACATTCCAGACAAAGCAATAACATCTCCATGGAGAAAATCAGGTGGCTGGACCTCCACCAGAAATGTTACATAATGCACCTTTAAAGAAATAAATGCTGTTTTCAGTCTCTGTTTTGATATCAGTTGATATTGGGTATGGACTGAGAGTTAAAGCTATAATATCAAAATTTGTACTGGAACAAAAAAAAGCTGGATCAGTGAATCAGTCATTTCACAGGTCAAAATGTAGTGATATTAGTTCTAATCTTGACTCCTTCTCTGGCTAAATACCAGGAAATGCCAAAAATAAAAACAAACTTGCCAAATAGCACTTGGATATATTTACAGCTTAAATTCTCTACCTGTGGGTCGTATTGGTCGAGGTGGAATCTTCAGCTGAGGCACCAGTGGCCTCTTCAGGACAGTAGGGGGCGCAGAGGGGCTAGGCGTGGTCTGTGGGGCAGGGGTTGGAGCCGGTTTTGGGGCAGGAACTGGGGCAGTAGCTGGGGCAGGAGCTGGAGCTGGGACAGGAGCTGGGACAGGAGCTGGGGCAGGAGCTGGGGCAGGAGCTGGGGCAGGAGCTGTAGAAGGAGCGGTGGGTTTCTTATACAGGTTACTGGTACCACCCAATCGACCTGTGACAAATGCTGCGACACGATTGGCTGGATGCAGAGCGCCCATTCTGCCCAACATCAGCCTGGCATGACTGTAGAACTTCCCATTCACCTGTAAGAGATGTAAGGTTAAGTTAAGTAAGTACCCTATTTTTCAGACTATAAGGCACACTTAAAATCCTTTAATTTTCTCAAAAATCGAAAGTGCACCTTATGATCCAGTGCGCCTTATGTATTAATTCTGGTTGTGTTACTGGCTTTGAACCAATTTTATGCGCTCAAAAATCTGTCAAAATGTTTTTGTACGACTTTGGTAAGCTACAAAGCCACACCTCTTGATGGATTGTCAGAGCATTACGGTTACTGTAATCAGGAGCTTCGTGGAGTAATACACATTCACCAAGACAGAGAGGCAACACTGGGCAAGTTACACCACGATCTGCCAATGGTTCGTGGGTGCCTGGGCTAAGGGTCAGTCTCAAGTGTCGTCTGAAGCAAAGTAACAGCAACAAGACTGACACAGATAATGACGAGAGGGATACGGGCTTGATGCCGAAATTGCCCAACTGTTAAACTCAGCCACTGAAGATGAAGAATTTGATGGATTTGTTGAAGAGGAATGAACTGAAAAAGTTGCAACTAAACAATGTTGAGAGTTATTGTGAATGAGTTGAATAAAGTTTGACTTATCTGACTTATCTGTCTTATAATCCAGTGCACCTTATGTATGAAAACAGACGAGAGAAGTCAACATTATTGATACTGCGCCTTATAATCCGGTGCGCCTTACAGTCCGAAAAATATGGTAACCGTTTTCAAGTCACACAGTTATATTCTGATTTATGTTATAATGTCGTTTCCTCATCACAAACTGACCTGGAGTTGTGTTTCGTTTCATTCACACATGTTCAGTTCAGTTCAGCTATTTGAGCAACATGAAAGATTATAATATCAACATGAGATGAGCTCTTCTCTCAAACTGAAAACACGCTATTCCACCTTGTGATGTCATGTGGCAGTACAGAAAGTGTTCTACGGTAAACTCCATACACTTAGAATCACTGGATAATTTTAGCCCTGGAATTGCCAATCTCTTCTGAAAAAAGGTAAAAGGCAGGTGTTAACTTGAAAATGACCGTGTGTGAATGAAATTAACACAACTCCAGGTCTGTTTGTGACGAGGTAACAACATTCTAACATGACTTAAAGCTCACAAGAGTCAATTTAGTGTAATATAGGACCTTTAAATTATGATCAAAATCAAATTCTACAAAATCAACACACCATAGACATTCTAAAACATTAAAATACGTCTTCATGAGTGGTACACAGACAGACCCAGACCTGTATCAGCCCCGGGGAGCTCTGGCTGGACTGTGCAGTGGTGGCTTTGAGGACTCCGGCAGGCTGTATTTTGGAGATGAAGGGGAAGAGTCCAGCTCTGAACTGAGGCTCTCTCACTTTCACTATACTCTCCTGCTCCTCCTCTTCTTCATCCTCTTTATCCTCTCTTTTCTCCTCCTCCTTCTCCGAACCATCGCTGTCATGCTCTTTGGTGCTGGTTGTATTCAAACTGATACGGACCTGTCAGGAGCAAAAAGTAGTTTAGCAAAAAATGCAAAGTTGAAAATTTCAACTTAAACTGAAATAGCACTGATCTGAGTATTTCTGACATCTTACAGTCTTACTTAAAGATTATATTACTCTATATTCTGATGTATGTTAGACTCCAGGTATGTCTGTGATGAGGATAACTACATTATAAGATGGTTTAACACTAACAAGAGTGAAATTTTCAGTATAATATAGGACCTTTAATATATAGCTCTACCTACCCTGTATGTTATGACACATTCGTTGGGCTTCTGCATGACGATCTTTGCCACTGGTTTGACTTGATAGGCTCCCACAGTGAAGGGTCGGCACAGGCGGTTCTTGTTCATGTTCAGACAGAGAGCTTCCAGAACCATCTTTCTGTCCCCTTTGGCCCAGTTACACGCAGACTGGATCTCTATCAGCGTCCTGGGGCGTCTGCTGTCTTGATTAAGGCCAGCATCTACACAAAAACACCACATTGAATTGAACAAGTACAGTATTTCTCAAGTAATTCAAAGTGCTTTACAGAATAACAAAGACATTAAAGGGCCCATATTACAGTTTCCCACTCCTTTTCACTGACAACATTTCTAAACTCTTCCATGACTTTTTCATGATCTAAAGTGAATTTCCCTTGACTTTATAAGTGTAGAATTGAGCATTTTTAGGGCTAAATATGAAATGTGAACCCTTTCCACTCACCTTATGGTTTGGGATCTAGTTTTTTAACATTTAAAATACTGTCAGTGCATTTATTGTCATCTCTTTTAAACAAAAGGCGCAGACATTTCGAAATAATCATAATAGCCTAATGAGAACTTAACAGAAAGCTGTAGTTGTGTGAAAGCGATACTCAAATTCCATGAATTTTCCAGGATTTCCATAACCACGGGAACCCTGTCACAAACATACCTGGAGTTGTGCTTTTTTTCATTCACACATGTTTAAACATACGAACCCTGCATATACAGGCTGTGTGTGTCTTTCATACACTCAACACTTTGTGATGTCAAGTGGTAATACAGTAAGTGTTTTTGAACTCCATACACCTTTAACAGAATCATTTGGATAATTTCAGCCCTGGAATTCCCAATCTCTGCTGAACAAAAGGTAAAATGTAGCAGTTAACTTAAAAACTACCATTACATGACATCACAAGCTTTGGAGATGTAGACAGAATAATAATACAGGATTACTCAAACATGTGTGAATGAAACAAAACACAACTCCAGGTCTGTTTTTGATGAGGGAACAACATTCACGGCTAAAAGCTCATAAGAGTGAATTTTGAGTAATATAGGACTTTTAACTTTAGTACAGCATTTCTCAAGCAGTGTTTTGTAGGGTTCTCTGCTGTATTTATTTTAATTCCAGTAAAATCTATTAATATTTTCCATTCTTTTCGGTTAATCATCATTTAGAACTACCTTAACCATGCTTTAGACTCATCTTAGATCTAGTTTAGTCTCACTTTAGACCAAGTTTAACCATAATACAGACCTGCTCAAGTCCAGCTTTCAGTCTGTTGGTACCAGAAAACAACAGCTTCATGACATTACAAGGTAGAACAGAGCATTTTGAGCTTTGGAGATGTAGACAGACTAATAATGCAACGTTACTCAAACATGTATGAATGTAACAAAACAAAACACAACTCCAGGTCTGTTTTTGATAACAAAATTATAACATGGCTTAAACCTCACAAGAGTCACTTTAGCATAATATAGAACCTTTAAAGTTACAAATCTTATAATAAATTGTGACTTACCCGTTTTCTTTTTCAGCACAAATATGTTACTTTTGGATGAATTTGTCGCCTTCTGTCCTGGTTTCGTTGAATTGGCAGAGTTGGAAGACGGTATAGGAGCTTTAGCAGCTTTGGGAGCAGTAGATGGAGTAGTAGTAGTAGCTGTAGTAGTAGTTGTAGCGGTCGGTGTAGTAACGTGTGGAGTAAGAGTTTTAGCAGCGGCTGTAATATTTGCCAGCGTCTCCACTGGTGGGGGTTTACTGTTGAATTCTCTCACTCTCGCGCAGGTTAGTTTACTCTCTAAATATTTGTACACAGGGTCCTTATCCTCTTCTCGAATCTGTAAAAAAAAAAAATACAAAAAAAGGAGGCATTAAAGGCACACTATGTAACTTTGGTAACACTTTAGTTTAGGGACCACATATTAATAGCAAACTAAGTGGTAATAGGTTTGCTAATTAACTGTTACTTAGCTATTAGTTGGTATTAATCAAACACTTTTCAATGCTAATTAAGATTACAGTGTATAAAGAAAAACATCTATTGTGATCTCCACTATTTTAATGAGAAGAAAACAGTTAATGGGTTAATACTCACAAAATACAGCCTGAAACAAAAAATGGATTGAAAGTACTTTATAAATACTAATAAAGATGTAATTAAGCACTTATTATGCATTTTACTATAAACTGGGGATGGGCATTTGATGAAATTTTATTAATCAATCGTCGGGAGAATTAATGATCGATTTTCAATTAATCATTAACGTTTTTATATAAGCATCATCATTATTATTACTATTACTAATCTGAATAAATAAACTCAGGTTTACAACATTTAAACCATAACCACCCTAGAGGCACATCAGTCCGTTTGACATTATAATATGTTAACTGCAGCTTTGTGCAAGTTACACATAAACTAAACTTAAAACCACATGACTAATTTGCATAAACTAAGCGCTGTTGTGCACCGATGTGGTTCAGCTTCTGTCAGACTAAAGGATACGACTCAGTGGAATATAGGTGCTCTTTCTGTGACAGAGGAATGTTGATGTTGAAGGTGAGTCTGTTCTGTGTGTGTCGCGATGTTTTCAAAGATCATACGTGTGCAGGTTTAGCGCAGCTTTTTATGTTGCAGGAACTGGGACACTGCGTTAACATTCACCATGACGAAACCTGGATACAGATGTGGATGTAAACGCACTCACTGATTGATACAGTGTCTCCAAGGAGGTACCAGAACCCAAACGTGGGACTGTGAGGCACAACTCCAGTGTTTGTGTCAAGATGCAGCTTCATATCTACGCCCAGAAACCTACATTGGGTTTGTCGATTAGAAGTGAACATTATCGACGAAATTCTTAATGATCAATTATCGATTAGTCGACTAATCATGCCCATCCCTACTATTAACTAGCTATTAATATGTGGTCCCTAATCTAAAGTGTTACTGTAAGTTTTCTAGCGGCAAGCTGCTTGTCTCCATGGAGAAGTTAGTTACACAGCATGGTATTAAAGGTGCACTGTGTAACTTTTCTTTAGTGGAAATAAAAGCGATCTCCATGGATGGGTTATTGTTTTGTCTGGAATGTCCCGGTGTGACATTTACTCAAGAACATGGGTTGCCTCTCCACAGATCTGGCATGTATCTCAGCACTGTGGCATCACCTGAGGACTCTTTGGAGATAAATAAGTGTAATTCCATACTGCGGGACATTCCGGGTAATATCTCCATGAAGAAAAGCAGGCGACGGACCCTCCAGCAGAAAAGTTACACAGTGCACCTTTAAGCTTGTGTATGTATCTTTATGGAATAGTAAGAATGCATGTTATTCAATGGATTTTTTTTTTTTTTAAGTAACAGAAACACCTTGTTTAATTGAATAAATGCAAAAGAGTTACAGATAGGTTAAGGCCATACTGCGGAACATCTTCAATTTAAAGTACAACGTGTCTATTTCATCTAAAAAGATCCATTTTACTTGCAACGATTACACTTCACCTACCGGGTTTATTAACGGGGTGGACGCTTTATTGACTGGAGCAGCAGGTGGAGGTCGGGTGGAGCGATTTTGTGAATTGGCGGTCCTGCTTTTATCCGGCTGTGAAGTGGAAGAACAATATAATGTTAAGTGTCCAGTATTAAAGAGGAGAGTAGTAATTCTTGTTCAAAAATGGACATGATGATTGGCATGATTGAAATAACCAATCAGAGAAAAGCATGGTTGTTTTTGTGTTAAAAGGAACAATGCACGGGTAATGCAGGGCTAAACCATGATTACAGCATGACTAAAACATGACTAAACCAGGGCTAAACCACATTTAAACCTCACCTTTGGGGTTGGGGTTGGTGTTGGCACAACTTCAGGAGAAACTGTCTTTCCAGCTTTGGGGACGAGGAGCGTCTCTTTGTCTGAATCCTGTGGGTCTTTAATCCACAGTCTTTTGTAATTTGATTTTGATTCAGATGTTTTAGCTACAGAAGACACAAAAGTCAGATTAGTACATTTATGGCTTCCAAAACTGTGAAAATAGAATATCTACAGGTTTAATAACATGAATTCAGAATATTGATGTAAATCTTTTTAGTGTATTACAATAATTTATTTACGTCTCTAACAGCTGACAAAGTGACATTTGCGTTTGATGAAAAAAATCATTCTACTGGCAAATAATACGAATTTATAACTGGTAGAAAACACATGCAACTGTGCAAATCTGTTTCATATTTCTTAAATATTGTAACTTGTATGTACGTTCTTTTAGCTTTTAAGAAATAAAAATGTTTATCATTTGAAAAGAATAAGGTTAAGAATAGGTTGTGGTCATTTTCTTGAATGTGAAGATTTAATATTTTCAGATGGATGGATCTATGGAACTATGGAAAATTCATTTTGATATGTTATTTATTTATTTATTTTTCAATGTTTGATATGTTGTCACCAATATTAAACCAATTATAGACGGGGTTTTTTTGAGGTTCAGTTAACAATTACGGCCAAACCATTTTTGATTAACTTTATTTTATATTTTTTGGCTGTTTTTGTAGCACAGCTTTTTGGAACTACAGCTTCCAAAAAGTGAAACTGGCCAATTTTGTCCCATTTTTCAAGATCTTGTCTTGCGAGATCTTACGGAACAGGACCCTGGAGGAACGGGACCTTGGGGGGAACGGGACCTTGGGGGGAACGGGACCTTGGGGGGAACGGGACCTTGGGGAACGGGACCTTGGGGGAACGGGACCTTGGGGAACGGGACCTTGGGGGAACGGGACCTTGGGGGGAACGGGACCTTGGAGGAACGGGACCTTGGGGGGAACGGGACCTTGGGGGGAACGGGACCTTGGGGGGAACGGGACCTTGGGGGGAACGGGACCTTGAAGGAATGGGACCTTGAAGGAATGGGACCTTGGAGGAACGGGACCTTGGGGGCAATGTGACCTTTCAGGGAACGGGACCTTAGGGGACCTTTGGGGAACAGGACCTTTGGGGGAACGGGACCTTGGGGGGGACCGTGACCTTTGGGGGAACGGGACCTTAGGGGACCTTGGGGGAACGGGACCTTTGGGGGAACGGGACCTTTGGGGGAACAGGACCTTAGGGGACCTTGGGGGAACGGGACCTTAGGGGGAACGGGACCTTTGGGGGAACAGGACCTTGGGGGAATGGGACCTTAAGGGGAACGGGACCTTAGGGGGAACGGGACCTTTGGGGGAACGGGACCTTTGGGGGAATGGGACCTTAGGGGGAACGGGACCTTAGGGGGAACGGGACCTTAGGGGGAACGGGACCTTAGGGGACCTTGGGGGAACGGGACCTTTGGGGGAACGGGACCTTTGGGGGAACGGGACCTTAGGACACCTTTGGGGGAAAGGGACCTTAGGACCGATATCTTCTCCACCCTTACTACATTCATTTTCAAATAAGTCATCATTACAATCACAACTTACAGTTTGCAGGCTCTGGTTCGGTGATTGCTGTAAACAGATTTTTGGTGATTGTCTCTTTGAAGCAGCTGCAGCCGAACATGCAGTCAGCGCGTTTACAGTGGAAAGAGGCACGGAAAGCTCCTCTGTGATGCCCATAGAGACTGTCACACACACAGCCCAGCCTGCAGAACTCCCGACCACAAAGGGATGATGGCCCCCTCACGTATCTCGGCACTCTGAACACCTCGTCGAGTTGACTCTGCCATCAAAAACAAAACAAAAAAGTGAATTAAACAATACGGCAGAATGTTTTTTATGAAGTTGTAAATTCCCTTTCCCTTGGTAGTTTTATCTTTATTGATACCTATTCTTATGATATCATCAACATTTCTTTTCATGGTGAAGCTAACTGGAGGCATTGCTCTGTCTGAAGTAGGCTGAACGATTTTGGCAAAAAAAAAAGCATTGATTGAGATTGTGATTTATATTTTAACGGTGGAATTTTGTTAAAAGTTCACATTTTTAACATGCCCAGGAGCATCAAAGAACTGAAAAAAGACTGATCTTCAATACAATACAAGAATCAATTTTGTAGAAGTCTGAACTACAGGGTTAGCAGATTTTTACATAACAAAAGAGGACATCTAACTGCAGCCTTTGAGATTTGACAGTTGCAATCATTCAAATAGTTCACAGCAGCATGCTAGATAGCTCATAGTGGTGTCCCAAAGCTACCAGTTACTTATTAAAATCGTAAAACATAAAATAAACAAAGATTAAGATTCTAATTAAAGTCAAGACTATCTAATTTTTCTCTGTACAATACTTCAGTTTTCATTTTCTTTGTACTTTTTAACATGTTATCAGTGACAACCACCTGTAACTTGCCTTATCTTAAAATATTTTAGCATTTTACCACAACACCTAGATACACAATTGGACAGGAAGTTGTAATCTGATCAGAAAGAAGAAAACAACAAGAGAGCTGATTTGTACAATTAAATAAACCTACCTTTCACTCTCTTTACCTCCAAGAGAAAATTCTTCTTGTTACACACATCAAGCCAGCAGAAGGTATAGAACTATCAATATAAAAAAATATCACTTCTTAATTACCCATTTGGTCAAAAGTGCAGAGAGCGCCACCGACAGTCTGGCCGGTGTAACATGAGTCCTCTTTAATCCTTGGTTCCAGGCTCCAGTCTCCATCTCGAGGAGTCGGACCTGAGGCTTGGAGAAGGCCGAGGTATCGTACCCTTTGGGAGGGGCTTGCGTGGGGGCGGGGTCAATTGTGGATTTGGGGGTGGGGTCAGATGCAGGTTTGGGGGTTGGCTCAGGTGCAGGTTTCGAAATCAAATCAGGCAGAAACTTGGATAATCTGAAAGCAGAGGTTGTAATTAAAGGTTACATAAAATTTAAGTCACGTTATAATGTTACAACAAATGAAACAGAAAACGTGCATCAAAGTTCTTGGAGGGGTGCAAATGCGAGAAACAGCAATTTAAAAGTGAAAAAAATGCATAGCACACTCAGATGGCCGATGTCCAAAAGATTTTTCTAATATTTAAATTATGTTTTGGCAAAAAGCCTTAATCATATCATTTTTCTTGTTTAGGACCACTGTATACAAAATGGTTGCCAGCCCAGGTGCTCATATCCCCACCAATGAATCCCAAAGTGACCTCACTTTGAAATAGAAAAATAAAAATAAATCTGCCATCTGAGTGTGCTATGCATTTTTTTCACTTTAAAATAATTTTGTTACCTCATCAAACACCTAAATGGAGTGGAGTCACATGTTTGAGTAATTGTTTATTATTAGTCTGTCTGCATCTGGGTCCATCCATATGAAATCAGCCGTTTTCAGGGAATCTCCCCTTTGAGCCATCTCAGATTTGGCTGAAAAAAAATCTAAAAATTTCTAAAATTACCAAATGAAAGAATCTAAAATGTTAGCTTAATCTCTTCAGCCGTTTCTGAATTATGGCCTGTTGAAATTTTGGGATCATGCCCCCTTTTTCAGACACCTTAATTTATAAGCATTCTGAGAGACCATAACTTCATACAAAATAGAGCCTTGAAGCTGAAAATTTGTATTATTGTAGATTCTGGGTCACAGATTCTAAATCTGTTGTCAGATATTTCCAGCCAAATCTGAGATGGCTCATAGGGGAGGGCGGCTGATTTCATATGGACGGACCCATCTCCAAAGCTCAAAATGTTCTGTTCCCCCTTCTGATGTCTGATGTGTTTTTCATGTTAAGAGCTACCTTTTACTTTTAGTTTAGAAGAGACTGCCAATTCTAGAGTAGCAATAATCTCTGTTATTCTAGTGAAGGTGTGTGGAGTTTAAAAACACAGTGGAGCACTTCCTGTATTACAACATGACATCACAAAGTGAAACAGAGCATTTTAAAATTTAGAGAAAACTCCTAAAAGCATAAAGTCTTCAGGTATATTTGCGATGAGGAAACATTATAACAGATCAGAAAATAGTGACATTTAATGTGACATTGAAACCAGAGTTAAAGGTGCTAGGTGCTTTGTAACATTCCTGGTGAAGGGTCCGCCACCTACTTGTCTCCACTATGTTATTACCATGGACTGTACATAAATGGGCATTTCTAACTAAACTTCCCAAACATGAACATGATAAATGTTTAATCATTGACAAATTTGTTCCTCCAAAGTCTGAACTCTGCTCCAAACAGCAACTTTCACTGGCAATGTTCACGTGCACAATATAATCTGATTATTATATTATTTCTGGAGCTCAAAAGCTACTTGACATGATAATGACATGAAAACTGTAAAATGTGAGGGGTAATCAGAGGGAACATGGATAGGCCTGTCACTATAACAAATTTTGCAGCATGATATATTGCTAGAGATATACTGCAGTAAACGAAACAACTTCATACTGAAACTACTTTATGACATTGATTAAGATTAAAATAAAACAAGATAATCCCACTAAACCCTTTTTAAATAGACAGTATCATTAAGAGGCCTGAGCTGCAACAAATAAACAGCAGAATGAATCAACACTTGAGTTACAGAAGTTATTTATTCAACCCTCTACAGCTCAAATCTTATTGTAACACAACTGCAATAAAAATACTTCCTCACTTTTGCAAAGAAAATAATACCCACAATAAATAATTAACCCCAAAAATATATTGTTCCAGCTAGGGCTGTGCCAAAAATCGAAAAATTGCAATCTCAACTTTGGTCAGTCTCGATGATAAAGCATGAGCATTTTAAATCGACAGGTTTACAGCCAATCATGTGGCGGTAAGAGCGCGTGGTGCTGATGAGGATTTACACTCTCGTTTAAGAAAAAACCTGAGTCCCTTTGTCTCCTCACATGTTCACAAGTTTTTTACTTAAATCAGCACCTTTTGACTAGAAGTCCAATCTCTCTCACTCTGCCTCTGTGTGCAGCCGTGTGTGAGCCTCAGTGTGTGCACGTCTGTGTGTGCGTCCGCGTCCGTGTGTGTGTCTGCGTCCGTGTGTGTGCGTCCGTGCGTCCGTGTGTGTGTCCGTGTGTGTGTCCGTGTGTGTGTGTGTGTGTGCGTCCGTGTGTGTGCGTCCGTGTGTGTGTGTGTGTGTGCGTCCGTGTGTGTGTGTCCGTGTGTGTGTCCGTGTGTGTGTGCGTCCGTGTGTGTGTGCGTCCGTGTGTGTGTCCTGTGCTGTGTCCAGTGTGTGTGTGTGTGTCCGTGTGTGTGTGTGTGTGTGTCCGTGTGTGTGTGTGTCCGTGTGTGTGTGTGTCCGTGTGTGTGTCCGTGTGTGTGTGTGTGTGTGTCCGTGTGTGTGCGTGTCCGTATGTGGTTTGCTGTTTGACCGCATCCCCGCTCTCAAATGAGCAGCTGCGGCTGGATCAAAGTTATGGAAAGTAAACGACTATTTTCTCACCGTTTATGAGTGAAACATAAGACCTCATTTAACGCTCAGACAACACACGTGTTTCTGTTGATAGCGGAGGTGCGCGTGCCTGTGTGTCTGTTACAGCAGTGCTCGTATGCTTTTAGGTTTAATACGTTGGACAAACTCATTCCAAACTTTAAATGTGAATTTTTGGTCCTATCAACGCAAAATAAAAACTGATCCTCACGCTCTGCTCTTTACACCTGAAGTCCACACATCTATGATTTAATAAGACAGAAGATTGAATCGAAAAAAATTGAGATTGCTCAAAAAATATATATATAAATATTTTTTTCCCATATCGCCCAGCCTTAGTTCTAAAGAAAATGTGACTATACTGACTCACATTAGTGCCGAGTGTATAACAGTTTTCCTTTATTAAGCGCTCGTTTTACAGTTTTATCATTACCAACCAACCCAAACCAAGGATGTCACAGTTTATTTTGAAAATCTGGTTACCCTATAAGCAGTGCACCTTTAATATGTGAATTTCTTACCTTTGAGCCATAGTGAGAGGTTGAAAAACAGGACTTGGCTGAGCTGTGTGGTCAATGGTGTAGCCATCAGATAAAGCAGGGGAGGCGCTGGGAACTGGAGAAGCTGGTGACAATGGCTCAGAGTTCAGACCACAAGACTTGACCGGCTGTGGGCTGGCGTTACAAACAGTATTAGCGTTAGTAGTAGTCTTAGCCTTAGGAGGAGGAGGCATGCGCTGCTTGAGAACACTGTCCAGCGTTTTGACGTAACTGGAGCTCTTCGCGGGCAGCTCGTAGGACACAGAGCCCTGGGGTTGAGAGGAGAGCGTTTCGGCGCGTTCACTAATTTGCTGCTCTTCGTTTTCCAAGTATTCGTCCAACATGTTGCTACAGAACGCAGAGAGGTTTTTGGAGCTGGACCCATCGGAGTGACGAGCTAAAAAAGACAAACAAAAACATTATTAAATATGTATTATTAGGGTTTAAAGCAATACAAACTACGCTACTGTGTTTCATTGAGATAGAAGCATATAAAGGCGATTTGGCTCTATTAAAAACAGTTGCACTAGAAACAAAGAGGTCTCAGGTTTGACTCCCCACTGTCCCCCGGCAGGTGAGGTTTATCTATAGAGTCTGCTTGTTCTCACCGTGTCGAGATACATAATTTATTGATCATTAAACATGCACAATAGACTAATAATCCAGCTGGCTACTCCCGTTTATGAACCTAGTTTAATGGGCCCATATTGTGCTATTTTCTGATCTATGTCATAATGTTGCGTCCTCATCAAAAAAAAGACCTGGAGTTGTGTTTTGTTTCATTCACACATATTTAAACACACAAACTCTGCATATTTAAGAGGAGTTCTTCTCTCAAACAGAAAACACTGTTCCACCTTGTGATGTCATGTGGTAATACAGAAAATGTCACATTCGTTTACTAGAATCATTTGAATCATTTCAACCCTGGAATTACCCATCTTAGAGGTAAAAGGTAGTGGATGACTTGAAAACTACCACTTCAAGTGGAAAAAAGACAAGGTGGAGCTTTGAGATGTAGACAGACTAATAATAAAGGGTTACTCAAACATGTGTGAATGAACAACGGGTATGTTTTTGAGGAGGTAAGGTTTGCGTAATATAGGACAGTTATGATCACGCATAGGGGAGGATATAGTATATGATATATCGGTCGGCCAGTATTATCAGCTGATATGGGCACTTGGAGATATATTCGGCTATCAGCCTAAATCTTGCCGATATGGGCCGATAGTCCACATGGTCATGTTATACCTCGTTATGAAGCTTAGACTCTCTATAGTGTCCATTTAGTCCAATTTACAGACAGATAAATATATATATATATATATATATATATATATATATATATATATATATATATATATATATATATATATATATATATATATATATATATATATATACATATATATATATATACACAGTATTTATTTGTAGAGTAATTTGTCTGTGTCACCGTCCTGCCCCTGAACACATCCCAGAGACATGTCACTCACGTGCGCTCGTTTACACCCGCAGCTGCTGTCAACATGCTGGATTATATTCTTTTTACGGACAATCTTTCTGAGTCAGGATTAAAAGGACACTTATTAGTGAAGACTTGAGGTGTCTGTGTGAGCGCTGAGTGTTGCAAAGGTGTCGATTTTTAAGCTACTTTTGGTTCTTTCTCATTGTTTAGTTGCTGTAGCTCTCACACATACACAGACTATTTTCTCTGACATTGGCCAAGTGTAAAGTGACTATAGTGTCTGTACATGTTACCGGACCTGCATTAATATGTAAATGAGATATGAATAGAGGTGTAAATGATCTGCATTTACGCATAATTAATTACTGTGGCATGCACATTTACCGCTAAAGGCTGATAGCAGTAGTTTACTTACTTTCTTTACTGGCTAGAATGTCATGCACAAATATCATCAGTCCTCCCTACCGTCTTTAAATATAACTGTAAAGAGGAAAAATAAAAATAAATTTTGCCTAAATAAACCCTATTTAAAATTCAACAGAACTAAACCTAAGTTTTATAATCAACTGAAGATTTATAGTGAAATTTAACATCACTAAATTTTTTACATCAGCTATCAGCGCCTCCAACTCCAGTTTTATCGGTATCATATCGGCTGCAAAAAATAAATAAAATAAAAAATCCATATCGGTCAGGCCCTAGTACATGAACTGCATATTTTACCACTGAAAATACCATACAAGATTTGATCATTCAAAAACACTGGCCTTGTTCACATGCATGATCAGAAAGAAATGAGATAATCTTGCTGTTTGCTCATCATTTTAATAGTCCTATAACTCCAAAATTAGCAATAAAGAAAGTCAATTTTCTGCTATATTAATCCAATTACACCACAATATCTACAACTGTACGAATGTAGAGAGGAGTTCTTACCATCACTGTGAGGCAATGAATTATTTTTCACACACATTTTTCTTCTCCATCCTTTTATTTTTGTAAAATCGCTGGTTTTTCCCGTTCTGGAGATGAAATGTAATCCGATGTCTATCAAAAGAGCACAATAAAAGATACATTACAGCCTTATAATGAGCACTTATGACTAAACCGGTGTAAAAAAAAACACTGCACTTACCTCCAGTCACCACACAGGTGATTTTGGGAGGCAGAGGCAGCTGCACCCCCAGATACTGAAGGTCAATGGGCTGAGTGTGGTCTAAGGAGCTCAACTTCAAACCCACTGAGAGAGAAAACGTAGAATTATTAATGCATTAGAAGGCGTAAGTAATACAGATTTAGCCATTTCACAATTATACACACATGTTAATATGTTCTAACATGGCTTAAAACTCACACGAATCCATTTTGTGTAATATAAGACCTTTAACTCACCCTCCTGCAGCACTGGGTGGATGGTCTGTCTGTGCTTGAGAAGCTGCAGGTCTTGTAACAGCTCTGTCTCCAAACGGAGTATCTTCTCTTCACTCTCCAAAGTCTCTGTTTCAACTGTGATTTTAAATTACAATTAATCACTAAAAAACACACAGCTTAATAGTTTCGTTTCTTTATGGCTTACCTCTTGGATTGAATTGCACTGGAGTTTGTGAACCTGAAGAGTCTTGTGTTGTGGTTCTGACTGGCTGCTCCTCGATGTGACTCTCCAGAGCATCCTGAAGATGAAAAGGGAAAAAAAATAAAAAAATCACACATGAGATTTTCTTTTTCTTTTTGTAAATGTTGTTCTGTAGAAGTTGGCAGGCCCATCACAATAATTACAATATGAACTCATACTTTTGGGGGTCACAGTATTTCTCATATGCACAAAAATGCACTACAAATGCACAATGAATTACTTTTACTAATCTGTGTTATAATTTTGTTACCTCATCAAAAACATGGCTACCTGGAGTTGTGTTTTGTTTCATTTACACATGTTTAACACACAAACCCTGCATTAAGTGGAGTTCTCTCAAGCAGAAAACACTGTTCCACCTTGTGATGTCATGTGGGAATACAAGTGCTCCACTGTGTTTTAAACTGCACACAGCTTCATGAGAATCATTAGGATTAAAGTTAGGTATCATTAACAAGTTGCCAATATGATACATACCTTGAAACATAGGCCACGATACATGTCTCGATACAGTGAGCTTTCAGTTCGATATGATCCGAAACTATATATTTCAAATCGATTTGATGCGGTTCAACGAAAAATAATGGCTAAATCGTGGCTGTGATACTAAAAGTGTTTGTTAAACCACTTCTTGTGCAAAGTTCAAACGAAACACAAACATTTTAATCATCAAAACAGTGAAAATGTCAGATGTGTTGCATAAATGAGTTTCCTTCCTTTGAACAAGCAACAAAACTGTAGCACCTTAACAAAATTATTTAGTAAAATATACCAAAACATACTCTTAGCGATATATCCATACAGCAGGCCTACGATATCGATACTGTATCATCACATTAAATGATACAATATAATGATATTTTAATATTTTTTGCACACCCCTAATCTGGATGACAGCAGTCCTGGAATTGCAAATTTCTACTGAACTAAAAGTAAATGGTTAACTTGAAAACTACCACTACCTGACATCTCCAGGTGGAACAGAACATCTTGAGCTTGGGTGATGTAGACAGATTGATAAAAGGTTACTCAAACGTGTGTGAATAACAAAACACAATTCCAGGTCTGTTTTGGTGGAGGTCACATTTTAACATAGCTTAAACCTTATTATAGGACCTTTAACAATGACACTACCAAGACCAACCCAAGTCTAATGAAGGACTTAAAGAGAAAATCAGCTTTGGTCCAGTTTACTTTCCAAAAACACCACATTTCTGTCAAAAGAGAGAACCTTGCTATATTCTTTTTTTTCTATTTTCAATACTGTGCTGCCGTAAGTAAGCTCCTCGGTGATCTGCATGTGTGTTATGGTTTATTTGCGGTACTTTACCTTGGATGTAAACGACACAAACAGCAGGCCCTCCACATCGTCCAGCTCTGGTTGCATAGCGACAGTGGGCGGGGGGCTGGGGGTTGCCGGGTGGGAGGCGGTCTCTCTTCTCCAGCGCTGCCTCTGTGATAAGCCCCAGCTCTGATACTTCTGCCTCTTCTTCTTGTACTTTGACAGTAGTTTGGGGGTGGAGGAAGATCTGAACTTTGCTTTGGGGTTCACAGAGATGCAGAGTTTGATTGGAGGAGTGAGGTCGATGGTGCAATTCTTCTTCTTGGGCGTTTCCGTTGGACTCTGGACCACAAGTAGGTTTCCCAGTGCGTGTTTCCCCCGACAGTGGGTGTAGGCGTCAGCATCAGCGGAATATGGAGACATTATAGGCTTCAAGATGATCTGCTTCTGTTGTTTGGGCTCCTCTTCTGAACTGCAAAATAAATATTCAGAAAGAACTTTTAAGGGTGTACTATGTAACTTTTCTTGAGAAAGCTCTGCATGAAGATGCTATTGCTTTGCCTGGAAAGTTCAACAATATGACATTAATCTATCTATGCGTTTTTTTCAGAACAATAAAACATATGCAAATGAATACATACGTAGAAGACAGAAAAGTTTAAAGCCATATTGCATAATATTTCAGGCAGAGCAATAAAATCTCCATGGAAACAAGCAGTTGGTGAACACCCAACCAGAAAAATTACACAGTGCAGTGTAATATGAGAGAATCTACAGTGTGTCTACATGTATTTAACATGCGTTTTATGTCTTTACATACATTACTGAAGCTCTGCAGTTCTTACTTAAGTGACTGTGTCACGCTTTGATGTGAGGAAATCAGTGAATCATTTGTTCAATTCAATTCAATTTAAAAACAGCCCATTGCACCTTCAACCCCAGGGGGAAACCCCCTGGGTTGTCAGTGAAGGGTTCCATGCACCATAGAGGATGTGGTCATCTCCACGGAAATGAGTCAGATCAGGAGGTACTGCCTGACCCAGTTTTACACAGGTGTTATGGAGAGATCGGACACCTGTCCCTAACACCAGCGCAAAGGACTGTGCAGGACTGCAAGACTGTCACAGAGAATGAGGAGCTCATTCTCCAACAGCCTCCTACAGCTCCAATCAAACAGGGAGAGATACAGTACGACATTCATACCATACTCCCTACAACTGTACAACAACTCACACTTATGTAACAGATAATACTCCCTACAACTGTACAACAACTCACACTTATGTAACAGATAATACTCCCTACAACTGTACAACAACTCACACTTATGTAACAGATAATACTCCCTACAACTGTACAACAACTCACACTTATGTAACAGATAATACTCCCTACAACTGTACAACAACTCACACTTATGTAACAGATAATACTCCCTACAACTATACAACAACTCACGCTTATGTAACAGATAATACTCCCTACAACTATACAACAACTCACACTTATGTAACAGATAATACTCCCTACAACTGTACAACAACTCACACTTATGTAACAGATAATACTCCCTACAACTGTACAACAACTCACACTTATGTAACAGATAATACTCCCTACAACTGTACAACAACTCACGCTTATGTAACAGATAATACTCCCTACAACTGTACAACAACTCACGCTTATGTAACAGATAATACTCCCTACAACTGTACAACAACTCACACTTATGTAACAGATAATACTCCCTACAACTGTACAACAACTCACACTTATGTAACAGATAATACTCCCTACAACTATACAACAACTCACACTTATGTAACAGATAATACTCCCTACAACTATACAACAACTCACGCTTATGTAACAGATAATACTCCCTACAACTGTACAACAACTCACACTTATGTAACAGATAATACTCCCTACAACTGTACAACAACTCACACTTATGTAACAGATAATACTCCCTACAACTGTACAACAACTCACACTTATGTAACAGATAATACTCCCTACAACTATACAACAACTCACACTTATGTAACAGATAATACTCCCTACAACTATACAACAACTCACACTTATGTAACAGATAATACTCCCTACAACTATACAACAACTCACGCTTATGTAACAGATAATACTCCCTACAACTGTACAACAACTCACACTTATGTAACAGATAATACTCCCTACAACTATACAACAACTCACACTTATGTAACAGATAATACTCCCTACAACTATACAACAACTCACACTTATGTAACAGATAATACTCCCTACAACTGTACAACAACTCACACTTATGTAACAGATAATACTCCCTACAACTGTACAACAACTCACACTTATGTAACAGATAATACTCCCTACAACTATACAACAACTCACACTTATGTAACAGATAATACTCCCTACAACTATACAACAACTCACGCTTATGTAACAGATAATACTCCCTACAACTACAACTACTTATGTAACAGATAATACTCCCTACAACTACAACAACTCACTTATGTAACAGATAATACTCCCTACAACTGTACAACAACTCACGCTTATGTAACAGATAATACTCCCTACAACTGTACAACAACTCACGCTTATGTAACAGATAATACTCCCTACAACTATACAACAACTCACGCTTATGTAACAGATAATACTCCCTACAACTGTACAACAACTCACGCTTATGTAACAGATAATACTCCCTACAACTGTACAACAACTCACGCTTATGTAACAGATAATACTCCCTACAACTATACAACAACTCACGCTTATGTAACAGATAATACTCCCTACAACTATACAACAACTCACGCTTATGTAACAGATAATACTCCCTACAACTATACAACAACTCACGCTTATGTAACAGATAATACTCCCTACAACTATACAACAACTCACGCTTATGTAACAGATAATACTCCCTACAACTATACAACAACTCACGCTTATGTAACAGATAATACTCCCTACAACTGTACAACAACTCACACTTATGTAACAGATAATACTCCCTACAACTATAAAACAACTCACACTTATGTAACAGATAATACTCCCTACAACTGTACAACAATTCACGCTTATGTAACAGATAATACTCCCTACAACTGTACAACAATTCACGCTTATGTAACAGATAATACTCCCTACAACTGTACAACAACTCACCCTTTTGTAAAGGATAACCCTATGTCCTGTCAATCATCATATCACTGTTGCACTGTCTATGACCTCTTGTATAAAGCTGTGATTTTATATTTTATTACTCATCTTTCACTTTTATTTTGACTTTGTCATTTACATAATTATGTCTTATTTGACACTTGTCTCTTGCCATGTTTTTGCTACGTATTTAGAATTTATTATTACCACTTATATTTTTCTCTTTGTTATTATATTATATTGTGATGTGTGACCTACTGTGTCCAAATAGTTTCCCTTGTGGATCAATAAAGTTTGTCAAAGTCTAGAAACAGGCGACTAAGCCTTTGAAAAAAGTGATCCGAGGCCAACAAAAAGAAACAACTAGTTAAACATCATCTCAACTGAACAAGTGCTAACGAGATGCGCATATTTTTCTTAGCACATCTTTAACTGCTTTAAAGCTACAGTCTATGGCTCTGCTGTATCCTCATATATCACCAGCAGATGTGTCTATGTTACTGCTGTCTGGTACTGTACCAGCTTTGGCCTGACAGAAGAAGACAAAAGAGCCCAGGTGAGTCTGAACAAAGGCCAGGTGAGGGGAGGGGGAAGTTCACATCTACCAACTACCGGTGAAAAAAAAAACACATAAAAGAGATGATTGTAATGGTGAAGTGGCTCTCAGGAGCAAAGAAACCCAAATTTGCTCTAAAGAAGTGGACTTGGCAACTATAATACTCCACTGCAGCCTAAGAGTCTGTCCTATTTACACTTTCATTCAGTCAGAGGGCCGTTCAGCAGTTTTCACACTTTATGCGTGTTTGGGTGGGGGTGGAGCAGACAACAGAGAGGCTGCCACTGTCACTCCAAAACTTCACTGGTAGAAAGAGAACTACACTGTGCCAAGTCTGTCAGCGATATTAGTGAGAAACAGAAGTGTGTGATTCTAGTGTTATCACAATGTAACAATTTCAGGTTTGATTTCAAGTACTGAGGAACTGGCTTGAGTTAAAGGTGCAATACATAATTTTTCTGGTGGAGGGTCTGACATTTCCTTGTGCCTTTGCCTGGAATGTTCCACAATGTATCCATTTCCATGAAGATAAGCACGTCAAGGTCAGATCTATGGACAGTTGACCCCACTCCTCTGTTAGATAATTGAATAACTGCAACAATGCTATACTATGAAACATTCCAGGCAAAGCAATGACATCTTAACTGTGACAACCAGACGGCGAATCCCTCACTAGCTGTTAGAAGTTACATGTAATATTTGTAATGGTCTTATATTAAATTAGTAAAGACCATTCTCAAACTACCGTATTTTCCGGGCTATTGGGTGTGCTCAAAAGCCTCCGACCCCATCAAAAAACAACTGTGCGCCCGGCAATCCAGAGCGCCCTATACACGAATCCACTCGGGTGTCCCAGCACGACTTCAGTAAACTACAAAGCCGCACCACCCGCAGCGCACGCAAACACACACGGAGCAGATGAAAAACACCACATTCATCACTCCACGCCGACGAGGAACAGAACAGAGGAACGAGCCGGAAAAGCGAGTGCAATTTGTCACTTCTAGACACAACTGCACAACTGAGTCACTGCGAACACGACGACAATCCGTTGGTCCCAGACAGCACCCTCCCTACACGCCACAACTGAACAAAGCCCAGAGTCACCGTGAACGCGCCAAACAAAGTCCAACTGACCCATCCAACTGTTGGGTTTCGTTTAAAGTCCGGTGCGGTTTATTTGTGAAAAAAGTAAAAAAATAGACCATTTAATGACAGTGCGCCTAATAGTGCAGAAAATACGGTATTCAGGAGCGGTCCAACTGTATCTTATTTATTGATGTTAGTTTTAGTATCAATACCAGCTTTAAATTTGTTACTACTAATTACTTTTTCTATACTAATTTAGCAAGCATTATTAATCGGGGTAGTCGGTATACATGTTCTGACAATCTGAACAGATCATGTGCAAGACAATATAAAAATGGATGTCTTGAAACGAAATATTTGCAATTTATTTTGGTTCTGCAATTATGTAGTTAATTATGTAGTAAAAGGCCCTGTTGGGGTTGGATACTTTACAACTACACTTAGGGCTGGGTATCATTAAGAAGTCACCGATACGATACATACATTGATACTAGGGATGTGCAAAAATATTGAAATATCAATAAATTATATTGTTTAATGTGATGATACAGTATTGAAATCGTGGGCTGCTGTATCGATATATTGCCAAGAGTATTTTTTGGTCTATTTTACTAAATTATTTTGTTACAGCGCTACAGTTTTGTTCGCTTGTTTAGAGGAAGGAAACTCATGTGACAGATTTGACATTTTCACAGTTTTGATGATTAAACTATTTGTGTTTCATTTGCACGAGAAGTGGTTTAACAATCACTTTTAGTATCACAGCCATGATTTAGCCATTATTTTTACTGAACTGTATTGAATCGATTTGAAATATATCGTATTGAATCATATTGAATCAAAAGTGCACTGTATCGAGATATGTATCGTATCGTGGCCTATGTATCGAGATATGTATCGTATCGTGGCCTATGTATAGAGATATGTATCGTATCGCCAACTTCTAAAATTATACCCAGCCCTACTCGATACATAGGCCACGATACGATACATATCTCGATACAGTGCACTTCTGATTCAATACAATATATTTCAAAATCGATTCGATACAGTTCAATAAAAAATAAAGGCTAAATTGTGTCTGTGATACTAAAAGTCTTTGTTAAACCACTTCTTGTGCAAAATGAATATGAAACACAAACAGTTAAATCATCAAAACAGTGAAAATGTAAAATTTTCTTCCTCCAAACAAGCAACAAAAATGTAGCTGTAACAAAATAAATAAGTAAAATATACCAAAAAACACTCTTGGGGATATATCGATACAACAGCCCACAATATTGATACTGTATCATCACGTTAAATGATACGATATACCGATAATTCAATATTTCTGCATAGCCCTAACTACACTGTCCCGTTTGTTTCTGTTCCATGTATCTGCATGATAATCAGGAGGTGCGAGTTAGCATGCCAGATGTTATTAGCTAAAACTCCGCACCGGTCTCTGAAAATTGTGAAAAACACTTAGGAAACTCGTTGCAGTGAATAATTAGGACGCTCTGACTGTATTAAGTAAGTGAGGAACAACTTTGGACCACAGCAAATTGCTCAAAATGAACTCGTTCTGTTTTTCACACGTTTAAGACAATAAAAATCAGGTACAGCGCCTTTAATGTCATAATAATTTAAAGGTTCACTATGTAGCTTTTTGGTTGGGGGTCCGTCACCTGCTTGTTTCTATGGAGATGTCATTTCTTTGCCTGTAATGTTCCACAGTATGACATTAAACAGCTCTACTTTACATTTATTCAATTACAGGTGGATTTATCGCTCAAAAATAGCTAGAAAAACAGACATTCTGACTGTGAGCGGGGTCGCCTCTCCACAGATCTGACCTGTAACTTGGCCTGGTTTGGTCTCCATGAAGATAGAAATGTTTAATATATTCCAGACAAAGCAATAACAACTCCATGGAGAAAAGTATTTGATGGGCCCTCCAAATGAAGTTACACAATGCACCTTTAAAAACATACACTACTTTTTGTCAGTCCTCATCAGCCCATCTTCTAAACTGAAAACATTTCAAACTCACCTCTGCTCTTCCTTCTGCGCCGTGGCACTGGCCCCTGCCGTCTGCACGTTCACAAACTCCACTCTTTTGGGAATCCTCTGCAGTCTGGGGTTGTGTCCATCTTCTCTGAACCCCTTCGCGAACGGATTATAGCGAATTTTCATCTGCGTAATTTTGAAATTCTGATACGTGGTCACTGCCATAAACTCAGTCTGCGGAAAAGTAAAAGTCATACTCTCTGGGCCCATCACGACGGGCTGATCCGCGGAGAGAAGGACGCTATCCGGAACAGGAATTATGTGAAGTCTGGGAATGTACCGGTGCAAAGAGTGTAAAATTATATTGCCTTCTTGGTCATTTCCATTATTCGTCACTTTTAGTTTTTTAAATGATACTAGGACTCTCATCCACTCCGAGCCTGTACATGGGGAGTAGTGATGCGCAAATGCACGGATTAACCCCTGCGTCAAGTGATCCGCTGGTCCATAAACGTCCCATGTTGTCCCACTCCACTTGTACTTGTACGCATCGGCCGGAGGGACCGATAAAACCATGCTGTACTTGCGCTCGGGGTCCAAACCTGAAATGCGGTAACGGCAGTAAGGGAACATATGCCTTCCCTGTTTAGTCAAAATCATTTCTGTACCGCATCTGTGAAAATCATTCCAAATCCTACTACTTTCCAAAGTGACGGTGACGCCTTTAAACGTCAGCTTATTCGGATAGTCCGTTTCTCCGGGATCTCCGAAAGGCGTAGAAGGGAGCAAATTCTCGTAAGGGTTCGCTTCTTCTTCCATTTTGGTAAAACTTGATTCAGTGCACGGTAGCGAGTCTGCGGCAGAAGCGATGTGTGAAGTCGAGGGACTGGTTTCCACGCTTTCGTCGGAAGAAGCAGGTGATGTTGATGGAGCTTTGGCCGGGCTTGCTTCCGCCGGGGAGGAGAGGGATTTGCAGTCAGTAGTCGCCATCGAAGCAGCTCTGTTCTCGATAACAGTGTCAGGAGCAGTAGGCACGGATAACGCACTTGAAGATAATTGAAGTTTGGGGGAGAAATTGCAGGACAAGTTCACGTCTGGGTCCTCGCTGGAGTCTGTTGTAGGCATCTCTGCTGTTTACGCTTCATGTAAGACCTAGAAATAACAAGGTAATAAGATGGTCAGTTACAAAGAGCAATTTAAAAAGGTACTAATATTACAAAACATCTAATTTAGTGAGCTTTAAGACACGTTCCTCATCATAAAACAGACCTGGAGTTGTGTTTTGTTTCATTCACATGTCTGAGTAATCCTTTTATTGGTCTATCTACATCTCCAAAGCTCAAAATGCTCTGTTCCAGCTTCAAGTTAACAGCTCCTTTTACCTTTTGCTTAGTAGAAATTGGCAATTCCAGGGCTGAAATTATCCAAATGATTCTCGTGAAGATGTATGGAGTTTAAAAACACAGTGAGGCATTTCCTGTATCTCCAAATGACATCACAAGGTGGAGCAGAGTGTTTTGAGTTGGAAAGAAAAAAAATCTAAATCTGCAGGGTTTGCGTGTCAAACGAAACAAAACACAACTCCAGGTCTGTTTGTGATGAGGAAACAACATTGTAACATTATATATACATTATAATATGGGCCCTTTAATGATAACAGCTTTTCTGGTGGAGGCTCAGAACATTATTGTCTTGTTTTCACTTCGGATGTTCCACAATATGGAAACATAGTTATCATCAAGATGGAGATAACAAGCAGGTGACACTCTGAGACTAAGCATTACTTTAAATTTAAGAAAAACTGTAACTGAATAAATGCAGCAGACAGGCAGGTTTAATGTCATATTGTGGAACATTGTAGCTAAAGTAACAGAGAGAAAAGGAGGTACCAAACCCTACACCTGAAAAGTTACATTGTGAAACTTCAATAACTGGTCACTGGCCAATGCCTTTAAGGAACACTTTGTAGGAGAAATCATTCAAATATTTAGTAGATAATGGCTGATGATAACAAAATCTAACGGAGTACAGGCAGCTTAAAACAGTCTCTCCTGAACACCGCGTTATCATACTTGCTGTATTGATTAACACAATGGTAATGTTTAATATGTTAAAATGTTTTTTTTTAAAAGCGTGGAAATTTTTTTTGTTATTAAATGTACTTTTATTCTCCGTGAGGTTAAAAGGACTTCGCCTTCGTCACGAATCAGAGTGAGAACACTTTCACAGCAGGAGAGGAGCGGGCAGAGCGTGAGGCCTCGGACTTTACATTGTGCTGTTGTCGATGTTGACAATATTTACGTGTCTACGTGTGTTTACAAACAGATCTGAATATTTGTGCCACAGAGACGCACAAATACGGAGTGTGGAAGCAGAAAGGGTGTACTTCTCCGCGCGCTCTCAGATGACATGGACCTGTGTCCTGGGTTCGTGCATTGTCCTGCCTGTCCTGCCCTGTCCACGCTCACACCACAGGAGCCAGCCGCTTATTATTGATTCATAAAAGCTGTTACCAAAGCACAGCTACCCAGCCTTATCCAGCAAGAGTAAAACTGCTCTACACGTGAGCTTACGGTCACCAAAATATGCCACGAACATCAGCATGTTGGACAGTGATAAAAGCTGGAAGTGCACTCACACGATGAGATGAAGGCCTCCCTCTCTTACCAAGTTGGAAAAGTTGCAGGTTTCTCGGGCGCCTCTCGTCTGGACTCAGCTGGAGCCTCGTGGACCGCCTGCTCCGGGAAGTGTTTATGTCCAGAGAAAAAATCCAAACTGTTGCACGCGTGTGCCGCCGCCGAGGCGTCTCGACCGAAGCCTCGAACGTAAACACAAACTGGCAAATGGAGGCCGCGAGCCACGCCACGGATCGTGCACGCCACGAGCTAAAGCGCATGCACATTCACCCCCTTCAATGGCGCGTGATTCCCGGGCCGTTCGCGCGAGGGAAGCGGGAGTCCACCATCCCGAGGGGTCTCGAGCTCTCGCAGCAACTTGGCAAGTTTATGCACAAATGTTCCGGTTGTTCGCGTATCGATCAGAAGCAGGGGCTCTTCCTGCTTCAGTGGCTGTAGTTGTTCTTCCACCTTTTCGGTCACAGATCCATTCTCACCCCGTGAGGCACTCTGCTCCACACACACATCCGCGCACGGGCTCTGACGTCACGCGTTTATGGCGGTATCGCTCCAGCAGCCAATGCGCACGCTCCATGCGCAGGGGATGATCGCCCATTTGTTTTTGCATGAGTTCAAAAACATTTTTTAATAAACAGAAAGTTATTTTGTATCAAAGAACTGGGAGTGAAAACAGAGTGACATATAATTATGGAAGCAGACAGACACAAATGAAACAAAGAGAGGATGATGAGGTTCACCACTGGATAAAGACACGCAGAAAAAACATGAGTGCTCTCTGATAATGGCGGCCAGTCTGCGGGTTGACCGTTTGTGTCGAAATAAATAAACTAAAAATACAAATGACCTGGTTTAATGTAGAGTGCAGGCTACATACCAAAAACTACGATCCTTGGTGCCAACATGAAGTTCGTTACGTTGCGCACGGACTTTAAACGTTACAGTTACCTCTTGGCGCAGTTTGGGGGAAAGGATCGCAGTTTTCCTCGCCCACTTGACTTCCGTTTTCCAGTTGGCTACAAATGGAAAGTGGCCTATGGAATGAAACATTAAACCAAGAAGCAGCTGTTGTGTGGATAATTTCATGATCACAAAAAATAACCAAAATACAAACAAATAATGCCTATTCACTCGGTCTAGATTCTCCATCGTTACCCACGGAGTGCATAACTCGCTCACTGTCACTGCTATAACATCTTTAAAACCTAAACATAAATGATCTAAATGCGTAAAAATATGTATGCTTAGGCTATACACGTGCGCGCAGAATGACAAGACTAAACTGTACTGTTATCGAGTTGCTTTTGGCGAAATCATTATCTGCTCGTGATAAAGTTTGTAGCCTTGTTGTGTGTTAGGCTACATGTAGTTATTTACATAGATAGGCTCCATTATTTGAAGTAGGCCTACCCAAAGACATGTAAGTTATAGAGTATTCTTTTAAATTACAACTGTATAATTACAACAATAAGACAGTTATTATGAATGATAAAAACAGACTTGTGACTATGCATCTTTATATATTTATTTAATTTTTAAAAAGTATAAGACAGCACATTAATTACAGTGAAAATTGTATACACCAAGTCTTAAAGGTCCTGTATTATGCAACATGTGCTCTTGTGAGGTTTAAGCCATGTTACAATGCTGTTACCTCACCAAAAACACACCTGGAGTTGTTTTGTTTCATTCACACGTTTGAGTAACCCAGTATTATTAGTATGTTTACATCTCCAAAGCTCAAAATGCTCAGTTCCACCTTGTGATGTCATGAAGCTGTACTTTAAAAAGCTTCAAGTTACCAGCTACCGTTTACCTTTTGTTTAGTAGATTGGCAGTTCCAGGGCTGAAATCATCTAAATGATTCTAGTGAAGGTGTCTGAAGTTTAAAAACACAGTTGCCCCGTTTACATGAGAGCTTCAATTCTGATTTAAAATAATTAAATTCGGAATAAAAATGAATTCCGCATTAAAAAGCCCATGTAAACACTTAATTCCTAATGATTATTCGGAATTAAACTTATTCTCAATTAAACTTAAATCTGAATTAAGTGAGTGGTTTATTACAATTTTAAAGCAGAATCAATTTATTCTGCGATCATGTAAATGTTTATACCACTTCAAAGACAATTCCGGTTGTTCAGCAGAGGCACATTGGATCATACTTCTGACGCGAGGACGCACTGCAATATGGTGGAAAAAGTTTGTATCATGTTTGTGTCCCCATGTTTAGCAACAACCTTTTCCTCACGTGTTCGTTAGTTTCTGCTTAGATAAAAAAAAATACCCTTGAAACAGAAATAAAGTCCAGATAATTTACTTATTCCAATATTAGAAAGGCATACTTGTACAAGGAGTCTGTGCCGACATTCCCATGCAGAGACTCAATGTTTTACAACTATAGAATGACTTTTATACGCAAACTATAGTGGGAGGTCACCATGGATTAGACTTAGCGCCTCTTCATTGGTGCACAGATCAGCCAGACCTCTTGGCACGTTGCACAGTCCAATCACACTCCATCCCGAATGTTATTTGGCTATCAAGTCATGACATCATCCCTATCAGTAGGTCTTATCTTATTTAGTTAGTTTGCTATTAGGTAGATTGGAATACCCTGCATTTGTCTTGGCATTTATCTATGAGTCTCACAGCCGTGATCAGAGCCCTTATCTTCAAATGACCTCGGTACAATAATAAACTATAGAAGTGATTATACAAAATAGCTAAGCCTAGTTATTTATCCTAACACCTGTACCGCTGTTTATCGGTGCCTATGTAATTGCAAAAGTTACCAAGGCTCCCAGGTAACAGCACGAGACATAAATACATTCGTGTTTCTGTCCAATCAGAACCCTTCTCCACCTCCAGATGTTGAGCAGAATTAAATAAAGACGATTTAACGTGTTTTCCATGTAAACCTCAATTCAGAATTATTATTTCCAATGTAAAGTCGAAGGAGAATAACTTAATTCCGAATTAATTCATTTGAAATATTACATCGGAATTAAAAAATATCGTAACCTGTAAATGTGGCAGGTCGAACACTTATTACCACATGACTTCATAAGGTGGAACAGTGTTTTCTGTTTGAGAAAAGAACTCATAACCCTAAATAAGCCTAAATATTGTGTTAAACATGTTTGAGTGAAACAAAACACAACTCCAGGTCTGTTTGTGATGAAGAAACAACATTTTAACACAGATTAGAAAACAACATAATATGGGCTTTTTAAAGACATGTGTGACGTAAAAGCAGCAACTAAATAAATTACAAGCAGGTGACAAACTCTCCACCGGAAAAGTTACATAGTGCTCCATTAACAATGTATTAGGAATGTGCAAAAATGTGCCAGAGAAATGCGTCAGTCGAGGTTCAAGTTTATAAAACGAAATGTGAATGGACCATAAATTTAAAAGGCCAGAAACATCACTTAGTTTTTGTTTGTTTTGTTTTTTTTAAGCATATTTTTCATAATTATAGACAATACACTCATTAGTATAATTTTTGCATATCTCCAAAACAACAATTGCCATATTTTTTCTTTCTTTTCATTATGTTTTGAACGTCTTTCCCAGTATGGTGACTATATGTTGTGCTGTTTTTAAATGTCTTATCAGTTTTTCTATTTATATCCCAATTCAGAATGGAGCCTTAATCTTTACTGTTTTATTGATTTGTTTTTATTCCATTGTTTTTATTATGTTTTTATTGTGTTCAGTTGTAGATTTTTTATTTCTTTGTGCAGCACTTTGTAAACAGACTTTGTTTATAAAGCGTGCCATAGGAAAAAAGTGGATTGCAATGACTAAACTGAATAAATTTTTGTTGGTTTTATTGTTTTTATTGGGGGTATAAAGATTTTTATGGATCACAGCAGGAAGTAGAAGGCTTGGAGCGCACCATCATTTCTGGTCAAAGGGCATTAAAAACAGATTGTGATTGACAATTTCCAAAGTTACCAAAACAATGTCACAATCACAATCTGTTTTTAATACCATTTAGCCACATCCAGCGGAGCACTGTAGAGCACTGCCTTTACCCACAGAGCCAGTCAGTTCTTCAGTTTTGTTTTGTTTTGTTTTGTTTTGTTTTTTAATGGAAAATGCTTGGATAAAATGTTCCTGAGATATCGTCACATTCTCGCCAAACACACGTGGATCTATTTTTGTTTCATTCATTTTTCTGATTTGTATTTCTCAACAAATACTAGAAGAAAACAGTTTTTTCTTATCAAGATGCAATGGAAAATAATAAATGTTGCTTAGTTTCTTCCTTCCCCTTTGTGTGAATGACTCAAACACAAAATTTAAAGCTACAGTATGTCACTTTTTGAAGATGGTAGGTCACCTGCATGAGAAAAAGAAAGTCAAAACCTTTGGAACATTCATTCTCCATGAAAATTTGATATTATAATTTGTGGCCATACCAGTATGTGAGAGCCTGATGCTGTCAGATCTCAGAAGCTCAGAGGTCGGGCCTGGTCAGTACTTGGATGGGAAACCACTGGGAAAATCAGGTGCCACAGGGGGTTGTTGTTGTGTCCTTAGGCAAGGCACTTCACCCACATTGCCTAGTGTGATGATGGTGGTGGTTGGAGGGGCTGATGTTGCAGATTGGCAGCTGCACTTTGGTCAGTCTGTCCCAGTGCAGCTGTGGCTACAATAGTTTCTTATCACCACAGAGTGTTGAGTGAATGAATAATGTTTGTAAAGCATCTTTGTGTGTCCAGAAAAGCTCTGTAGAAAACTGATACATTATTATTATTATTATAAGGTAGAATATAATAGTCAAAGTCACTATTAGGTGCTCTGGATTATAAGGCGCACTGTCATTGAATGGTCTATTTTTGAACTTTTTTCACAAATAAAACGCACTGGACTTTAAACAAAACACAACAGTTGGATGGGTCAGTGGGACTTTGTTCACAGTGACTCTGGGCTTTGTTCAGTTGTGGCGTGTAGGGAGGGTGCTGTCTGGGACCAACGGATTGTTGGCGTGTTCACAGTGACTCAGTTGTTCAGTTGTGTCTAGAAGTGGCACATTGCACTCGCTTTTTCGGTTCGTTCCTTCGTTCCTCGTCGGCGTGGAGTGATGAGTGTGGCTGCAGTTGTTTTTCGCTGTGTGGTCGCTGTCTGCTCCGTGTGTGTTTGCGTGTGCTGTGGGTGGTGCGGCTTTGTAGTTTACTGAAGTCGTGCTGGGACGTCGTTTTTTGATGGGGTTGGCGGCTTAAGAGTGTGCCCAATAGCCCGGAAAATACGGTAGAGTCAAGTTTGTGGGGATACAAGCCCTTTCACAAAATTGATACATGTTTTTCAATGCAATAAAAAATGTGTAATGGAAAAAAACATGCTTTTATTAGTTACATACTGTAGACTAACTCTAACACTTAAAACGTAAAAATGTAATGCAAGGCTTCACATGTGTAACTTTTCTGTTGGAGTGTCCGTCAAATACTTTTCTCCATGGAGACTTTATTGCTTTGTCTGGAATGTTTCACAGTATAATAAATCTTTTTTTATAAAGAACTTGAAATGAGTCTTAAAAGGTGTTTTAAAAGATGATAGTGATGGTGCGAGCCTTTTCTCCTCAGGCAGGTCGTTCCAAAGCCGAGACGCCTGGACTGAAAAGGCTCCATCACCTTCATCAGGAGCCTGGACTTTGGAACAGCTACAGGGAAATGCGGGAGGCTCGTACGGGGTTAAAAGTTCTGAAATGTAACTTGGTGCAAGACCGAAACGAGATTTAAAATCGATTCTAAAACACACAGGCAGCCAGAGAAGGGAAGTAAAACAGGGTCATGTGCTGATGTCTGTTAAACCAGCTGCTGCGTTCTGAACCAGTTGGGGGTGAGATATGGATTTGGAGTAGAGGCTGGAGAGGAGGGGGGTGCAACAGTCTAGACGGGAGAAGATGACTTTTTCAAGATCAGGACGGGAGAGGATGTGTTTGATTTTAGTGATCGTGCAGAGGTGGAGAAAACAGGATTGTGTGTGTGTCTTTTTTTCATGTGAAGGTGGAAGTTGAAGTGAGAGTCAAAAATGACGCTGAGGTTTCGGGCAGCAGGGGTGATACTGGAGGCGAGAGGATCGAGACTATCGCTGATATGGAAGGTGAATTGGGGGGGATTGATTCAAATAATTTCAGATTTAGAGCTGTTGAGTTGTAGGAACGTCTGTGCCATCCAACTGTTCACGTCATTAAAGAAGTTTAACACAGCAGCCAGGCTCCCGGGGTCGTTTAGTCTCAGCGGGAGGCAGATTTGTGTGTCGGCAGTATGACCTTTTTATCTTCATGGAGACCAAACCAGACCAAGTTACAGGTCAGATCTGTGGAGAGGCGACCCCACTCACAGTCAGAATGTCTGTTTTTCTAGGTATTTTTGAGCTCTAAAACCACCTGTAATTAAATAAATGTAAGGTAGAGCTGTTTTTTTTTAGTTTTTTTTTTTTTTTTTAGTAGTAGTAGTTTATTCAGTCATTTTACAGCACTGCAAAAACAAAACATAACAAAACAAAACAAAACATAGACTACAATCCAATCATGACCAAAATGGTTTAGGCTGAAGTAAAAGTGCTTATAACACCAAACCCTATTAAACAATGACAGAATTCCAAGAAAAAAAAAAAAAAACCCAGCAAGTTTACATTTACAGTTTCACTTACAACTAACTGTATATAAGAGACACAATATAAATTAAAACTAATACAATTTAACACATTATTCATTAATTCCAGAGATCTACATCTTTTAAAACATAACACTTTATACCCTTTTTTAAGACTTTATACCCTTTAGAAGACTTTTTAAAATCATCACAGGTTGTTCCACACACTAATCCCTGTAACACCCTGTAACAGAAATACAATCACTTTTTTCTTAGTTCTTATCATCATTTTTTTAAAGATACCTGTTCCTCTAAGTTTATACTGACTCTCTCTCTCTGCTCAAATGACTCCTGTAAACAAGGAGGAAGCACATGATTCTAGGCCTTGTACATCACTGCGGCTGTCCTCAGGTCAACAAGATCAAAAAATGTAAGAATTTTTAGCTTAACAAAAAGAGGATTTGTTGGTGCATAGTCATTTGCATGATTAATAATCCTAATTAGCTTCTTTTGGAGTAGAAACATTTTATTAATATTTGATTTCGCCCTACTTTCACTGTCCAAAGGGGTCCCCCAAGGTAGTATTCTAGAACCTATTTTATTTAGTTTATACATCAATGATCTTCCTAAAATGTGTCCAGATATCAATGTCCAGCTGTATCCTGATGATGCTATGATTTTTACACATGCCAAAACTGAACAAGAAGCTTTAGAAAAGTTAACATCAGCCATGGCTCCAAAAGTGGGTCAAGAACTCATGCTTGCAACTCAACATAAAGAAAACTGTCTGCATGATGTTCAGCAAAAAAAAAAAAACAACTGAGCTCCAGAGGTCCAGTGTCTTTCTGGACGGGGTGGAACTCAGCCTCGTCAAAGTGTTTAAATATCTGGGACTGACGTTGGACCCGACATTGACATTTAAGAAACACATTAAGCGCCTCACAAAAACTGTAAATTTTAACTTAGTGAATTTTAGACAGGTAAAATCCTTCATGACTCAATATGCGGCACGAATGTTTTTACACTCCATGATTGTGTCTCATATAGAGTATTGCATAACCACATGGTCACTCGCTGCTGGCACAACACTCAAACCCATCGAATCACTGTTTAAAAAAGCCATAAAAATATTGGACAAGAATCCATTCTCATTTCACCACTGCACTATTTTAGATAAGTACAATCTGCTTAATTTTAATAATTTTGATGATTTTAAATATGGATGTTTTATCTATAAAGTTTTGCATGGATTTGCCCCTCCTCCATTACTGGATTTTAATAAAGTAAAGACTGTGAGTGGGATGGGAACTCAGGCCACAGCCCGGGGGAACTGTGAGCTCCACACAGACGCTCCACATTCAGACAATGTGTGTCTCAGTCAGAGGCACAACATTTTGGAACAGTTTACCACTATCAATAAAAGAAACTCCAACACTGGCAACTTTCAAGTCCTACTTGAAACAGTGGCTAAAGGAAAACCAGACTTGTGGACACTTTTAGTTTAGAACTGTCACTTGTTTTTGTTTTATCTGTTAAATTTGTGGTGCCACCTGCATAGGGACTACAGATGGAAGTGAGTATTCTTGCTATAATGTGGCATATTTACACTGCAGTGTTGTAGATGTTCATTAATATGCACTGTATTAAATAAATAAATACATACATGTATAAGTATTATCCCATATAAAGTTTAAAGTCATACTGTGGAACATTCCAGAGCATATCCATAGACATCTCCATAGAAACAAGCAGGTGATGGACTCCTAACCAAAAAGTTACACAGTGCACCTTTAAGACTTACAACTTAAGATGTAAAATCAGGCTTTACTTTAGTTTAAATACAATGAACATGTAATAAAATCACAATTCCAAAAGTCTTATCTCCTTGTACAGTGTTTGATGGAGAACAGGTCGTTTCCGATCCCAAACACATAGGGACTGAGGGAGGTGTAGAACGTCGAGATAAAAAACTTCATCTCATTCCAAAACTCAAAATTGCTGGTTTGAAAATTAAGCTGGACAAATAGATAGAGGCTCCAATCCACCTGGAACAAGGCCATAGCTGCTAAAACTGCCACTGTGCTTCTCTGGAGAATGGAGTTTTTGGTCTTTTTTACGATATGCCTCGCTCCACTCACGTGTATTTCTGGTTCGACGTGTTTCCTTTGGCGTAGCAGTAAGGAAATGATAAGACAGCTCGTTACCGTGACGACAACCATGGGCAGAACATTGCAAATCGCGATGAAGATAAATTTGTAAATGTAGTTTTGCGTTGGGCAGTGGAGTTCGTCGCATTGGAAAAAATCTGGAGGACAGTTCGTGGTTGAATTTTGAGTTCGAACGTTTATCACAAAAACCGGCGCGCTCAAAGACAACGATGACATAAAACAAAAAATACTCACGGAAATCGCAATCATTATGTTGTCAAGGTGAGCATGGTGGATCACTCTTTCTTTTGCGTCTTTGACTTTTTCGTAGCGGAAAATACAAATGACAATGGTGAACAAGATGCTGCTTAATTCTCCGGCTATCGTTAAGAATTGTAGTAACTGGCAAGACCAACTTCCAGATCTCGTAGACGGATCTTCGAGAATCAAAATATCGTAAATGTTGACGATCAGAATCTCCTCCAAGTTGGACACAGCCAATCCCAAAAGAAACACCTCGAAAGATTTAACTGCGGAAATTTTGGCGTGACTGTGACTTATGGAGAAAATGAGGATCAGGTTTCCGACGCAGCCGATGCACGAGATGAAGATACGGATCCCCAGCAGGTTTGTAAAATCCGCCATCGTGGAAACAAAGATCCAAATAAATCTTCGTCGTTCAGATGAGGCTGAGCTGTGAGTAGTTTCGGTGGTGCTCAAGTCTTTTATGGAGTTATAAAAAGGTGAGAGGAAATGAGCGTTTTGATTGGCTCGGGCTATTACATGGAAAGTGCGGAGAAGAGAGGGTACTGGAAAATGTTTGGAGGAGATCATTAAATTTGGCATCTAGAGACCACGAGTGCATTGCTGCTTGAATTTTAAAGGGCTCATATTACGCTATTTTCTGATCTATGTTATAAGGTTGTTTCCTCGTCACAAACAGACCTGGAGTTGTGTTTGGTTTCATTCACATGTTTAACACTGTTTTTATACTCCATCACATCTTCACTAGAATCATTAATCATTTCAGCTCTGGAATTGCCAATCTCTACTGAACAAAAAGTAAAAAGTAGCGGTAAACTTGAAAACTACCTCTTCATGACATCATGAGGTGGAACAGCATTTGGAGCTTTGGAGATGTAGACAGACTAATAATAAAGTGTTACTCAAACATGTGAATGAAACAAAACACAACTCCAAGTCTGTTTTTGATGAGATAATAACATTCTAAAATGGCTTTAAGCTTGTATTTTAGGCAGTGGTGGAGTTAGCAATTTGGGGGCCGTAGGCAAAGGTGAGTTTGGGGCCCTGACTATAATGCACCGTATTTTATTTTTATTTTTTTATATATTTATTGTCTGTTTTTCCCCATTATTCTTGACACATGCACATCTCTATTTATTTGAATTATGGTGGATTGGAAACTTGTCTTATTAGTTAGTTAGCCTACTAGATAACCAGAACTGAAAGTACTTTGTTTTTTTTGCTACTACAATTACATTTTTGTTTACATCCATTGCATATGATTATTGTTATTTTTCTTATGATTATTGTTTAAAATTAAACTATTCTCCTTTAGTGTCATATTGAGAGAAAATGAAATTGCACTGAGGCCTTGACCATTAGTAGTCAGGCTGGTACCACCTAGTGCCTCTGCTCAATTTCATTTCTCTCAAGCAACTAGGTCAGGAATCAGAATACACTAGACAGTTTACAAAAACCCCAGAAGTTGTAGACAACACACCGGCCAATCAGAGAAGAGCTGTGAAGTCATGACTGGGTCCCTTTTGTGGTACAGCACAACAGTAAACAAAGCGGTCGAGATGGATGTAGACAAAACCAGACATTCTGTGTTGGTAAAGATTCCCGAGATCGAGGATTTAAAGCCCGAACAAAGAGAATGTTTGGTGAATTTTATCAAGGGGAAAGACGTTATTGTCCTTCTTCCTACAGGATTTGGGAAAAGCTTAATATACCAGTTAGTCCCATTAGACGCATTACATACGTCATGACCAAATAGCAGCGATTGATTAAATAAAAAAAGTACCCGCTTGCTGTTGAGCAAACGAATTCTAACACTGCGAGGTCAGACGGTTTCTATGAAGTGAAACTGGCTGATGAATCAGGCTAGGCTGTTAGTGACACTGAGGGCAATTAGTTGGGGGCCTCTCCAGGTTTGGGGGCCCTAAGCAGCCGCCTACTTTTGCCTAATGGTAGCGCCGCCCCTGATTTTAGGTCAGTCTAAGGAGAGCGTCCTGGAGAAGTTGTTTGACGTTTGTGAAAAGCAGAAACAAAAGGAGGAGATGACGTCAGACTCTTCGCACTCAGATGTGCTTCAGTCCACCACCGCCATGGTCCAGGCCATAAGCCCCCAGACCAAACCAGAGACCACCCCTCTACTCAAGCCCATCAAACAGGAGGTACGAGCATCTGGTGTTTGTCAAGTTTGTGCAAGTTTACATTTATACACGTGTGAATGAAACAAAACACAAACACAACTGCAGGTATGTTTTTGAGGAGGTAACAACATTATAACATGGATTAAAGCTCACAAGAGTCAGTTTTTTTTGGTCATACAGGACCTTTAAATATTTATCTTAGTTTGAATTCTGTTATCATCTCCTCTTTTCAATCTGTTTGTTGTTTTATTTAACTATTTTTTGTTGCTTGAGTATGAGGCAACACTCTTATTTCAAATGCAAGTATTTAAAGGGACAGTTCTGAATTTTGGACATAGGACCTCATTTCCTAGTGAGCCAGAGTGTTGGAAACGTGTGGAGGCACTTTTTTAAAATATTCCATCCAGTCCTTGTATTTGCAGAGGTCACTGGTGCTAGGCTAGTGCATGTCAATGGCCATAGTTCTCCTGCCACTAAAAACAGTCTTACCCACTCCACAAAACACCAGAAACAAAAGAATTATTACACTAGACTGTCCATGTAAATGTCTATGTCGATAGAATCATTTCAGAAGTAAAACCAACCTTGCATTTAAAGGATTTATGTCTGAGCAGCAGCAGTTGTACTTCCAGATAGAAAGCTTGGCAGCAGCGGACTGATATATGAGAAAATAGTCCCTCAACATGCGACGATTCATGTGATGCAAGGTTAGTTTTATTTCAAACATTATTCTATCAACACAGACATTCACATTGACAGTCTGGTGCAATAATAGGTTTGTTTTGGGTGTTTTGTGGAGTGGGTAAGACTGTTTTATTGGCAGGATAACTATGGCCATTGACATGCACTAGCCTAGCACCAGCGAAATGAGGTCCTATGTCCAACATTCCAGACAGTCCCTATTATAAGCTATTTTAAAATACACTGCACACTGTAACTTTTTTGTAGGGGTGGGGTGTATGCAACTAGCTTGTCACCATGGAGATGTTATAGTTTTGGCTGGAATGTTCCACAGTATGGAGACAAGCAGGTGTTGGACTCTGAGTGCACCTTTATGTCTTCTCAAATTCATTTTTCATTTCAATTACATGTGTTTTACTGTTTTTAAAAAATTGCTTTGAAAACCATTCATTCTTACTGCGAGCATGATCGTCTCTCCACAGATCCACAGATCTGACCTGTAACTTGCCCTGGTGGCATGACCTGACCTGTCTCCATGGAGATGGATAGGTTTTCTACTGTGGAACTCCAGGTAAAGCATTAACATTTCATCTAGACCCTCCACATAAAAAGTTACATAGTGTCCTTTTAAACTAATCAAGTCTTTTAAAGCTACACTGTGTAACTTTTCAGGTGGGAGTACGGGGTATGCCACCAGCTCATCTCCATGTAGATGTTATTGCATTGCCAGAATGTTCCACAGTATGGCATTAAACTAACAGCATGTATTCAATTACAGGTGTTTTAGTGCTTTTTCTTCACAGATCTGGCCTGGTTTTGTTAATGTCGCTTGTATCCATGGAGACGTTAATGCTATAATATGGAACATCCCAGACAACGCAATAACATCTCCATGGAGACAAGCAGGTGGAGGGCTTAACTTTATGTCTAAATTGTAAACCTATAACCAAACTTTTTCTAATCAAATTCTCAGTTCAAAACAAACACTTTTCCTTTAACACTACAATAATATTATCTGATTTGTAATTTTGTCACTTTCACATTTGTAGATCTCATAACTGTTTTTGCCGAAACAATCTGAGGAACAAAAATAATGCCGGTTATTGCGGACAGAATTGTTGAAACCATTTGCACATGTGGCCAATCAAATCATGAAAACAAAACTGCAGTAAATACGGTAACATCAAATACTTTCAATTGCATAAGAAAATTGCAGAGGAAATGAGGTGCACCTGTACTGAATGAACAGATGTGGAGACAAAACAGTGGCGGTCAATAGAGAGGGGGCGGTTCATGTTGGAGCTTGCCTCTTGTTTACATTGTGGATAGTCTGATTCAGCTTAATTGTGAATCCCAGTGTGTGGATATGTGTTTGTAATTAGGACGAGCCAAAGTGAAAAGTGAGTGTTCTGCTGTGAGATTATAATGAGGCTGGCCTGGTTTGGAGGAAGTCTGTGTAGTATAATACTCGTATTAGTCATGCACTTAATGGAACGGAAGAAGCTGCAGTTTTCTAATTATGTTCTAATACAGGGGGAACAAGTATTTGAAACTGTGATACTAAACTTCAGGTCCGTGTTGTCTGGTAGAAAATTGAACCTTTCCATGTATTTGAGCAAAGTTAGTCTTGTCCCAGTACAGATATTTTGCATAAGCAGCTCTTAAGGACAATGGTCTGCTGTATATTTATTGTCTGATCATCAGGAAGTGCGTGTTAGCATGCTAGTTGTTGCTAGTTGTTTACTTACTGGTGGAGTCATTACGTTAGAGGGCGCTCTGGGTGTGTTTTGACCTTGTTAGCCATATTTCATACCTGACAATAAATGGATTGGCATATCTGACCGGTCTTTTGGCCTATTCCTTTTCTTTTTAACCTCAGAGCATGCGTCCACTACATCCAACAAAGCTCCACCCACTCACTCACTCTCTCTACTGTAAGAGTTGTGAAAAATGCATAGAAACTCGGTTGCAGTGAATAATTAGGATGCACGGAGGAAGTGAGGACAATCATTGTAAACTGTTTACAATGAACTAGTTCTGTTTTTCATGTTTTAAGGCAACAAAAAGCAGCTTTAAAGGCGGGTACTTTTTTTTATTTAACCAATCGCTGCTATTTGGTCGTGATGCATGTAAAGCGCCAAATCCCATAGGAAGAAGGGCAATAACATCTTTCCCCTTGATAAAATTCACCAAACATTCTCTTTGTTCAGGCTTTAAATCCTTGATTTTGGAAATCATTGCCAACACAGAATGTCTGTCTTCGTCCACATCCATCTCGATCACTTTGTTTACTGTTGTGCTGTATCACAAAAGGGACACAGACAGGCACTTGAGTTGGACGTCATGGCTTCACTGCTCTTCACTGATTGGCCAGTGCGTTGTTTACAACTTCTGGGGTTCTTGCAAACCGTCTAGTGTATTCTGATTCCTGATGTAGTCACTGGAGAGAAATGAAATTGAGCCAGCCTGGCTAGGGGTCTGCTACTTGTTTGATATTATTGGTTTATTTCTCATTGAACTATTATTCAATTACAGGTGTTTTTATTGCTTAGAAAATACCTAGAA